TTTTTTTTTTTTTTTTTTTTTTTTTTTTTTTTTTTTTTTTTTTTTTTTTTTTTTTTTTTTTATACTTTCAGCACCAAATACTTGCGAACTGTTTCATTCAAAACATCTGGAAATTTTTTACTTTTGGGGGTTGGAGGGCATATGATACTATTGTCAGTTCTATGAGAGCCAGGCCCCCCTGGACTCCCCCTTCGTTTGTCTATGGCAAGGGAGTTGAGTTATGAGCCGTTGAAGTCGATGATGCCCAGACTGGAGACTCTTAGCATCTGACGACGGAAGAAAATGAAACGCAGTTACTAAAAATATCCCTCTGCACTGAAAATCTTGAAAATAGATAGAAATTTTCCAAGAAGTATACTTCTTTGAAAATTTAAGAAGAATTCTACATTGCCCCAGGGTGTTTCTGAAAATCTACTCACCTTTTGTGAAATTTGTAGGGTAAATTTTTCACTTTTTCTTACGAAACAAGGGTTGCATGTGAATTTGTAGTGGTTTTTCACGGGTAACACGGGCCCCCTCCGGGATCCGGGCCCCGGTACCAGGGACCCAGTATCCCCTCCTTGTGGCGGGCCTGCTTGATTTCAGTGTCTTTTCATCACCTCTTACATATTGTAAAAATATGCTCGAATATTATCGGTGGACATTCGTTGTAACGAATGAATGAGACAACGAATTTCTACTGATAATATTCGAGCAGTTTTTGAACTTGGATATTTACAGATAAAAACGACGATGCACCGAAATATCTTGGGTCTATGGATAAAGATAGGCTGCCTGCGGGACTATTTTGGATCATGTGAACTACAAGATGTTTGTGAGTACGGGTCGCCGGGCAGCACGGAGGTCGAGTGTCCACCCTTGCTCCAGGAGCTGGATCTTCCCTGTCGATGTCCCATCGAACCGGTAGGTGACCGTTGACCTTATCATTCGAATAATCACAATCTTAGACATGGACAGTACAAAAAGTAGTTACATATTCAATTCAAATATCGCACGAATTATAGAGCGGCGATAGGGTAGAGAGTACTTAGTGTTGGCCTTTCACAGAAGTGTAACAATCTAACGATGATATAAAGATGTCAATAAGAACCCAAGTAGCAAAATAGAATTTTTTTCTAGAAAAAAAAAAAAATATATATTAAGAAAATTTTTAGAAAAAACATAGAAAATGAGAGTTATCCAGAAAATAGAAAGAAAAAATATTGCGAGTCAAAAGTCTGACCAAAGAAAATAGATTTATTTCATAGGTCTACTTTCTGTGAACTTCCCATTTGGAAAAAAGATAGAAAATTTATTGAAAGTAGAATTATTTTCTAGTCAATTTCTTAATGTTTTCTTTCAAGAAAATGCAAGGAAAAAATGTGTTTTCTTTCTATGTTCTTGTGTCTACTTTCTAGATCTACTTTATACCTATTTTCTTTCAAGAAAATTGTTCTATCTAGAAAGTAGACATTTTCTTGATTAGCGCCACCTAGAAAATAGATGACAATGCTACTTGGGAAATCAACCACGCATAAGAAGGTGTTGCACTGAGGATGACAAGAGAGATCATTCATTATTCCTTTGCAAGTTTACTCCGTCCCCAGATGGTGTCTATTGCGTATTTATTTCATGTTTTCATCTAGCGATTAAAAATCGCCTTCAAAAAGATAGGCATGCAATTTACACGACAGCACAGCCGTGGTCGAAATGGTATGGAGTCGCTCGCAACTTCTCAAGTTCACGAGGATTTACTTATCAATGGCTAGTTACTGTAAGAGACGTTACACATCTCCAATCGGGTTTTATTTTTTACAAAGGAACAAATCAACAGGTGATTTAAATTCTCCCTAAATTTTTTTCGCTCATCCGAAATTAGATACAAAAAAATTTCAAGTAGACGTTGTGGTTTGTTTTCTTTTTAGGAATACAATATAATCAGGTGGGTTTAAAAATTGTATTAGAGTTCTCTGGAAAAAAACACATTGTATCTAGAGTCCAGACTCTTAAAAACACCGACAAGAAAAAATACTCTTGATTCAATCAGATTTAAGCTTAAATCAAGAATCAAGCCTCTTAATTTGAGCGGATTTCCTTTTGATTTAAGCATAAATCTGATTGAATCAAGAGTGCTTTTTCTTGTCAATGTTTTCAAGAGTCTGGGCTCTGGATCCAATTTTTTTTTTTTTTTTTTTTTTTTTTTTTTTCCAGTGGTACGCATTTTTCGAAATGTATGTATGTATGTATGAAGCCGCTCTTATAGCGCTCTCTGCGATACCTAGCGTTATGTACCTACAAGAGGAAACCCTCTTGGAACGGCTTGAAATCACATTTCGGGAGAGGTCACTCAACTCGATTCCAAAAGCACTGGAAAAATGCAGTATTCCACTGACCGCGCAGATTTCCCGTAATGCACCGCTCGTTAAATACAATGACCAATCAGCGTTGAGCACGGTTAGAGCGCGATTGGTGGAGCTCTCGTTGACCAGAGGGCGGCAATTGAGATTTCAGGAAATATTTCACGCATTTTTACGAGATTTACGAGGCACGAAGCTGCGTTTATGCAAAATGAACAATTCATTTCAGGAGAGGTCACACAACTCGCATACAAACCAAAAGTACGGAAAAATGCTACAATAGTTATCACTACATCAAGTTATCTCAGAGGTGAATGGTGAATGGATTCAAAAGCCGAAGGGTGCACGCAAAAGAAAGCGTGTTTAGCTCAGGCTGCAACGTTATGCACCACTTTTTATGTCTTTTTTTTTAACACCGTTGTTAAAAAGCTACACACGGTTTTTCTAGAGGGTTCTTAAGAATTTTTCTAAATGATCTCAAATGTAAGCATCGAAAATTTCGACGCGAAATTTTCGTTCATTCTGTTTTCTTTTTATTAAACCAAAATTAATTTTACGCAAATTAAGTCTCAGAATCGCTGCATCGTCCAAGTTTCTGAATCGTTGCAATGGGCCTGTTGCAAACTTTTGCTAGAGCAGAATGAAGAGTTGTTTCCTATAGATAATGCCTCAAAAATCACGATGAGCGCATCGGCAAAGTCTGAAATGCACCCATAAATTCACAATCTGCGTAAGAAATTTGCGTTATTTTGAGCTTCCCGCTTCAAAAACGATACTACTGCACAGGTGAACATTTTGTTAGAGGAGTCGCTCCATCGTCGGCAATATTCATCATGGCCGACGCTTGCGCAGTTCCTCGCGTAATTCGAGGAGAGCTCAAGGTCAATTAAGGCGGGCGAGGAAAATATGAACGTAAACGCCGATTGTTATCTGGTTTAATCCTGTTCAGGTGTTATCTCGTCCCATCACACGTGTTTTGGCGGACTGGCGTCGGCCATGATGAGTATTGCCGCCAATGGAACGACTCCTCTAACAAAATGTTCACCTGTACTGTAGTATCGTTTTCGAAGCGGGAAGCTCAAAAAACCGCAAATTTCTTACGCAGATTGTGAAGTTATGAGTGCATTTCAGACTTTGCCGATGCGCTCATCGTGATTTTTGAGGCATTTTCTGTAAGAAACAACTCTTAGTTTTGCTCTAGCAAAAGTTTGCAACAGGCCCATTAAGATACATATTTACCCTTTAATTGTGAGTAAAAACCGGGCATGTCACTAGAACAGATACGTGGTCCAAGTTTTGCGGCGATTTTCGCGTCGCGCAAGCCAGGGAAGGGAGCGCGGTCGAGTGTCGTGTCATCTTCACGAAGTGACGCGCCTTCAATCCAGTTAGCGGCATTGTCCCTATACCCGTAGTCGAATATTATCGCAAATAACTCTCGCGGTGCGTTTGGTGCAATGCGAGAAGTATTCATGCAGTCTTGTAGGCGCCACTATGCGTCTGAAGTCGACTGCACTGTTTGGCGCAATGCGTGAAGTATTCCTACAGTCGTGCAGGCGCTGATATGAGCTTGACACCGACCGCACCGTGTTTGGCGCGATTATTTGCGTCAAGCTAATCGCAGCATCGAACGATGGGGCTTAAAAGACCCATGTTGTGTTTTGATGCCGTATGAGCATTCCAACGTTGCCTCGTTTCCCCCTTTAAAATGTTTTTCTGAGAAAAGTTAAGAAAGCTCTCCATGTTCGCTTTTGTGGATTGAATGATGATGATGATGATAATTGCTGGTGCTTTATTTCATTTACATCAACGACTAGCTTGTCGGTTGGCTCTGACGGTTCTCTCGTTTTCATCATAATTTTTATCAATTAAACCTCTTTTACAGGGCGAGTACACAGTGCCTGGCATACAGATTCGAATGCCTACCACCTACTGGTCATGGATTCTTACAGGAGACTACAAATTTTCAGCAGAGATATCAGATGGCAGTCAAAGTATATCATGTTATAGCGCAAATTTTGAGCTAGTTTAATCAACATATGATAACCGCCGCAAACGGGCTACTTAAGTTGGAAAAAAAAACAAATCCAGGAATAAATATTCTATAATGTTATTACTTTCAAAACTTGTTGCTTTCCCATGCTTGATACATGGATAGCATCTTGAAGATACTTATTAGGTTTCTGCTGATAGCTTCAATAGAGAATTTGCAGGTGTCTGAAATTTTAAGAATTCAGTGTTTAAGTGGAAACTACTGAGTGAACTGAACACGAGGATACCCTTGGTTCATGAATTGAACAATTATCGGAGATGATGAGACAAAATGATCTAATCTGTTAAAATACGTGTGTTTAAATGGAAAATGCCGCTAGATGACGTCACTAGGAGGTGCATTTTCTCACTTTTAAATCTATTTTTACACTATTTCCCACATTAGAAAAAAATGATAAAAAATAGTGCGAAATCAGCTCTTTGAGCACGTTAAGACGCAGCAATAAAAAAATTGCATGCAAATTCTCCATTTTTACTTATGCCTACTCCTTTAAGTATATTTACAGGGCATTTAAAAGAAATTTTCTGAATTGATACCTAATTGTATATCGACGGTGCAACTCCCAAACTGTGCATCTCCTTTGCAGGGTTTAAAAATGTCCGCTACTATTTTATTAATTTTTTTTTTAAGAAGAAAAAATCAGAATCATTCCTCTAAGTTTTCACAGAATTTTTCGCGCATAGGAAGGAAAAATTACTGAAATTTTCAAGATTTAATGTTGAGTAATTTCCTATGGAAAAGAACAAATATCATGACCGCGGCCAAGGTACACGGTTTGAGAGTTTCACTGTTGACATGTATTTTCTTAAAGTCTTATACGGTTAAGTGATCTAGCAAAATATAGAGACAGTATTTCTTAAACACGACTGGACACAGATTGAATTTTTTACTTAAAAATAGATAAATAAATAAATAAAAAAGACCATGGGTACTTAATAAAAATAAAAGAGGCCGATTTTTTTTGTTTAAGATAAAACAGGACAAGTATTTATTTACACATAATAAAAACATAACAAAATAATTTTCTCCATAGAATATGACATCACAAGTTAGAAATACTATGTTTATACTGAAGTAGAGGTTTGAACCTGCTATGCAACTGGAGCTAAAAACTTGGAATATTCAGTGACAAGCCCTTCATAAGAAACTGTTGAAATAACGGTTCCATTCAGCTTTTAAAAACTTCATCATTCCACTTTTTAAAACTATACCCTGTTGCTTCATGGACATAGAAATATTAATCCAAATAAATATTACGATAGAGCACATAGACACCTCATCAAAGTTTAAGGGCCCATAAAATACTGATTATACATCAAAATAATACTAGACATTTTTTTTATTTTAATGAAAACCTAAGCTCTGATATACTGGAGTCTGAGCTATGCATCAGTTTATGCTTACTTTCGAAAATTCCAAGTTCAGAGCTTTGATAAAAAAAATAAGAATAAAAAAATGCTGAGATAAACTTACCCCTTACAACTTATTCCTCGTTTAATTGTATTATTATTTATTTATTCATTTGTTAATTGGAATTGTTTCATTTGTATAACTTGTTTTTTTTAAAGTAATGCCATTTAAAAGTTAAAGATACATTTTACATTCGTTAAGATAAAAAATGCTTCCTTTTTAAGAAAAATAAACTACTCTTAAAATGAAAGCTAAAACGCTGACATTAACAGCCTGTTTTTGACCCTTACACTTGATTCTGTCGATGAAGGAGAAACCCCTATGATAAAAAATTGCAGGGTTGATGATTTGGCACAAGCATAACGTTGATTACAGTCCAGGGTACAATATTGAGAAATAGAATAGGAGAGAAGAAAACGTGAGTGCAAAGCAAAAATGCAGGCATTCGGGCAAATAAACTACAGGATAAAAGCAAGGAAAAAGTTTGCGAAAGTTCAAGTTAATGACAAAGAACTGAGGAAAATGCAGTGAAGTACTGAAAAAAGCTCTGATCAGTATGTATCAACTAAATGAAATAATCCCCCTATTTCAGAACTGCTTCATACTGCTGGTGGTCATACAGCTCCTGATACATTGTGATGGTGTTTGAAAGTCATACTTCATCTAGGACTTGCTTTTAACTGGCGATGGAAAGAGCTTTAGAACTCTTATGATGGATTAAATAATCTTAGCGCAAAAAAAGTTTATCACCATACATACAGATAAAACATCTACAAACTTTCCCTCTTCAATTGATAAGTCACATCCAAAAGGCGTATTTTCATGTTATTAGAGGCAAAAGTGCATAGTATAAAGGTAAATAATATTAGAAATGTAAGAGCGAGAAGAACAACAATTGATATCTTCTATGAAATTTGAAACAGGAATGATTTTGAAAATTAAGGGGTGAATGGAAAAACTTCATACATTAAATCATTTTAGGGAGGTTTCTTTTTTATTTTTCGTTTTTTCTTTTCTTTAAAATTAGACCTCACTTATTCACTGTCCACCTCAAGTTTCAAAAAGTAAAATAATTTCTTTGATATTTGAGGCTTGGTGTGACAGTTAAAAATCATTACTAATCAATTGATCAAATCCGCACCTTCTTTTGCCTGTTGAAATAAATACATTTAAATGGTTAATATAGAGCTGCACTACAAAAAAATGAGCGTGAAAACTGAAGATGCTAAAATGAAATTTGCAGTCCGAAATTTGACAAAAAATTAGGACAGGGGGATTTGCAAAAGATTGGGAAAAAAGCTTCTCGTTGTCCTAGGAAATTTTCAATAAATCTAAAAAATTAAATTTACAGCTTTTTTTGGACTCTCTGTTTAAATTTCTGCCTTTAAAAAGAAGTCACCACTTAGCAATTGATTTAAATGTGATGATGTTGACTAATGACTAGCGTCTACACTTAAAGAAACTACAAACTTTTGTATGAATTTTAGTGCTGGAGCTGGATACAAGATTAAACTTCAAATGATTTTAATGAAATTGATGCCTAGAAGTTAAAAAAAATTACATAATATGATTTTACAAAATCTCAAACACAAATAATAAAAGAGTTAAAATGGCAAACTTTGTTGAAAATATGTTGAAAAATGTTAATTTTCAATCAGATTTTATGCAATTAAAAAGAGAATGTTCTACAATACCTACAAAACGTAAGCTATGAAAGTAGGATGAAAAGAAAAGCTACATTTTCACAGAATCATATTGGTTGAGATACGAAAAACTTTTAAGTAGAGGTTTTTGAATTACGTTTGACAGCACTACTACAACCCTTGAATTTAACTCTACTAGGCTTTTGCACGCTAAATTTTTTTCACTGAGATCTATACCTGCAAACCTGGATCTAAAATTTCTAAAGCTCCAAGTTGCAGCAAGAATGGACTTGTTTTCTATCCTCTGAATTTTTTTGACAGTTGAGATACCCAGCAAACATTTTCTACCAAGATTTACAATACTACCACTGAACCAAATGTGAATGGTTCTAACAAAAAATAAGTGCCTCTGTCCTGATACAAATACCTGATACCTTTTATTCACCTTTTCTTAGGAAAAATATCTGGTGCTCAAGACATCCACTCTTGAAGCATGATTTTAATCTGATTTATAAGAATGCGGTCTTGAGGTTATTAAGGAAAACGGCACGGCAATGGACCTTAAGTTATTCATGCTACATCTCAGAACTCAGTTTGAAAATTTCACAACTTGCAGATTTACAGGCTACTATGATAAGTTTAAAAAGATCATGTTCTTCTATGCTGGATCATTTTTCCAGTTGTATTACCCCCAAAAGAGCAAAATCTTTTCAGTTGCCCAGCTTTGCATATTGTGGACTTCAGTCACCCAAACCTGGTGTATCAATAGGATGGCAAAGACAAAAGCTATCAAAGAAACTTGTCTTAAAATGTAAGATTTTTTGCCATTCAGTTCAAAAGATAAAACCGAGTGGGAGAAAAGATAATTTTTAGGAAATTTCATCTCTTTTCCCGGTACCTTTTTTTCATTTGAAAGTAAAATATAAGGGGTTCTATAAAATCTGTAGGAATAAGACTTAGATGTCCTCAAGAGAACCATGGCATTCTTATAGAAAAATAAAAATAGGTCATTATGCCTCATGAGGAAAAAAGACATCAAAAGTTGAATTTCACAAGAAAAGGGGATTAGAAAAATCACTTGGAAAGAGATGACTGAAAACCTTGAGATTCACTCAGCCATTTGCAGAATTGCATTGACAGTAGTATCCTTGTTCCCTCGATTGAACTCGAAGACTGATTTGATAACTTCTTTGTCCATGTTCGGGAACATCTCTTCAATCTGAAAGCAAAAGAAAAAAAAATTGTTACTTTATTGATAAATATTGGTACTTAATTGTTGAACAATTGAAACTGCAAAACAAAGACTGATTTTCAGTAAAATTTTACCTCAAAAAATTTACAGTAAAAAAATGCTGACAATAATACCACACGACAAGGCTATTTATTTAACTTTGAAGATGGTTTTCATATGACAGATATAATGATGCTCTTTGAGGATGGTGCACCAGTACATTCAATTGAATTTTTTCAAAACAGGGAACCTAAAGAGTAAAAGAGTCTCCTTTTGATGGATGCTATTTTATCACCCATACTGAAAGGTACTATTACTATATACTATTAGAACATAGTGCTTTTACGCATTAGCCTGTGTACTTGTTCAGGTGTGTAAACTTTATTAGAGGTGCAAAAATTACGTAACCCGTTTATACTTTTTTAAATCTCAAGAATACATGAAAATCAATCACGTAACATGTACTCTTCAGAAAAGTAGCTTTGCAATTCATTTTTCATTTTTTAAAAAAATTAATTGCCAAATTAGTACCTATCATCACTGTGCAAACAAAAATAAAACCAAACCAAAATAACCAGTATCATACGATACTTCAAGAATAGTCTAGGTACCTACTATGAGACAGAGGTTAATTTACCTGTTTAAGAGTTTCTTCATTTAGTGGCTGAGCCTGATTTTGTTGCGAAGGCTGTGAGTACACAGGCATGGGAGCGTATGATCGCATTCCAAACATTGTCTGATTCGTTGAGGGTACCATCATTACAGGCGGAACAGCTCCAGCTCCATAGAAATAAGGATTCACGGTTGGTGCATTCTAGAAGAAAACAGCAAAATAATTTTTGGAACAGGAGCAATTTACAATTATTCTTCGGGGTAAAAAGGCATAGTATATGCAGCGTATGTTTTTCGGAAAAGTCCATCATTCAATGCTCATACTAAAGCAAAGAAATGAACAGATAGACACATTTCATAAAACCAAGTCTATCTACATGAGGAATGTTGAAAAAACATTTAAATTTTGCTGATAGTATGCCAAGCTTTTTACACGTTCAGTTACTTTCTACGGCTCTCTACTACGGATACCTGTGGTACTTCAGTATTTGAAATCAACAATTTTTCAACAAGCTTTTTTTTTTGCATCTTCAGGGCAATTCTGAATCTTCTTACTTGAAACAAACAAGAAAATTATTTCAATACTTACTGAGTAACTTAGGACGAGGTAAATGGCACCTTCAGCATCATCGCCTTGTTTGCCACTAAGAGGGAACCAGTTCTCCACAGTAACTCCTTCAAAGACTTTTTCTGGGATGGGAATGTGAGCCCAAGCAACCAGTTCGTCCATTGTGAAGGAGCATTCATCATAAATTTCTAGTGAGATACTATTCACACCAGGTTGCAAGAAACTGTCAACAAACAAAAAATCGGTATGTACTGCAGATACAAGTATTGAATTAAAAAAGTCTAAATGGGTAAGGTTTAAAAAGCTAGGAGTGCAATTGTAAGCTCCTACATAGGCATGAGAATGACAATTAATGAAGTTCTAAACTTGCACTTTCTTTTGAGATTTGAATATCCAGCTCAATTTTCCTGTTTGCTTTCAAAAATTTATTGATATATCTTCACATAGATGAACAAGACAAACTGGAATACTTGATTTTATAGACTATTTTTTGTCGTGATATCACAGAATATGATTGAGAGGGACGCTAAAATATTAAATTGGAAGGAACTTGAATGACTCTTTTGCACTGTCACTTTTTGAAAGAGTGAAAAATTAAGATAACTTAATCAGATCCACCGTTTAAATCCAATTTGATGAATTTGACCTAAAGGACCCCGCACGGTTCTTATGGAAAATTGCCCTCGGTCAAATGTGTTGAAACTTCAGTATGTTGTGCAGCATGTCATCGTGAACAAAAGTTCCAATAGGCCAAACAAGATCCCATGTGCGGTTTTCGAGATATTCGCCGTTTTATGTGCGTAAACGGAGGTTTCGCGCGCTCCCGCCGGAGCCATACCATTGTGCGGAGCCGCTCGTGCCCTTCCCTCCCAGTCACTCTCCGCTGCCCCGCCGCCCATACCTTGGCTCCTCTATCGCTCCAACTACGACGCTCACGAGGCTGCGCCCATCATTACCGGACCGCGCCCGCACGCCGTCTTCTTACGCGGCCTCTTCTTCGGTCATGTCGCCTCTTTTTCTCATCGATCCTTTCTCTAAGTCTTCAAAAACGTTTAAGAAGTCCATTTTTACTAAACATGATAATGCTAATATCACAAATAATACAAAAAGAGAGGAAAAACAAATGATGATCCATGCGAAAGTACGTAGGAGAGTTGGAATGTCTAAGAGACGTTAAATAAAACAAACTATTTTTATTCTCTTTCCTTTTAGGCGTAAATGGTCACATCTTAAGTCGCTCCAACTTGCAGCGCCACCTTATCAGCCATCTTATTATCTGCTATGGAACCTGGAGAAAACTCGTACTCACAAAAAGCCGCGTACGCGCATGAATGTTACGGTCGACCTGCAACTCTTTTTCATCATCTCTATGGAGTTTGTCTTGGATGTACGATCTGATTAGAGGATACGATCAGCAGATAAGATGGCTGATAAGGTGGTGCTGCAAGTTGGAGCGACTTAAGATGTGACCATTTACGCCTAAAAGGAAAGAGAATAAAAATAGTTTGTTTTATTTAACGTCTCTTAGACATTCCAACTCTCCTACGTACTTTCGCATGGATCATCATTTGTTTTTCCTCTCTTTTTGTATTATTTGTGATATTAGCATTATCACGTTTAGTAAAAATGGACTTCTTAAACGTTTTTGAAGACTTAGAGAAAGGATCGATGAGAAAAAGAGGCGACATGGCCGAAGAAGAGGCCGCGTAAGAAGACGGCGTGCGGGCGCGGTCCGGTAATGATGGGCGCAGCCTCGTGAGCGTCGTAGTTGGAGCGATAGAGGAGCCAAGGTATGGGCGGCGGGGCAGCGGAGAGTGACTGGGAGGGAAGGACACGAGCGGCTCCGCACAATGGTATGGCTCCGGCGGGAGCGCGCGAAACCTCCGTTTACGCACATAAAACGGCGAATATCTCGAAAACCGCACATGGGATCTTGTTTGGCCTATTGGAACTTTTGTTCACGATGACATGCTGCACAACATACTGAAGTTTCAACGCATTTGACTGAGGGCAATTTTCCATAAGAACCGTGCGGGGTCCTTTCTAAGAGATGCTTGCATCGATACCACTGTCCTTCCTAAAAGTCCTTATCTGGCATTGCCGGTCTTGAAAGACAACATTCAGGGATGATCATCCCTGGATGGGGGGAGGTCAAAGGGGTTGGAGGGATAGGGGGAGATAGAGAGAAGAAAAGAGGGTGATTTCATGTTGTGGGAACCTGTCATTTTTTGTATCATCATTTGTGGTGAAATGTATGTACACCGAGTCATTTTATAAAAATGTAAAGATGACCATGTGAGTAAGTTGATTGGCTGCTACAGCACTTAGTAATGATAGTAAAAATACAACTGAAATATAAAAAAAAAGATCAATAATAGTTTATTGACTGAAGTTTCTTACCATTGGACAACTTTATTCCAGCGAGGGTTTTTACCACCATGGGGATCTGTGTGGGTTTCATAAACACAGTGACCAACACGAAGACGTACATATGGGTCCATTCGCATCATCCCATAATTTTTGGTCAATTTTGCCTGTGGAAAAAAAATTAACATCGCATTACTTTCTTCCAATTTTTACTCCTAATACACACATCTCTACTGTGTAAATAAATATGTAAAATATACACACTCAGCTAGATTTCCCTTTTCTGAGATTACACATACAATTGCGGGATGAAGTTAAAAAGAAACGTCTTGAATCCCATCTTCAAAGAAAAAAAGAAAAATAAGAAGGAAACAAAATCTTAAACAAATTGATGCAAATCTGCAAAGATTGTTGCATTGGATTGTGCAATTATACTTAAGATGGGAATTTCAGTCATTCAATAAAGAAGATAAAATTACATGTGCAACAGTGATGTTGAGACGGCCCACAAAACCATTTGCTAGAGATTGACTGAGTTGTTGTTGAATAGCCAGGGCAGTTTGTTGGTCAGCAGCTTCTTGCTGTTGTTGAGGCGATACTGTGATCCGCAGGAAATCTTGTGGAAGCTCACCAACAAAAACCTGTGAAAAAAAATTCTGGATGAACTTATGCAATTAAAGTGGACAAAAGATGTGGGCTTTGAAGTATACAACCCATTGCTATTCAGAATGGGTAATTAAAAGGACGGAGCTGCCATACCCAACAGCTAATCATATTTCTAGCACTTACCTCGATGGTTCATTCTGTACCAAAGTAAGAGAAAATCCCTAAAACTACTTCACCATCTCAAATACTTACATTAATTTTACACCAACACATCCAAGGTTCTACAATGACGTTTCTATTAGTTCATCTGACTTAATCCCGTGAATAAAATTTGCAGATAACTAAGAAATGTTCATGAACAGAGGGATTCATGAGTGCAAAATTTAGAGTCAGAGAACTCTCATAGAATATTTAATGTGGAAAACTTAAGGAATTCAGATCCACTTAGTGAAATACGCTAGGCTCTAAAGGATGATAGGTGGCAGATAGATGCTGATCATTTAACATATTGTCGGCGGAAGGCAGAGTATTAGCCTGAAATATTCACACTATGTGATACACCCCATGGAAAATGAAAGTTACTCCAAACAAAGCAGTGTTAAAATAACTTTCCATGCTGCCGACTGACATCTAGAATACCTATCCATTTCATTTCCGTTCCATTCCGGAAATGCTCAGCAATCAAGACATCAATTAGTACCAAGGGGAAATCTTAGAGTCAGAACATCAATTTAATGTGGAGAACACACAAAAGCCATGATTAATACTCAGGATCATGACAAATAGATTTCCATGATTAAAATAAAGTAAAGTAGTCGATCAGTTATGTAATGTATTTCATACAAAATTGAGCAGTAGGTAGCTGCTTACCCTCTTCCTTCTTTCGGCGTTTATACTTTCAGGAGACGCTGTAGCTGCCATTTCGTTCAAGTTCGACACAATTTTGACACTTAAATGATAAGAAAGTAAATTTTTACAGCTTTATCACAGAAATACTAATTGGAACAAGTGTTATTACAACCAATGAGTCAATCAAAAATACGCTAAAACCAAAACAAACACACCTCTCTTATCATTAACAACAACATGAATGGAATGAGTAGTATTCGGCCCTTCCTAGTCAACGTTTTTAGAACAAGTAGTAGTTGTGTATAACTTATTGCGTATGAATGAATTGAAGGCATTACGTAGGATCTGGATGCAGGTTGATCGACAGAACAATGGCGTGCGGTGGATTTAGCGATATGGCAAACTGTAGCGTTTGCCATCATCGGGGGGGGGGGGGGGGTAATATAACCCCGCTCCCCTCTTCAGGGAGCCTCCCTGGAAAATGTTTAAAATTAACATTCTCGCGACCCTCTATTCACTCTATTTTTCGGATGAAATCTGACAGAACGTCTTGAAAAACTGTGGTTTTATTTCTTACCCTCTTACTTACATTTCATTCCTTTCAACTTTTTTCTAAATTTATGAGCATTGGAAGTCGGCTCCTTGCTCTTAACTTCCGATTTTCCCACTTATTCGAGGTACTCCTAGTCTCACTTCTACAACATTTAGAATTTTTTAAATTATATAAGTTTCCCCAAAAAAATTCACCTTTCTGCGTTTAAAACACGATTAAGAAGATCAAAGTGAGCGACATATTATGGAGGGCACCTTCTACCGCAGACGAGAGCAGCGCGCTAGGAGATATCTTTGCACAATACCTCTTAAAAGAGAATACCTGAACAGGGTCGGACTGGCTCGCATCTGAGGGCGTAGACCCTTGGCTGGTTAAAAGGGCGTAATGTCATAGTTTCTGGTAGGGCATTCCCTACGTGGAGATCAGGGGTTCAGAAAATTTTGGCAAATCAGCACAAGTTTACGCTATTTTCAGGTTCTTTATTGATCGTACGGAGTAAAAATTGCAAAATTGAACGTGAAGCACAGCATTGAGAGCTCATGCTTCGCGTCATCGCGCCTTCAATTTTTAAGATGCAGCACGGACGTCCATCAAGTACGAATAGTTGTATCTCTGCGCCGTCGTAAACACGCATCCTTTCCCTCCCTCTTTTTCAATATTGTGTTTGTTTCCGTTTGTCTTATTCGTAATGGTGCTTCAAGCACTACGTGAGTAATACAGCTGAAGGTAGGAGAGATGTCTTCAGGCCTTTTTTTAACTTTTCTCCCGAATCAGAGCGACGCTTCATTGACAGCATAAAGCAGATCATTGAGAGCTCACCGTTCGCGTCATCGCGCCTTTAATTTTTCCGATGCAGCACGGATGTCCATCAAGTACGAATAGTTGTATCTCTGCGCTGTCGTTAACGCGCATCCTTTCCCTAGCTTTATTTCCATATTGTGTTTGTTTGCATTTGTCTTATTTGTAATTTTGACTCAAACTAGAGCGGAGCATTGCGAGTTCACGACTCACGGCATCGCGTCTTACATTTTTCAAATACAATGTGGACATCCATCTTGCGCGAATAGTTGTATCGCGTTTACATTCTAGATATCTCTTATTTTTTAATTTAATAAATTAAGGTGAAGTTTGCCCGAGCTAAGGTATGGTATGTCCAAATTAATAGTCATTTGAAAAGGGTTTAAAGGTCTCTTAAGAGGTCTATAAAGGATGCGAATGTCTAAAAATCGAACCGACCATCGATTCTAAGGGAGTTACACATAGCGAATGAAGGAGGGGGATGATAAAGCGCCAGTATGTCAAGAAAAAGGTAAAAATTTCACAGAAAATTGTTTACGCTTTAGAAAGTAGTTCTTGGACCTCTGTTCACCACTATCATTCGTTAAAGCACCTTTCTTTACTCTTAACTCTCTCTTCTTTCGTTCTTTTAAGTAATTTTTCTCACATATTCTCGGTCGTAATTTTTTTTCTTCTTATTTTGCTATCTGTAAGAGGGGCGCGTTTTCGGCGCGCAAAGGGGGAGTATCTGCCCATGGCAGATTGGCCTTATGGCCAGTCCGAGCCTATACTTGAAGATTGGTTCTGAGGTTAGAAAACGTGTGGTTGTAGCTTTTTACACGGCTCTAATGGGGAAAATCTGGAAAAAGCTATCCTGACACTTTAAAGTAGAATTTGCAGGGAGAGGGATTTTTTGCTTCATACTTTATGTCTGAAAAGCCCTAAATGCAATACATTTTGGTGGCTAAATCTTTTTCGAGGTGCGGAGATAAATAAATTTCAATAGTGGAAGTGGGGCCTGGTAGGGACTGTTGAGGGAAAGCTGTTGCCTTTGAAAGTACGGAGACCCAGCTTTTGACAACTCGAGACAATGCCGCAAACCAGTAGGTACCTAATTATTCTAACCAGTCGAAATCGGGGTCAAGTTCAAGGGGGGCACAAGCTCAAGAAGATTGAGAGAAGAGACCACGCTGATCACTGATATAGATTCGCACACTACTGATGCGCAGTTGCCAAGTTGGAGCACATGAGACTAAAAACATGATCATTTTGAAAAAAAATCAACAACGATTTCATTACGATTTCATTTTCATATTGATACAATTAATTCAACCGCAAGTCCCCCCCCCCCCGAAAAAAAAAGCCTCCCGCAGTTTTTAGCAATTCTTTGACAATTTTGTCTAAACATTTGGCGCTTTATCTCTAAAAGAACTAAGGTAAAATTGCGGAACAATCAAAATGAACAAAAAATCTCGGCAGATTGATGTAAACAACCATAGCGCTACCGATAGTTGATAATTGTGAACTTTTAGATAAAACAATAATTTATTCATAAGCACCAGAGCTCCAGGGTTTTGTTCGCTTTTATTCCCGTGGGCTATTTGAACCGACTTGCCTCCATTTTCTGAAAAAATTGAAAACAAAAACTTTTTTTTTCATAGCGAAAACTGTTAGCTGAAGCTGTCAGCTTAGGCTTTTAGATGCGTCAACAGCTCTTGCTTCTCTGATTTTCTCAATCAAAATTTTTCCTAATAGGCTTCTTGCGTGACGGGTAACTGACAATGAGGTTCGGAGATGGACCCCTAATTAGAAGCGACAGAAAGTTACAGCAGCTGACATTTAATTTTTCTTCTTCTCCTTCTTTTTGAAAATACAAATGTAGTCAGCTCTTAAAATATTCACCAACTTTATGGTTGACTCACAAACATTGACCTCGTGAATCGTTATAAGTTTTTTTTTTTTTTTAAATTTTATATTTGTTTGTTTTTTCAGATTTTAATAAAATCAAAAATACTTGTCTGACAATACCTTTTCGGACGATGCATGCGTGCATGGCAACTGGGGACAGCATAGATGCAAATCATGAAACAAGGTCCCAAAGCAGCGTCACTTATACGCGTGTCATTTTGCGTGGCACTGTCAAGCGGTTCGTTAATGAAAGAGGAGTAGTCTTCGACATCAAGGCGGAATATTCAGACATACTCTGCACTATTTGACATCAGAGGCTCACATTTCTTTTGGCACGAGAACAAAATGCCGCTGCTCTCTTTTCACTTTTTAACGGATGCTCTAAGCTTCCTCTTCCCGTGAGACTGGCACTGACGTCATTTCTACCACGCTCGCTTCTCTGCGTCAAGTTTTTCCTGACTTTTTTTTGGCGCTATTGGAAGGACCCATTTGAAGTGCAAATCAAATCCTTTCATAACTCTGATTTATGGTTTGAGACCTTGTCTCGATCCACGGGACGTTTCATGGGATTTATCCCAGGAAAAAATCTCACTTGCGAATTTGAGAAAAATATTAAGTTAATCAATACCAATCACAGTATACCAATTAAGTAAAGTCCTTTATTAGCTGCGTAGAGTAAGAATTAAACAATAAGAATATGTACAGTAAAAAACGATTATGACAATGGCGATTGGGCGTCGCAGAGCGCGAGGCTGCGCTTACTGTATGTAAAAAACGATGTCCCCCTGAATATTGTGTTTTCCCTTGATAGGGTAGCCCGCAGCATGGTCATACTTAGGAGGTTACGTACAACTCATTAGCCTAGCCCAACACTGCCGTGCTATAAGGTGCGCGGACTTCCTTTTTCACTTAGCTTTTATCACACACTTAGTGGAATTTAATAGTCTAAAAGTCATGAAACAGTTTTTTCCAATGACGTGCGTTGTTAAAACTGCTTGTTTAATTTTACAATTAGGTATGATTTCGTTCTTTTAACCCTTTGTCTCGTACTTTAGGTTATACAAGGTCCCCGATTTTTACCACCTCTGGTCTAATTTTCTGCGAATGATCGGAGCTCTGCTGTGCCATGGTAGTATAATTTTAAGGCCTTATTTCCACGGGACGTTTAATGGGATTCGTCCCAAGTTTGAATCACAGGAATGAAACTTCGGGGCTTTTCCCCCGTTAAAAAAACAACAGAATTTCTTCTTCTTCTTTCTGAGTCGCTCTCAGAACTCCGGTGTCCGAACTAAATATGAAAACTTTTGACTGATCGAGATTAATTCGGACCATGGATATTCCTGTGGAGGTTGGCCGAGACTTTATGGTATTTATTGCGACATAGTTAATTCAAAACAAAGGGGAATAAAAGAGAGACAGGCGAAGAGGACGGCAAAGGAAGGTGATACCTACATGTACCATGGAAGGGAAAATTGTATTATTTTATGAGGGTAGAATTTCAATTACGTATTATCGGACAGACATGTCTGTACTAATGCATTACTAATGCATATACTATTGCATTATTCACTACCCGTTGAAATGAGTATTTGTAGGATAACATCCCTTTACTCACTGACCAACAACTTTAATTGGCTTTTTGCTCAGGCGACCGCGGATAAAAGGTGCATTTAAGATGAAAACATAAATTTGAGAAACGATAGCGGCGCTAATTGGTTGACCGAATCAAGCTTAAGTTCAGATTTTAATGGGTTTGTGTCTGGGAGCGATAGGACGTGCCATTGACCGATCGCTTGGTTACTATAGATCAGCTAACAGAATGGGTGAGAGTGGAATCGGTAATCATGTCACTCTCATCAGTAATATAAAGCGTATATTTTCTGAAAAAATTCCATTTAAAGAGACGTGCTGATACAGAATAAACCTCATATTTTTGAGAATATTACTCTTGGGCTTTATTTCTAACCTTTCGTTTAAGTCTCCGAACGTGTTTGCTTATAATATTCATCGGCGGATCCAGCAAATTGGCAACATTGTTTTTCCTCTATTTAAACTTATGGAAATGTATCGATTCTTGGAAGAGCCAGATGCTCCAACAAGAATTGATTATTCAACATAGGTTTAAATGGAGGAAATGCGGTGTTGCCAAATTGTTGGATCCGTCTCTGATACTATGTAACTTTTCCTTGCCACATTTAAATTTAAAAATTTATGTTTACTCTCTTTCATTATAGTTTCGCAAAATGTCTTTACTTTCCCTGCAAATCGACCGTGTCACTCAAAAATGAGGTGTTTCAAGATGCCCCCTCTTATTTTATTTTATCGAAAGAGGAAGAAACAACACTATTGCTTGGAGTTTTCACAAACTATCCTTCACACTGCGAAAATATATCATGAAAGTTTTCAAGAAATATAGTTGAGTATTTTTCCATTTAGGAAATCAATCCTGAAAGGAAGTTTGCGGGCTTTGCAAATCGAAGTACGCGTTTTTGCATTTTCACCGTTGAAATGTAAAACTCAGTTCAGTTTTAGATATTTTTTGAACTTTCGATCACGACTCTCTGCAGGTTTTCCGAAAAGGGACTCGAGCATATGTCACCGGTCTGAACCATGTTGACATATTGATGTATATGAGCTAAAGGAACTATTTGAGCGTAGAGACAGAATCGAAAATTGATTATTTGGGGTTCTTAACGTCGCTTTGACGTATCGTATCCCCAAGATCGCATCCGCGACAAATTCTTGATATGGCTTCATTTCGAAAAATGAAGATGAAGAAACCATAATATAACCATCATGATGCGATCCAGTCTGTTGCCATTAGTGGTCAGATTAGAAGAGGGCTCTGACTTTTGACAACCACCAGGAATCGAACCTGAGACCTCGGCGGGAGCGTTGACCAGTTGGCTAAGATTATTGACTCTCCGGCGCGGTGACGGTTTGGCGCACGAGCTTAATCCCAATACGGACGAACTGTGTTTAAAGTGGTTGGAAATTAATCTCTGGAATAATTGTTTATTCGTCTCAATATTTTCTGCTTGATTCATATTTCTTCTTATAATTCTTCCCACGACTACCTAAAAATACCATATTATTCAGGAGGAGGATACGTGAAATAGAGCAAGGAGCGTGCGACCACTTTAGAGTAACTTAAATGAGATGTAGGTCCAAGCCTATAAACTTATGAAATGATTACATTTTAGTATTATTGACTATGTTTAGAGTATAATTTTTTTTATACAACTCTTATGCAATTTCACTGACATATGAGATTGAAACCGAAAATTATCTGATTCTTTGCTTTTTTACTATACTTGGGAAACCTTTGATTTGAGCTTCGCAACCTTTGAAGAATTGATTTATGGAAAACTGCTTTTGGCGACATTTTCTGCCAAAAGTTAGACTTTACACGAGCCTCTCCTTTGGTACTCTTTATTGATAAGTTTTGATATTTGTTTTCCCTGCTTTACCTACCGAACATAGATAGATGGGAAGAGGGTGTCAGGAGACAGATAGACGACGATGGAATTGAAATTCGTCTCAAATCCTGGCTCTGCTCGAGGGAGGGACAAGCGGGGAAGGAGGGAAGGCGACAAGAAAATAAGCAGTCAGCCAGGTCGACTCATCTGCCATCTAGTCGTCTCGACGGGTCACTGACTTGGGGACTAATCACAACTCACATCGGGCTCGTTCTTCCTCTCAAGATCCGAAGCCAGTCAGCTGGCACAGTACAGTTCTTGACCCCGGCAAGTCGGGTCCCAAGCCCCCTAGTCAGGATTCCACCCAACAGGTACCGCATTAGATTTTTTACCAACCCTTCACCCTCCTCTATGGATTCATATGCACCGACGCCGACTGTGCTTTCCATGACTTTTCCTTAGAGGACTCAACATCTTTCTCGGAGCAAAATTTTTACTTAGTATCACCTTTTTCTCTCTCAATAAATTTTCTTCTCTCGTAAATATATTTTCCGGTGAAGCACATGATAAGAGTAACAGAAGTTATTCCTAGCCCCTCTCATCCTATTACCGAAGAGATTATTCTTGATCTTAAAATTAATATTGGTATAGAAATTATAAATATAATTGAAACTTTTGAAAATATCATTTTTTTCTCAATATAAAATTGGCTATAAACTGCTAGACGTGACTATTATTACTATCAAAATAAACATTGAAGATTTACCATCTAGCATAAAAAAACAGATTCATATCCCTTCTTTCCATCGAAACGTGGAAAAAAAAAACCCACATCGTATCTAGAGTACAGGCTCTTAAAAACATCGACAAGAAAAAGTACTCTTGATTCAATCGGAATTTATCTTAAATCAAGAACCAAGCCTCTTAATTTGAGCGGATTTCCTTTTGCTTTAAGCAAAAATCTGATTGAATCAAGAGTACTTTTTCTTGTCAATGTTTTCAAGAGTCTGAACTCTAGATCCAATCTGTTTATTTTTCCAGTGTATGATTTTTCATGAACCACTATACTGCCGTCCGAAATGAAAACGCCGTATCTCTATTCAACCTTTTTAAATTTTTTTCTGAAAAAATGCTATTTCACAAAAAACCCCAACAAATACTCATCCTTCATTTTTTCAATGCAACTTCTCCACACTATTAGGAACATAAAATGAAAAAATGAAGCCTTGTAGGAATTATTGAATTTCCTCATGGTAGAGCAATACGTGCTGGAAAGAAGGAAACAATTTTGAGTGGAGTTACGGCGTTTAGGTCCAGTCACACGATCAAATTGAGCCATCAAATTGGGCCTCTCATTGGTCGCATCCTCACCTCAGGTCTTTTTCCACCAATCAGAGTTTCAGTTTGATGGCTCAATTTGATCGTGTAACTGAACCTTTTTTGCTGTGGACGGTAGTTTAGACAACGTAGGAATTTAAGCATTCTGATAGATACCTATGTGTCTCCACTCAAAAATTTCACGTGAAACACGATTTCCTTGGCGAAAATTATGGAAGTTTACTTCGAATCAGAATATTGACGTTTTTACTTAGGATTGGTCACGAAAAACTTAAATTTCTTACTCACAAGAGAAACGAGAGATTACATCGATCAAATCGCGCGGTACAATAATTGTTTCGGTAAACTCCTTCATTGAGTTGCAATCCTTTCCCAAACCTATGTGTTGTTCGTAGTTTTACGTGTTCCACGTAAAATTTAGATGAGAATTCACAAATCATAATGCTTAAATTGGTACCTTGTCTAGTGGTCCCTTGTGCATACAAGGTCACCACGTTTTGCTTACTTTTCTTACCTTTAGTTAAAGTCTCCAGGTCATCGCATGCAGGACCGGACTGGTGGGAAAAGGCCCGAGTGACGTGCGTTTTTAAGGGGTCCGGGTCTCACACTGGGGAAGGGGGGGGGCAGTTATGGAATACCAGGCAACTGAAATTCTTGTTGTAACAAAAATTTCAGTTCATTCATGTTGCATTTTCTTACAATTAGAGCAGTAAAGTTTTGGGTACAGTGAATGTTTTTTTAATATTACTACTGACACAAACGAATATTCTTCTCCGTGCGAGAACTTTCTGTGCGGCGATTACATTTTAAATCTCAAATCTTTTGCTCCTTTGTATATCCTAAACCTAGAACCCTCATTTCTTGAAGTTGCATTAATTCGAGTTCCTTTCTAATTTTAATCTAAATATGTCTCATTTTCCGTCAAATTTCATGTTTACATATCAGTTGTATGCTTCATGCATCATTGTATATAGTTGTGTGTTTCATTGTACGCATGTTTCGATTATGTGAGCACCAAGAAAGCTGAAACAATTGTACATTTTGAGCCTCGATTTGGTAAAAAATAAATTGTTTTTAAATTAATAAATGTTAACAGTTACAAATTATGGGGTAGCAGTCTCCAGCTGGGTGACATACCTAAAGATCGTCTTTACTTTAATATAATGGAGATTTCACTGAAAGAGCATGAACAGTTGAGGGCCCATTGCGGCGTGGTGGTACTCCTAGAACCACTTAAGATGTTCTGAACAACAAAGATGAAATTATTAAAATAAAAATTCATAGTAAATCGATTTGAGAAAGATAGCTGATACTTAAAAATTCTCTCGTGTGGGATTTGAAAACATTCCGCTCGTTTATTTTTTATGAGTAAATCTTTCGGTCTTGCCATTCAAACATTTCAACTGATGATTTGCTGTACATACGAGTAATCAAGAAAAAAAGTAAAAAATAGAACGACAGAGGAACCTAATGGTTAACACTTAATATTTTTATTTCTAATCTTCGCAGGTTCATGATTCAAGATGCAGACCTCATCAATATCACTATGGCTACTTTTAACAATTATATTTAGTTTTGCTGACTTTCAAGTTGTTGAAGGAAATTCAGGTAAAATTACAAAAATGCATCTTTATTTTTTATAACGTATTCATCTGATACAAGGTTTACATTTTCGAAACAATCAGACTAGCACCTTTTCGGTCTCTTGAACTATACTGAAGGACAACATTTTTGTTTCATCCGTGGACAAGCTGAGGTATGAGACCTGGAACCAATCGATCTGTAAAAAGTTTAAATTTTTTGTTTGAGATCTTATAGGAACTGTGTGCGAAAGACACTGCACCCCCCTCACCCTTCCTCCTGTCGAAGGAAATGTTTTCTATTTGTCTTGGCAAACACGGAAACTAAGGTTACAATAGACAGGACCATGAGACGGAATTTTCAATCAGAATGCTAGACCAAAAGCCCTCATGAATTATTTTGATCACGTTATGTTTCCTTTTTGAGAGCTCGCCGTATCACTTACCGAGCGGAACACGTAAAACTCGGGTGCAACAGATTGCATGACCGATTGGTTATACGCTCGAAACATTCAAGCGTCTATGAGATTTTTAATGTTGGCGAAGTTCATTGCGAGTACATGCATGAAAAAAGCTAGAAACACTCGACCGAGAAACTAAAAAAGCGAGCTCGAATCTCCGAATTCATATTCAAAAAATTTTAAATGCTCGATGCTATTTGGACAAATTTCATCAGAAAGGAACCAACCCACATTTACGAAAAAATTTGGTTGAAAATGTTTCTCAGTTCCACTGGTAGTATATATTCCCCCACAAAAAAGTGAAACTCGAGAAAAAAAATTGGTCTGTGTTAAGAGGAGTCGAAGTTTATTTTCTATACATTCAGCCTTATGGAGGAATGAAACTTCAAACCTCTTTTTCTCAGTTTCAACTTTATGTTGGTTGGTTTCTTTCAGTTAAACTCGGACCAAATGGACCCATTTTTATTCCTTGCAATGCTGCTTAATTTTACTTGAATCCAAAAATATAGTTTTTCGGCCCCATGCTTTATTATCAAAGCTACACCAAAGCTCAATGTTGATGAAATTGACATCTGAAGGTAAACTAATCCTATTTGGCATTGCAGACTCTCGAATCGTTTGTTACTTCAGCAACTGGGCTATTTATCGTCCGGGCGTTGGCAAGTATGGAATCGATGACATTCCGGTGGATTTATGTACCCATGTCGTGTACTCCTTCATCGGTGTGAACAATCAAACGTGGGAGGTACTCGTTCTGGACCCAGAGGTAAGTCTTGTCCTCGCCCTCATCTGCTCTATTGTGCTTAGAAAGTTTCCTCGATAAAATGGGCACCATTACGAGGTAGGAAGGGGAAGAAAACTCGGAAAGAAGAAATAGCGGCATCTATATTATACAGCTACAAGCAAAATCTTGGAAGCACTATTTCTGACGAACTGCCGGACCGATGAGGATGATCTTTACATGTATGTCATCTGTAGTAGATGTACATGTGCAAAAAATTATGAAACCCCGAACTTTTAATGTTGTAGAGCTTTTAAAGCTCATGTCACTTAAGTCCAATGTTAATAGCTTGAGAGATATGTCGTTTTCGCTAGAAAAGTCAAGGTGTGGGATTCTACCTGAGTGACTCGAATTAACAATAAAACAATGGAAAAGCTCGTGAAGGGCTCCTCATTCGAAGAGTTGAGGAACGGTGCATCGCTCAGGGTTCAAGGTTCAAGGTCCAAGGTATAAGGTTTAACTCAATTTTTCTTGCATTCTTCCGGCTTCGATTTGTGGCATTGGTCAATTTACTTGATTGCTGAATTTCTATTAATATTTACGGCAGCTAAACAGCAGATACAAAGTGAGAAGGCAGGCACTGCGTCGCGTCGGGACGGACCAAATATTATTAACTCTTAACGGTCGAAATCCGATTTTTTTTTTTAAATTAAGTTTTTAAAAATAACATAATAAATGGAAATTTTTCCAGTAAGTGGACTGTGAAATTATGCACATCCAGCTATTCGTCATCATTTACAAATCTAAGTGTTACGTCACAAATTTTGAAATTGATGCAGCTCGAATACAAAATGATGTATTATGGAAGAGCATTTTCGCCTATAAATATGCGTATAGGGCCGCGAAGCGGGCCTGAGGGCGCGAGGCGCCCTCCCGGGGGTTGGGCCGCGTAGCGGTCAGGGGGCAGGGCCCCCTAGTAGATGTATAAGTTTAAAGAGATTTTTGTGAATCTTCAAATTTCTCTCAGCACGGCATCTGTGACAACTGGACAAAAATGAAAAATTTAAGATTTCTGTAGATGAGTTGTCATGTGTGCACCCCCTCTGAGGCTCGGTTAGAATGAGGCTACTACTGGACACTTGTAGAAAAAACATTTTTCAGAAGTACGATAATTTCCTTTATTTATTGTTCAAGAACTTTGAATGCCAACCAGTGGCGTGGCGTGCTTTACGATATATCGATTGTTATGCCATTCAAACCTATGGAAAAGGATCGATAATCAGGATGTTTGCAGTGAACACCTTAGTAATCGATTCTTTACCATAGGTTTAAATGGCAGAACACTCGATATATCGCAAAGCACGCCACCCCACTGATGCCAACACGAGTATGAATGTGAGAAGAAAAGCTGAAAATATCTTTCTTTGTATGTTTTTAATCGTTTTCCAAAACGCCTGTAAATTTGTTTGAAATTATATTTCAGAGAAATACCATGGAGATTACTTAAGTATTGACAAGTTACACGCGCTTTTTATTTCAATAATTTAACAAGAAAAAAATTCTTAAAATAAATAACACAGATTCCAGGGAATTGAAGGGTTACTGAATTCCTCAGATTTTGTATAATATCATTTTTCAGTACATTCTCAATTTTTGAAACAAAGCTGCCGCGTTATATTCGGACTGTTTTCGGCATATTCCATGTGATATATTTCAAAATAAACAGATTTAATGTTCAATCAATGGTTCCAGGTCGATTACGTAGACAATGGTTACAGGAATTTCACAGGATTGAGGAAACAGTACCCTCACGTGAAATTCGAAGTAGCCGTTGGTGGATGGGGCGAAGGAGGTAAAAAATACTCGGAGATGGTCGCAGAGAAATCAAGGAGAGACGTGTTCATCAAAAGTGTCGTTGGTGAGTATCATCTGTAAAACATGCATTTCTTCGGAGTCAGTTGTGCTTAAAGGAGGATCATTGTAGAAACATTATCAAAGAAGTAAATGAGCACGGTGAGCGTAGTGGCCGCATAAGTTAATATTTCATGTCTCAGTACGCCGCTCGTTGCTGTAACACCCAACGCCCGAGCGTTGACATAACAGCTATACGTTCCATATTTTAATTTTGCTGGAGGATGGTGGGCAAGGGTGAGTTTGCCTCCTTTGATAGCAGGAGGGACCATGTCATAAGTGAATGAGCGCAACGTATGGGTAGAACTGTAAAAAATGTGTGAAACAAAAATGTGTGAACAAACTCCAGGTCAGATGATCATCAAGATGACCGAATCCGTTTTAATGGAAGTTCGGCCATGTCATAGGAGGCAGCAAATAAAGTGTGAATAATCCGATATGCACACATCCTTTTCAAAAATAAAATCATATAATTCAGTTCATTTCGAGCATGAGCAATTTGAGCAATCTTCCCAATGTTTTGTAATTGCGCGTGTGCATTTGTGTTTGCTAGGAAACTTTGCAAAATTTTCTCAGAATGACCCTTTAGCCCTCTTATTTCAAATTAGAGATCCTTGCTAGACCCTCGTCATACGAAGAAGAAACAGAAAAACAGGGTTACTGAGCAAGGAAAATAGGTAACTGAATTTTTGACTGAATTGCTGATAAAAGATATCTAGTGACGTTAAACAAGTGTCTAGAAGACGCAACCTGACACAACACACATCTTTAACTCTTTCAGACTAGAGAGAATCTATAGGGACCAATGTCGGTACCTAACGCCGTTGTACATAACGTGATTCGAATGACAGCAGTTCTTCCATTAAGAGGCAAAGTCTCAAGCGATAACTATTCGAACACAGCCGTCGTAGAATTGCATACTCATTTTTTGAAGGCGTTTTGCGTGCGCGTCAAACGGGAAATTACTGGAACTCGCTCAGCTTGATGAGTAGCCGTTTCGTGTTTATTTGGACGTATTTCTACCAAACGGAACTATGTGTATTAAAACATGAGCCCTAAGACCCATATGAATATGCATGACAGGGCTCAGGTCATAATGCACGTAGTTCCGTTTGGCAGAAATACGTCCATTTCGTGTTGCATATTTTCATTGTCTGGCTCGTAATATAATGTTTTTTGTTTCATGGCCAGAGTTCATTGAAACGTATGGATTCGACGGGTTAGATTTGGACTGGGAGTACCCGGGTGCCGCGGATCGAGGAGGCAGTTTCTCAGACAAGGATAAGTTTTACTTCTTCGTTCAAGAATTGAGACGAGCGTTCGACGCTCAGGGCAAAGGCTGGGAGATTACCATGGCTGTGCCCGTGGCTAAATTCAGGCTCATGGAAGGTTACCATGTCCCGGAACTTTGCGAGTGAGTATGCGGCATTAACCTCTTGAGACTCCAACATTTTAAACCCTGGCAGTGACTTCAAAGTTGCGATTTATTGTTCGTCAAATTATCTTCTGCTGAGTTAAAACTTGGTGAGACACACATCGATGTCGCTCATAGGTCTAGGCTCTGACAGAAGTGAAAAAGCCGACCAGCGGGCTGGTTGATAGACGAAGCGATAGGCAAAGAAGACATAGGGAGTATGAAACGATCCTTTTGGTTGAAATGGGCGGTTCATATAGATTAAGGGGGGACCAATTAGATGGACTAACTATAGGGTCTCTGGTGAGTTGTCGTTAGTTAGTCTATTACCTACCTCCCATGTTCATTGCAATCACTCGCTTCCACCAATAGGATCCCTCCATAGCCATACTCATTTTATCTTCTTTGTCTACAGCATTTCCTATCAATTTTAATAATCAGCCTGCAGGCCCAAATATGTGCAAAGAAATTAAGAAGAGTCTATAAATAATCCTCTGGGGCTCCAAGTATAATAACTCATAAATCCTGATTCTCTATGACGCTCGGTTGAATTTGCAGATTGAAAAGAAACCGAAATATCGTCTTATTTGTCCACGTCTTTTTGCCGTCTTTCAGGGGCCTCAGAAACGGCGTATACGTCCTAATTCTTCCATTGTGATCTAAGTACACGACTACGTGCCATGAGTACAAATAAATATGTTAAGTTAAAATCGTGTCAAAAAATTGTTCGCGCCTAATTTGATTTGTACTGCTACGAAAAAAGCAATGATATTTTTATGTATGTATGATATATTTATATTTTCAATGAGTAAATGATAGGCAGAAAAATTTTAATTTCGTTAATTTTTTTTCCCCACAGAGACATCGATGCGATCCACGTCATGTCTTATGATTTAAGAGGAAATTGGGCTGGATTTGCTGACACTCACAGTCCACTATACAGACGGCCACATGATCAATACGCTTATGAAAAATTGAACGTTGTGAGTAACTGCATACCCTTCTAAAACGCTCTTTGAAAGTGCCTTTATTGAAGTAAGCTCGATTGTGTTCCATCGATATTAAACATTCTAATCTAGAGAAGCAAGCAGACTGTATCGTGTAAAAAAATTTCGAGAAAAAAAACCCAAATATCTTCATGGAATTTTCTATGAATATGTTTGAACGAATGAAGAAAATTTCACGAAAAATTGTCCGGTAATTTTCTTTTCAAAAATAAAGCTTGAGTGAAAATGTACAATGCCACAGTCGGAGAAACGCACTTTACGACTTCAGCCATCGATGTATAACTGTATAGCATTTTTCTCCACGTGCTACTTTTTCGCTGTACTTACCTTCGCTGTTGATAACCACATCAAGAGCTGATTGTTGTTTTATTTTCTTCTGTATGGTTCCGTAGAACGACGGTCTTCAATTATGGGTAGACATGGGATGCTCGCCGAAGAAATTGATCGTAGGGGTGCCTTTCTACGGGAGGACATTCACACTTAGCCAAGGCAACAACGACCATGGCCTGGGAACGTACATCAACAAGGAAGCAGAAGGTGGCGATCCTGGCAACTTCACCGGCGCACGTGGATTCCTCGCATACTACGAGGTAATTTATACAGTAGAGTCCCGATTATCTGCTCTTTAGTTATCCGCGAATTGAGTAATATAAGGAAGATATTTAATAACCACTAGTAAGAGAGGGAGCGAGATAGAGGAATATATTTTGGGATGCCTGATAAAAGGGTCCGCGGTTATCCACGTTTGTTTTTTCTTTTCTTTTCTTTTTTTTTGGGTGGACTTTTTCATGGAGAAAAGGTGGCTAATCTATTTATCTCTAAGAAATACTCTCTTTAAACGCTTGAAAAAGATCGTAATCCAAAAACATTGCAATTCCATGACGCAAACTTCTGGAAATTCCTCCAGAAATGAAGTTTGCCAAAATAACCTCTCTTTCGGTAAATTCGTTCATTTTTAAGTAGTATTTACATTTTCATCGATTATTTGACATGTGTTTCAATAGAGCACATTTCTCATTTTAAAATTGGTTCTAATTTTGCTTTGATTTGTGTCAGATTTGTGTGAACGTCACTGAGAAAAACGGTTGGACCATCAAATGGGACGAATATGGGCATGTTCCTTACGCCTACAAAGGTAAGCTTTTTTGTAATTTCAAAAATCCTCGAAATGTATGTATATGCATGTAAACTATATTCAATTGTTTACCATTCAATAGCACAGAATTGCTATAAATCGTAAATAAACCTTAGCACCGTCCTGAATATACACATTTATCTTGCTCAGATTTGTAAATTTACCTATTTGCATGGATGCGGAATATTCATTAACGGAGAAATGATTCGGTCTATGATATTATTCGAGGAAAGCACAGTCAAAAATGATCGGTTTTTTTTTGCTACATTTTTAATGAAATTCATCATCGCTAAATCAACGTGCCAAGCAGACTTGAATTTTAAAAAAAAAATCAATAAAATATGCATTAATGTGCGGCAATGTCTTTTACCTTGCCTCAAGATACAAACACTAATACTGACACATCGTGTTCCTTACCAATTCTGTCATGGATCCTGATGGGATCGATGATCTCCCAAACGTGACTCATGCCACTGTGATGCGGAAAAAAGGCAATTTTCCGGAAACTGTGGAATTTAAAGAGCAGCTAAGAAGAAATAGAAGCCAAAAAAATCACCCAAAAAAGGAAAAAAAAGAGAAGCAGCTGCTTGGTTACGTAACCATTATTCCGGGCATTTCCTAAAGATGTGGATGAGATGTGTTTCATGTGTACGAGGATTATCTTTACATAATAGGGACACAGGAGCGAGCTACCAATGGCATTTTAGGATGAGGCCCAGTTAAAATCTAATATAATGCAACCGCAGGCTCTTTCCGAAATATGGACAGATCTCCCGCTTAAAACTGTTTACTGATCGGATTGCGTTTTGGCAGGGACCCAATGGGTTGGTTATGAGGATGAGAAAAGCGTGCAAGAGAAGATGGACTTCATCAAGGCCAAGGGTTATGGTGGAGCGATGACCTGGGCCATTGACATGGACGACTTCCACGGCCTTTGCGGTGAAAAGAACGCCCTCATGAAAATCCTCCACAAGAACATCAAGGGCTATAAGGTCCCGGAGCCCACGTTTACTACCACACCCAGGGTGAGTTCATAATTTGCAAAACTGCACTCTGTAATTTCAGGGATAACGAGGTTGGATATGAGCACGCTATAAAATTATTTGTCAAAAGTGATTAAATATTAACTTTAGTGTGCATGCGACGTTAGTTAGTAACGGCGCCTGGATGCAACTATACATGCTCGATGGACGTCCGTGCTGCATATTTATAAAATTGAAGGCGCGTTGACTTACCTTGTCTTTATGGTTCAAAATAAATCAAATGTGATCTATGAGTTTCCCTCTGAAACTTTAAAAACCCGGAGTAATATGAGAGTATCAAACCAATTTGTGATAAGCATGAGTTTACGCTGTTCACCAAGGAGTCAAAGAATCTCAATTTCTTAAATCTTTAAAATTTGAAACAAATTATCTTCATAATAGAACATATTACACATAGAACATGTCAGTGCAACAGGTGGAAACATTTTACAAAAACAAATTTAAAAAAATATATAAAAAAAACTACAAAACTATTAGCATATTAAGTAAAGCGAAAATGTTGCACTGAAGAAGGCCGCAGTGTTGGCGGTCGAAACGTTTGTTTCGTTTTGTTTCCTGTAAGTTTTTTAGTATTTCTCATCTCCATGTAGTTTGAAATATTATTTGTTTAATTTTTTTGGCTTGCAGCTCGATTATTTCAATCTTTTTACCATATGTTCTGTGAAAGCCAGCCAAATTGGCATTAATATGTCTAAAAATTGACATTGGATTTCCAGCCGGAATGGGCGCGCCCACCAAGCACACCGGCGCAACCGGGTGAGTACCCCGTGAGGCCAGTGAAACCAGGTTCGAAGCCACCCTCTTGGGTCCCATCGACGACGACAAGCACCACTCCCCAGTACACGCAACCCTCGACGAGCTCCACCTACTGGCCACAACCATCGCCGACAACAACGACGACAACGAAGAGACCCTACGAGGAGCCGGACACGCCGAGGCCGTTCCCTCCGTACAGGCCGCAACAGCCAGAGCGGCCCCCGACCAGACCACCCCCATCCCCGTCCACGACGACGACGACCTCCACGGAGGCGCCCGAAGCACCCTCCGGCGAGCCCGACTGCAGGCAGGATGGATACAGACCCGCCGCCAGATGCGACCAGGTAATGCAACCACCCCGTGCCCCGTCCAAAACAACTTATCACTCGGATAAAGAATGTTACGCCTTGTCTCCACGAGACGTTTCTTGGGCTTTGTCCCAAATTTGAATCGCATGAATACAGGGTGGCGTGAAACGTGAGACAGAAAAGAAATATTGGAAATTTCAGTAAAATATTTCATGAAATTTCACGAGGCTGTGAAATATTTCATGAAATTTCACGAGGCTGTGAAATATTTCATATTTTTCAGGGGCTAGGGTATGCAACCCGCACTCAAACACACAAAAATAGAAGAAGGTCACAATTTTTTTAATTTTGCGAATCGAAAAGGCACCGGTATTTTTCAATATATTTCATGAATTGCTAGAATTTCATGAAATATTTCACGTGAAATTTCAATATTTTAATTTTCATGAAATTTTGCCACCCTGCATGGATGAAACACCTCGGCTTATCCACGTTGAACAAAACAACTAAAGGAGGCGCATCGATAAGGGCCTTTTATGCCCCCGGCCCTCCCCTAGAATCTAGAATTTAATGCGGGTTTTCAAAGTTGACTCAATCTACTAAACGGAAATGACCATGATTTGATCCATAGGCCACTGGATACGTGTTAAACGGTTGCCTGAACATAGGTCTGCAGGCGCATTGTAGCAAAAAATTCGTGTTTTTCTGTCACTCCGAGGCTTTTTTTGATACCGAGATCATCGTCTAACTAAAACGAGATTTTGATATGTTATCAAGGAGACTTAAGGATACATTTTAACCTTGGTTTGGTTTTAGTTACATAATGTGCTCTAGGGGGCCAAAAAGGGCCCTTGTCGATACCCCTCCTTTCCTCCGCGGTTAGGTCAGAAAAACTACAACGATAAAACTTCGACTGTCTAGACCGGGCCTGTGAGGTGATTCAGTCCACGCGGACGAAAATCGGCCATACTTATTTGTCTCGCGATTAATTGACGAGCAAAATTTAACTCCGTTAAAACCGGTTCGGCCAAATTATAAAACCGTTGTGGTCCATTGAAAGAGTGCGTCAGTCAGGACCAAAGTCTGGCCTGAACAATCAGGTAAAATTGCATGCTCCTAAAGTTATCGCCGCAGTTACTCAAATTCTTGTAACCGACTATTATAAGGAGACAGATTTTAGATGAGAGGCGGTACTTGGTATCCATCTATTTTCGTTAAAAAAAAAAAAAAAAAAAAAAAAAAAAAAAAAAAAAGGCTGCTTAATGTTTTGCAAAATGTAAAGAGCCACGAAAGACTTTTCTGTAATTTAAACTTAATGCCGACACATATGTATAACCTCTCTAATATGTTCCTCGAGGAATGCATGAGACAGGTCAAGAGATCTCTATTTTGCGAGCAGGTTGTGTGAAACCGTCACCAGCACCCAGTCATATATTCGTTGAAATCGCGGGGACTGAATACTCTGAAGAAAAATTACAATAACAATAAGTCCAGCAGTCATTATTTTTGTCAATGCCATCTCACGGGCAATAGGTCAAACGGATTCTCCATTACGACGCGGAGTTCTTCAAGACCTCCATTTTATGAGACAGAATTGAAACTAGGGCGAAATTCAAACCATTGCATGAATGGGATACCTACTTTCGCCGTCCATTTTTGAAGGGTTTGACAATTGTCAAAATCTAGCAGATCATTTATCACTCACTAATTTTTGAGGGAAAAAAATTGCTCTTGACTAGGAGTCCCCGCGGTTAAAAAGTTACAGAATAATCTGTTTTTAAAATTCATGCAAACGAAGCTTCTTAAATGATTTTAAAATTTTATTTTCAATAATATTTCTATTTGTTGCTCAGAAAATTAAGTGGCATCAATCAATTGCTATGATTTTTATAAAAATGTCATGTGATAGATTTGCGCTGTCTTGTAGGTACCGATGAGAGTTTCATTTATATTGATGAGTTCATTTTTCTTTATCATTTTTTAACACCGTTTTTAATTAAAATCGAGTGTGCGAATTATAATAAACGAGGAAGTGCATAGATCGGTGCGAGCAAGAACGCACGGAAAACTAATGATAATTTTGAGGAAAGAAAATTTAAAAATACTGATAATTTTCTTCAAATATCCATATAGAAATCGACCACCGAGAAAATCTTTGAATTTTTGGTTTTTTTTTTTTCAATACGTGTCTTCTTTGTTACAGTACTATCAATGCGTCTACGGCAAACCAATTTTATTCACATGCAAGCCAGGGACAGTGTGGAACCAGATAATGATGATTTGTGATTGGCCAGAAAACTCCAACAGAGCCGATTGTCAACAGCAGTTCAAAAATAACAGCTTGTAAAAGATCATCAGCTAACGATCTTGGAGTTGCAGGATCAGATGAAGAAAGGAATCCGTTTTATCTTTGATCTCCAGATCCTAATGTTTCAACCATGGCATGAAACTTTTGTAGCGCAAAGGTTTTTTGTTTCCTAATCGTGACATTCCTTTACCAAATAAGACTTGAATGAAACAAAACTGTCTATTTTTTCTCTTTATCACCCCTGGTTTAAATTATCTGATGCTCTTCCCAAAATAAATGAAACCACATACGGTGTTTTACAAAAATACTTCCTGAAAGGAAGATGAAGTAGTCCATTCTACTCCAAGTTCCTGAAGCTAATGTCTCATTGTCTCAGTGGTATGTTAAGGAACGGTCAGTTCAAGGTTCAAGGCGGATACAATGACAAATTTTCTATCAATTCATTTTGCTTCACCTCCCAGTGAAATCAAAAAACACTTTTCGGACAAAGGAGATGAAACCCTCGGAAATCCACAATTCTCTTTACAGAAAAAAAATTATTCTATAATCGTGGCACAGAGAAAAAGAAAGAGAAATTGAGGGACAACAAGAATGCAACGAACACCATGCAAATTTCATTTCAACTCCTGGATGCAACTATTCGAACTGAATGGATGTCCGAGTTGCATACGCATTGGAGTGAAGGCGTTTTGTCTGTCTAGACACTTTACTTGCGGCGGCGCCAACAACGCGCAACGGCGGGCTTTACTACAAGGATCCAAAATGACAGAGTGCTCTCAAGTTTTCGTTTATACCACAAACATATCTCCTAAGCACGAATCGTTGCAGGCGTGGTATGTAAGTATCTTTTGTACTGCGCATGATTTGTACCTAGATCAGTTATTCATGCCTGAGAGATATATTCGAAGTAAAAATGAAGACTTGAAGGCACTCTGTCAATTTAGATCCTCGCAGTCAAGCCCGTCGCACAATAAAACTAGCCTCTTCAGAGAAGTTGGACGTGAAAGTTTTGACTAAAACTGCAGATTTTTGCGTTAATTTCATCACATCATAAATTGTGTGGGGTGTTTCTTGAAAGAAATTTTACGAGAATATTAATGAAACAACTTTTATAACATTTACGTTCCGTATCAAAATCGATATAAACTTTTAATCTATTCACATTTAGTATGACTCCTCTTATTGACTCGCCCCAATGAGCGCCGCTGGTGAAGCGGTCAGTATCTGAAGGCAAAACGCCTTCATTTCCGCGCGTATGCAACACGGACATCCACAGAGCTCGAATTGTTGCATCAAGGCGTCATAATGAAACCCGTTCAGTACCAGTTGCATGAAACACTAACTGTGGCTTTGATTATTTCTTAACTTAATTCCAGCATTGCCTATTGTGCCGACGAAGTAATTAATTGCTAATTTTAATCGCGACATTGTCAATTATCCGAAAAATTCATTATGTAAATGTAGCACAATCGCAAAAGAATTAGGTGTTAGAGCAAGATATGTAGAGTTTCCCTTCAGCTACGTTAATGAGTCGTCCTATGTTTGGATGTTTTTTTTCTCCCTTTGGGGAAACTACTTTTGACGTTTAAGTGCGAAATTTTAACAGAGCCCTGATGAATCGCAAGGAGTTTGGAACCGAAACTATGACCATTCATCCTTCGAAAAAATTAAATGCGACAGAAAGCCCGCTCCATCAAAAACCTAATAATACACGTATATGATTTTGTAGGCTTGATGACGATCAAAATAAAGCACAATTAATAAGTCCAGTTAATATATCAAAGAATATTACATTATATTCTGCTCTTTCTCTCCTGAATTGCTGGCTGCACCTAGAGATGAGTTTAAAAAGTACCAACTGCAAAAACTGCAAGATTTTCTGTTCTTAAGTATTTTTGCATGAACCTTGCGCCCTCGTTTGACCTCAACGTTCGTTGTCAAGTTGATTGATGTTTTGCTCAACTCCATAAAGTTAGCATTTCCTCCGTTTATTTACTGATTTACACAGCAAAGTAGACAACACGAGACTTGGATCCGTTAGAGTGCGAGCAATCATCAGCACTCCAGCGCGTGCGCCTTGAAACAGCGTTATGATAACGCATTGGTCGGCGAGCCCAACGGTGGAAGGAAGATAAGATAACGGTGTCTACTACGACATCGACATCCAATAAGTATCACGAAAAAAAATTGTAAACAAAACGGTAGCGTAGCAAAAAATTAACCTTGAATTTGTGACGAGGCGTGATTATCATCCTCCCGTCGCACAGTGGATCGAGTCAATCTAAGAGATCGGACGTGAAATTTTTTACTATATTTGCATAAATTGATGTTTATTCCGTCACGTTTTAAATTTTAGGGGCGCCTCTGGAAGAAAATTTCAAACCGATGGAGCCACATTTGGCAACTCAAAGTTTTTTATACACGGAGTTATGAGCTTTCTAAGTTTCCAACTTCTGTCCAGCCTCTCATATTGTATCGATCCTTTGTGCGCCGTGTCATCAGATGACATTCTGCCTCGATTCGTGCTGTGCATCACTCTGTAGATCGGCTTAGCTCATTCATTGATGCGGTCATGTCAAAGGGTCTTACTTATGCACGATCATCTTTCAGAGGGAAATCGCTCTTTGGATTCAGTCCGGTATCAAGTCTGGCGTCATAGAGTTGAGGATATTAGGTATGTTAGGATCTAAGTTGAAACTTTCCGGAAAAGTCCCGAGGAGTCTTCTGCTCCCCTGGAGAACTTTTACAGAAAACCACACACACACACACACGCGTGCACATATATACGGTAGTCACTCACTGTTCGAAGAGTTACCGGGTTGAAGTTCCCTTTCCTGTTCCTGGCACTTCTTTTGTAGATATCGTCTGCGGTAGATCGGCTGCGATAGATATACAAAATTCTCTGAAAGAGCATCATAATGCGATAAATTGAGCCAACCTAGTGATTTTTTTGGATCTAATTCAATTCTGTTTTTGACGTTTAAGTCAGAAATCCCAAGGCTGAAAAGAGCGCATCTTAATTTTTCCTAAGTACTGTCAACGGTATATTGTGTATCTTTCCCTTTTTATTTATCTTTCACAATTACCTCGGCTGATTTGAAAGGTCGTAGCAAGTATTTTGAGGCAGGGGAAGGGGAAAAAAATTTTCTAAGGAGGGCAAACACTCTTCCTGCCACCTCCTTTACAAAATACCCAATTGAAGATTTTAGTCAAAATTCACGGGCGTGAACGTATATAATTGTCCTTTTGCAAACGTCTTCCTCGGAAATGGGTGGTAGTGCTAAGGGGAGAAGCCGTGTGAACTTGAAATACCAACTTTCTAATCGAGAAGCTTTAATTAATTATAGTTTATATGACAATTTTATGCGTAATATATGTAGTCTAATCTATCTGAAAATTCTACTGAATAGTACTCGCCACTTCCTACAAAAGTAAACATGATTTAGCGAAGGAAATTTGGCAACAATTAAAGATTTATACCACGCGTTTTCTTCAGAACGGTATGATATGTCGCTCCTTTCAGTCTTGTCCGCACGGCAAGAAAGAGAAAAACTATGTATTTAGTGTTGCCATTGACAGTTGTGTTAACTCAAAAAGCAAGGCTAGTCTTAAAATTAAACAAAAGTGTTTGAGTTTAGATTTAACGTTTCCTGTAAAACGCGCCAACTTCGAATCTGTATATTTGAACTGATGAGAAAAAAATGTCTGCGCAATTGAATAAGAACTGGGTATACCTACACGAAATCAAAATGTTCGTCCATGTGTTATACATCACTGAAAGTTACTTACTCAGAATCCAGCCGTGTATTCTAACTGAACGGAGGTAGATGCACGTAAACGCAAAGTCCCATAATTTGGATTGGATCGGGAGAGAGAGGGACTTACCCTTAACGAAGCTTATTGTTAGCGTTTGTGCCTTGTACGCGATGCTCACCATATGCCTGTGAATTTAAAAATGTCTAAGTTTTCTAATACCCTTTTAAAAAATATAAATTGTATAGAATTCTTGTCGATCGCAGCAACTAATGTATATTCACTCTGTATCAAGCCGAGCCACCATCTGGTCTGAAAAGAAAATGAAAAAGTAGCAATAGCAATTTCCACATCATGCATATTACGTAAGAAGATGACCGAAGGAGAGGCATGGACCTTCGCATCTGGTCCATTTAAAAGACGCAAATGAATGTAAATACCGCCATTAAAAATTTTTGATGAGTGCACATTATTTCCGCTACGATAAGAGAGATAAGAGCTTGAGAACGAAATCATCACGCTGGTGTGAAAAATGTCGCGTATGAATGCCAATGCCACGCTGATAGGGAGCGAGTAGGTAAAGTTGCATCATGTGTGATTGAAGGGGTTTCGTATTGCAAGAGCTCTTCTCTTTGAAGCTGCTAACTGCGACGATGATTACCTATTAAAAATGCCAAAAAAGTCTTCACCGCACACGTATGTGTGTGCCTCGGTGGGTCGGTGCACAATTCAATGCGATTGGCAAAAGACCGGAGGGGGGGGGGAGCGAAGGGCGATGCTCCCTGTGCGTCTAAGGCACGTCTGGTGAGAACGATAGATTTTTGGCACCTCGCCAAGTTTTTTGAACTCCCTTTTATCTTTTCACTGACACTATTGACAAGTGTTTTCGTCATAGACACTCGTTGCACTGAGCTCAAGTATACTCAAAATTCGACCTCGTTAATTTATCTTTTTCGTGGGATGTATTACATTTCCCTTACGCACAAAAAATTATGCGGTGCGCTCAAGACTTCTTTTACGGCCTCTTTCACATTTACTGATGACAATTTTATTCCTATGATTTTAATATGGAGAAAATATGTCACGCCAATAAAACGCACATCTTGCACGAGCGTAATGCCACCCTTACGCTTACATGGGTCTTTCAGCGAAAGAAGCACGTTTTAGACCCATGATTCGTGTTAACTCGTCATCTTAAACGACCTTAAGCGACGTATTATTAACGCAGGTCAACTTAATGACATCTTACGTCAGCGTAAATATTCATACTCTGGTTTGCCTGCAACATTACAAATTTCGGAAGGTCATATTTAATTTTAATGAACGAAATGGTTGTTTGTCGTGAAATTTCGCATGATTTTCGATTTTCTTTTAGTGGTCAAAAAATACTATGGAAAATAATAGATACAAAAGTGTCACCTCTTGAAAAATGAAGTTACTGAAGGCGGAAATTGTTCTTGCTCGCAATGAAGATACACTGTCCAGTTATGCCGACACTTTCATGAATAATGTAGGTAGGTAGTTATCCAGGTGTCACATTAAAAGTCATGGTACGTATTCATGGATTATGGAGAAAATTGTTCAAATAGAAACTGGGAGAGAAAGAGACAAATAAAGAATCTCACAGAGGATTTCAGCGGGAGAAAAATAACTCACCGTTTTGAGACTAGGAATATTGCGTGCAGGTAGAAGCTGTTGAACAGACTCTTAGGACCTTCCTTCTAGCTACATGATACATAATAGTCATAGTATGGATTTTACTTTAGTAATGATGGTACACGAACAAGAAAAAAAAAAGAAAAAATTAGGAAATTGTCTAATGTATTTTTTGTTAGTTCCTCCAAAAGCGGAGAAGGGGTTAAACTGAATGTTTGATGCACTTGATCTCTCTAAGGTGAGTAATTTTTTCAAATAATTGCGTCATTCGTTGCCCCAAAATCCAGAGCTCCTAATTGTACACAGAAGGACTGGCATAAAGTCTAATAAGGAGGATATCTTCCCGGCCCAAGGGTCGGAACATGTAGGAGGTCGATTGCGTACAACACCTATTTACGCACCCAGAACCAGGATTCGGCTGAAAAGCTATTGTTATAATGCGCCGCAAATATGCCGGGTAGGCAAACAGCATGACCGTTTTGTTTATTTAGAATTTGAGGTTAGATTCTTTATCATAACCTAATTTTCTGTCTGCTGAGCGGTTTCGTGGTTTCGTGTTCGTCATTTGAACGCATTTCATGCCAAATATGTGTTTTTGAGTCAATTTTGGCTGTGCGTGTTCCATTCGAAACTTGAAAAAAGTAGAGTCATTCGTTTCTAGCGTTACATCATGATTCGCGTGCCGCAAATAGTGTTTAGTTAGCGATTCCACGTGTTGATAGGCTCAGTGAGAAAAATGATGATTTAATTGTTTTAAACCCGTCCATTACGTGTCGAAATCGTGAAAATATCGTTGTTTCTTTTGGACTTGTTTCTTTAACATAAAATGGTAAGTTAGCGAATTTGTTTACGATTACTGCCTATGATCCCAACAACTCTCCAGGTCAAACTTGAGTCATTCTCTAATTCAATATGTTCGGATATTTTTGCAGGTTCATTAATTTCTCTCCCACCTTCAGTTTCATTACGAAGAAAATGCTCCTTAAAGCCTTGCTGCTATTCTTACCTTTGATTAAAGCCATCTCATCACCATTGAGAAGCTCCGAGCCAAGTGGCTCAAATGCTTATCAATGGTATCAAGAAAGTATATGTATTCCAGTCTGAGATCACACTTGAGCTGCTGGAATTGAAAGTGATGAAACCTAACTGCCTAATCCTAAAATATTCTCTAATATGTCATTTGTTGCCAGGAAACTTGCGTCAAAATTTTCCCTAAATGGACAATCTGCAAGACGCCCTCTTACAAATTTGAAATGTCTGCATAAATGTTTAACTGTTGCAACGAAGTATAGATCATACGCACACAGTCTAACTGATTGTTCATGTTCCTCCCAACATTTAAATTTGTGTATTCTTTCAATAACAGGATTCTAATTATCTATGCACTCATTAATCCTTTAGTGAAAGTTGCGTTACTCTCAGGTGAATAGTCCGAATATATCAATTACATCCCTGAAAATCTTTAGTACTTCCTTTTGCCGGATCCTAGATTGCAATAGAGACTGTATAAACACTCATCACCAAGTAATCCTAGCAGATGCAAACATTTTGCACCATTGAGTATCAGGTAACTCAGGGCATTGCTTTTTAAGCTTTTTAAGACTGGTCCAGAAGATGGTGTGATGTCAGTTTAGCATTGAAAGTAAATGCAAGAATCTTCTGTTGCAGTCTTGAAAAGCTTAAAATTATTTATCGTGGACTCCAAAGACTTGAATTAATATGTCTTAAAGTCCTATGCGGAAGAGAAAAACATGATCACATGGTGTATTTTCTTACTTATGTACCTGTTGTATATATCATCTTTTTTTTCCATCCCTCTACTGCTGTCGAGTATTTTATTAGTTTATTAACTACAACTTTGATTACTTTTTCCTCTCCAGGCAGGGAATTTAGACAGGAAAGGAACTTTTAAAGTAGAGTTCCTGCAGCAAATTGAGAGCGATGTCCAAAAATGGTGGGATGAATTGAAAATATATGAAGAAGATGCGCCTTCAACTCCACGCAAAGATGCTAAGGAAAAGTTCTTGGCTACATTTCCATTCCCATACATGAATGGACGGCTTCATCTGGGTCATACGTTTTCACTGTCAAAATGTGAGGTAAGTATAAATTAAATTTCATTTCGTAATTTTGTAAGTAACCTTGAATTTTATCTGCAAATTTCATAAAATATACGGAATAAAAGCAAAATTTTAATCATTACTCTGGGATTTTTCGCCAAGTTTTCTTAGAAGTGGAGGAGTTGCTGATAAACAGTCAGGTCATTCCATTGTTTTGAATGCAATAATTGCGCAACAAAAAAATTTAAATGGGCTAAACTGCATCAGAAGTTTCAGGAAATTCAGTATCACTTGGGCAGGAAGCACTTTGCTTGTAGTTCAGATACGGCAGATTTTCCCCTCAATTTGAAACTTCTAGAAGAGAAAAGTTAAATTTTCCAAATTTTTAATCATGACTTTCAAAATTGAATTTTGAATCAAAATCACATCTTACTTCAGGGCATAAGCCCCTAAACAACTCGCCAAGGTGGCCTGTACCCCTTCTCTTTGTTGTTTTGATATGCTAAGGACATTAAAATTTTAGCTTTTTGAGGAATATTTCCCATACATTTGATACGATCCGTTCCATTTATTTTTTCCCCCCTCATTCGTTATGTTTTGCTAGTTATTCACAATTTTACATTTTTCCCCCACACTTTTCACAATTTTTGTGTCAGGACAAAAAAAATGACAGTTCTCTGCCCTGGATGGCTTTACTTTGGAAATAATCCATTATAAAATTGCTCATTCTCAAATCATCAACCTTTCATGTCTTCTAGTTTGCTGTTCGCTACCAGCGGCTGAAAGGGAAAAAGGTGCTCTTTCCATTCGGATTCCATTGCACTGGAATGCCAATTAAAGCATGTGCGGATAAATTGAAGAGAGAGATGGAGTCTTTTGGATTTCCGCCAGAGTTTCCAGCACCTGAAGACACGGGGCCTCCCGCTGAAACCAACGAAGATGCTTTCATGAAAGATAAAAGCAAAGGAAAGAAGGTAAGTGCAACTTTTTTTTAACCTCACTTGATGTAATCACTAATTGTTTTATCATTAATTTATTGCAGCAAAACATTTGATTCTTATGATCGCTGAAATTAATTTGAGTATGATGAAGAAAAGTACTGTTGCTGTTCGTTAAGAATAATGGAAAAATTAGTGGGAAATCTGGACGGCTGGCGACCTTAACATTTCTTGCTCATGGCAAAACTGAGTTAAGAAGTTAATTTCCTGTGGCAAATCATTTTTTGAATTTGTTGAATTTATTTTACAGTTTGCTCAAAAATGAAGCTACATACCTACTTATATTGTTTTTACCTATTAATGTGTAGGATTCAGATTTTTTCCCTTAAAATAAGTATCAAAAAATAAGAGAAAAACAAATATTGAATCATCTACCTATTTCTTGTTTTTTAACTGTTTCATTTACTTTTTTTTCCAACAGAGTAAAGCAGTAGCAAAGGCTGGCACTGCTAAGTACCAATGGGAAATCATGAAAAGTTTGGGACTTCCCGATGAGGAAATCAAAAAGTTTGCAGATGCCTCATATTGGCTGGAACATTTTCCACCACTGGCTGTGAAAGACTTACGAAGTATTGGAATTCATGTGAGTACATTTATTGATAAATGCCCGATAGGTTTTTACTCTTTGTTAACTCCCATCGATATTCAAGAGTTATAAAGTCTGTGTTACAAAATTTTTGTAAAGCTAATTTGATTATTTTTATCCGTTACACATGAGGCTGACAGGTCTCCAGTGGCGTGCACTGAAATCTTGTTTCTCGCTGGCACATTATCTGACTGCCTTTAAATCCACAGGTGAAACAAAAACAGACAAATCAAGCTGTAGCTTATAGCACCTGTTTTTATCTTACTGTTGGGCTCAAAGGGAATGTATAAAAAGTATGTATAAATGTAATAAAGGAATTATTGTGAGAGTGAGGAACAAGATTTCAGCTCACCCCACTGTTAGTCTTGATCATTTCTTTTTTAAACTCTTTTCCTGGTTGAAGTTTTACCAGAAGCCTTTAACTCAAATGTAGGTAGCAGGAACTTTATTATTCCTCAGAGAATGAACCAAGTAAAATGTTTGATTTTCCATGATCTCTAATCTAAGTAGATGTGTGAATAGTCTTGACCTTTTTCATTTTACCATAGATTTTTATTTTCTCAGTTTTTTTTCTTACCTTTCCTTTTTTCCTCAGGTTGATTGGCGTAGGACTTTCATAACGACTGACGCAAATCCATTCTTTGATAGTTTTGTGCGATGGCAGTTCTTCAGACTGCGTGATAAGCACAAAGTGAAATATGGAAAACGTTACACCGTATTCTCGCCAAGAGATAACCAGCCATGCATGGACCATGATCGAGCAAGTGGTGAAGGTGTTGGTCCGCAAGAATACACTCTGGTGAAGATGAAAGTACTAGAACCCTATCCACCGAAGCTAAGGTTTGTGATAGCAATTTCTCATAAATATCAGGTCCAAAAAATATGTAACTGCTGCATCAAGGATGTTGAAAAACATATGAGGACTTACCTGTAACAATAGCGGATGTGAAAAATTACCTTTTCGAAACACATTCAGAAAACTGTTTTGGCATCGAGAAAATTTTGAGAAAATACTTGAGATGTGATCATCGAGATCTGTACATTATGCCAGAGCCAAACATATTAAATTTTTGTGTGAACAAAACAGTTTTTTAAGCGTGTTTCGAAAAGGAGATTTTTCACATCCGCTATTGTTACAGATAAGTCCTCATATATAGAAAGAGGAATCTGATTTTGATGACCAAATTACCATCTCCGATGGAGTCTTATCACTCAATCAGAGTTAAGGCAATCATAATGCACTCTTAACATTCCGAATCAACTCACCTAAAATAATCTGTTTGTTTTGTTATATGATGAACATTTCATGGCTCTCTCAATCTTATTGTCAGGTGATGAAATAATGTGATAAAAGGAAAAGAAGGAATGTGTATTAATGAACTTGGAAAGGCAAACAAAAACAGAATGAAATTTTCCTAGGACGTTAGGCTTTATCCATTGCATTGGTGCTTATCTGTACATTACTCAATAAATTGATCATAAGGCACCAAAATGTTCTCTTTTGTCGACACTTGTTTGAGACTTGTTTCTCTTCGTTCAGACAGAAAAGGTCTTTTTTTTAAATTTTCATTCCTTGTCCCAAAAAGAACTGTCTAATTTTTATCAGATACATATCTTTTCCAATGTTAATGGATTACTAATTGAAATATTTTTTCTTATTCCAGTTCCTACAAAGGGACTCCAGTGTTTTTAGTTGCAGCTACTCTGCGACCAGAGACCATGTATGGGCAAACAAATTGTTGGGTCCGACCTGACATGAAATATATAGCCTTCAAAAATATATCTAACGAAATATTCATCTGTACTCAAAGGTCAGCTAGGAATATGTCATACCAGGGCTTCACACAGTTTGAAGGAAAATTAGATGTGGAATTAAACCTAGTTGGAAATGTAAGTAATGATAATCTTAAAGCTGTTACCATTCTCCTTGATTTTTTCATAGAATTTCTTTCATTTTATTTTTTTTGGTTGAAAAAGTCAGTCAAGGTTCGTGAAAATTGTTTGACTAAAGTGGGTTAACTGTTTTGCCGCACAACACAAAATTTACTGAAATGACTGATTTCCAGAACAGACTGCGGGTGAAATTTTGACTGAATCAACATAACTGCGTCTGTCCAGACAAATGTGTGATGAACGAAAAAATTCAAGTCCTATCAAAAGTTGCAAGAATTCACATACGTTACCTCACATCCAATTTTGGCTGGCTCAATTTTTTTAATTGGTTCCCTTCTTTGATTTTCCGTGCAATGAATTGAAATTTTTTGAGGTTTTTCTGTAAATTATCTTCAATTTAAGCAGCTTTTCCTTAGCATAGAAAATGACAGTATAGCTTTAATCGTTGCCTTTTACATTCTGTCTAGAGACTGGAAAAAATATTGCTCTAAGCGGCATTAAAATTGATCGGTTTTCCCTTCAGTCCTCTATTGTCGACTCTAAATATTTTTGCTGGCTCATCACAGAGAAATAAATGAATAATGGTCAGTTTTAACACTGCGTATGTTTATTTTGTCAACAGGACATCATGGGTATCAAACTAGAAGCTCCTCTTACATCTAATAAAGTGGTCTATACTCTACCGATGCTAACAATTAAAGAAGAAAAAGGTACGGGTATTGTAACCAGTGTTCCTTCTGATTCGCCAGATGACTATGCTGCGCTCTTAGATCTCAAGAAAAAACAGCCTCTACGAGAGAAATATAACATTCTAGATGAAATGGTTTTACCTTTTGAACCGGTAAGAGAATTTAATGCTTTACTTCTTGTTAGGACAAACCGTATCAATATGTTTGTCTACTTTTAGAAAGTTTACATTCCCCAATAGTCCCTCATAGTCTGTGCGTTTTGATAGTCTGTGCGTTTTGATAGACAGAGTCAAAATGAGGGCATTTTTGCGCACGTTGAGGAACACAAGGATTTGCCGCTCCAGGCCAGGCTCTTTGCGGTCTGTTCCCATTGTGTCTATGCTGAGTTGTCGCATCCCTTTTCAACAAGCCTTCTGCCTGGTGTTAGTAAAAAAATTGGGGATCAATTTTTTTATGGTTCGTCAAATTTTCATTTATTTCTACAAATTTGGATCCAGTGTACAATTCTGTTAAAATATATGTCTAATTGTTAGGGAGCATAATGGTAAGTTATTGTATCATGAAACTCGCAGATTCTCTCAGAGCATAGTTTATAATAAAAGGGCTCCGTAATCTTCGAAAAATATGTATACAGTTTATGTTTTTTTCCCCTCTTCATAATGGTTTAAATTTGCAGTGTAAGCGAGGTTTGTCTTGTGAAGGGAGAGCAGAAAATTTGTGATAGTAAACAATTTGAAAGTACCCGAGCCTGTGGAGTCAGTCATTTTTTGTCAATAAAAATCTTGCTTGCATAAATCAACCTGCTTTATACACGCCATGTGATGTCTCACTACTGCTCTCCTATCACATCACTTCTTAAGCTAGTTTCTCTTGCATCTTTCAATACATATGTGAGCTACTTGTCACAATTACAGTAATGATTTTTTTTTCATTTTTAGAGAAATTTTTAATCACAAGTAAAAATGAATGAAACGGAGCGTAACTTAATTTTTGTTTGTTTCCTCGAAATACTTTTGGGTTTTACATTACACAATACTTTTTCCCCTTTCAGATTCCTATAATTGAAATTCCTGAATTAGGTAAATTAAGTGCCGTTCATCTTTATGAAAAACTAAAAATTCAAAGCCAAAATGATAAAGACAAACTCCAAGAAGCCAAGGAGCTTGTATACCTGAAAGGTTTTTATGATGGCGTAAGTATCTTTTCAGTTATTTTGTTTCTGAAGCATGAATGATTCAACAAAATTTACTATTCATTTGTAATCATTAGATCAATGGAAAACATTGTTTTTCTCAAGAAATTGGGTTTTTTAGTAAACGTGGGCCCCGAATTATCTATCCATATCATGGGGCTTTTCAATTTTATCCTAACTTTATTTTCATGTTATAAATCTAATGTGAATTTTAGTCTGTGATCTTAGGATAAAAATTCCATCCCATTTATGAAACTCATCAATTATGGTCATGTGATAATTTTGTCTCATTCTAATTAATGTGACTTTAAATGAAACAAAAAAAATGGCTACTGAAATTCTGATGCTCTAATCATGTCCAGAATTTATTGCAGTGGGCTTTGTAAAGTGTTAAGAATGAAACAATTTTCAAAATAAAGAAGATGTATGGTAATATATGGAAGTTGTACAGCCCCTCTGATGCAAATCCCTCACCATCTATTATGGTGAAAGGAAGTGGTAGGACATAAAATGCAAAAACATCAAGTGTAGTTTGTTGCCTGAAATTACCTCTCACAAAAAATTCCCCAATTTATTTTTTCAAAGTGACTCAATAGAATAATTCTTTGTTGTAAAACCTTAAAGCTATCTAATCTGTTTTTTCCTGTGTCGTATCTTGTTAGTTACTTAGACAAAATTGTCTTCTTAAAGGTTATGTTAGTCGGAGACTTTGCTGGCAAGAAGGTCCATGAAGTTAAGAAATCTGCGCAAAAGTTGCTGATTGATCAAGGGCAAGCTGTATTATACTATGAACCAGAAAAATTAATCATGTCCAGGTAGGAACCAATCCCATACCATAAACGCGCTATTAGGAATAAATGAACAAATTGCTTGGCAATAATAGGTCAGTCCAAATTTTTTAAGTAGTTACGGCCTCATAAGTCAATGATAGTTTATTTTTTGTAGAAAAATCCTTCTAGTATTTTTGTTGGTTGGCTCAACAGTGGAAACTGAAAAATAATGTGATAATCTAAGCAGAAAATCAGGCTAGTTTGCAGCTGTCATTCCTTCCTTGGACCATGTCACCAAGGACGATTTAAATATTATCACTTTAGTTGGTCTTTTATTTGATTTTTTTTTTTTTTTTTTTTTTTTAAGACTTTGTCATTTCATCAGTGCTTTCATAATTACATTTTTACTAAATTAGTCCTTGTATATGAAATGCATAGGTGCTCTTTTCTGAATGTACAGTCTGATATTCCTCACTTAACATTCCAAGTTGCCTTAATTCTTTAAGTTTTTGGGTCGTAGATCTGGAGACGAGTGTGTAGTAGCCCTCTGCGATCAATGGTATCTTGATTATGGGGAGGAGAGCTGGAAAGCTGCTGCTGAGAAAGCGCTTCAAAGCATGAATCTGTATCATGAGGAAGTCAGGCGGAATTTCACAGCCTCACTCAATTGGCTTCACGAATATGCATGCTCTAGGACTTACGGTCTAGGTATGCTGTTTTTAAGTTTTATGTATTACTTTTATCCAACATTTGAATTTCTGAAAAATTGAACTCCGCAACCATTTATCCCTCTTAACCTATTAAGTCATGGAATATCTCAAGCAGTATTTAGCAGAAATCAACAAGATTAGCAAAAAAAGCTGAGTGGAATTTTTGTTTAAAGGTCAGGAAAAATTAGGGAATTCGAAAATTTTAGAGCCAAGGAAAAGCAAAAAAAAGTCTGGAAATCTGAAGTTGAGGATGCTTTGGAAACCCTGATGACTGATTGAGACACTTAAGTCAATCATTCTTGAAGTTTTCATGGCGTTTCTAAGCAAGGGTGCAAAGAGATCTCTTATTTTATGTCTCCCAAAGATTGTTTGACCCTTTAATCAGAAGTTTTAAAACAATAACCCCCAATTATGTTGAAAGTCAACCATCATTGCATTTGATTAAAGAAGTTTCTTAAAGTGTCAAAGGAGTCCTAAAATAATAAAACGATTAGATAATGCGAAACAACTGGGCGCTCTTTCAATGATGGGCATAGCAATATCAAGAAAATTCTCCCATCCTACAAGAATAGAATTTTAATTTCAAATGCGAAATTGGTTTCATGACTCTGTTTTGTTTCTACAGGTACCAAGCTGCCATGGGACGAACAATGGCTTATTGAGTCTCTGTCTGACTCGACCATTTACATGGCTTACTATACTGTGTCGCATCTTCTACAAGGTGGCACATTTAAAGGAGAAAATGGAAATGTTCTGAAGATCAGGTATTGCCAGAGCTCTCACCACTATCATTCTTCTTAGCTGCAATCAACTCTGTTGATGAATAAATCAGAAGTTAACTTGAAAACTTTCACAACTTAAATCATTCATTTTTTTCTATACACTTCTTGCCAACAAATTTTTTGGTATGTTTTCCCACCAGACTAAGAAATAAACTGATAATATAGCAAAATGCGACTACTGTAAATCATTATTATTAGAGACAGCTGTAATGCAGACGTTATCTTCCAGCAGGGAGTGTGTTAGAAGTCAACAAGTGTATAATTTTTATCACAATCTCACAATTTTGCGCTTCTGTGACAATCCACAGAACAAAAATCCCTAGAGCTCAAAAATTTAAAATTGATGCATTGGTACTATTGCTTATAGGAGAGCTTTACATCAATATTTTTCAGCACCTCTGATAAGTCAGTAATGCCATGCTGAATCAACTAAGTGGAACAATTTTTTTCAAAAATTCAATCTCCATTAGCAGTTCTCAACTCTTCTATTTTTTCTCTAACCAGACCAGAGCAAATGACACCTGAGGTATGGGATTACATTTTCTTCAAAAATGCACCTTTTCCGAAGAAGACGGAAATTTCTAAAGAATCCCTCGACAAGATGAAGCTGGAATTCAATTATTGGTACCCCGTTGACCTTCGTTGCTCGGGCAAAGACCTCATCCAAAACCATCTCACATTCTTCATTTACATCCATTGTGCTATTTGGGACCAAGATCCATCCATGTGGCCCCAAGGCATCCGTGCCAATGGCCACCTTCTTCTCAATTCAGCGAAAGTAAGTATTTTTTCTAAAATTAAAAAATCCATAACCTCTGCCGAAACCTTATGTAGATGATTTGAAATCACAGAGCGTCTATTGCAAGCAAAAGCTACAGCCAAGTTAATAGATGCCTGAAAAGTAAAATCGCTCAAAAATCACATCTGGCACATCAAACAAGTCTAAAATCCACTTCTTAGCGTGCAATCTTCAGTTTGTAACATGCTTTTTCATTACCGCGTCTGCAGGCAATTTTTCTCAGTGGCCAGCAGTTAGATTTGCCCAAAGGGAAAGAGAGTCAAGGAAAGCAAACTTGGTCTATGATCCAACCCAATCTAATGAACAAAGTATTTTGTGAACTGTCAAAAATTATCCTCACTTTAATATTTCAACTGATTTAAAGCTATCACTTTTGGTGAACAAAGGAAGAGGCAAACACACTGAAAATAAATTAAAATATGTCGGAAAAATTCTGCGAAATTCTGTATTTATTCCAGTCAGATTTTCTTACTTCCCTGTCTGGGCAAACCTTGTTGCCAGCATTTAAGAAACTTACTCGACATGAAAAATTTGAAGAAGCATGCTAGAAACTATGCAAATTGTGCAGAAACGGGACGAATTTCTGACTTCTATGATACGCTCATCATGATTCTTGTGCAATTTTACCAGTTTAAAGTCTATTCTTTTACCTCTATCTGACCCAACAGACAACCCTTGCAACAGACCTATTTCATTCAAAAACAACTAATGTGTCAAAGACAAGTTTGAAGCTAATGAACCGTTCAAGGAAGGAAAGTGATTGAATAAATATTTTTTATTGGCTGTGCCCAATTACCACAAAACAGACAATCATGGCTAGTGATTTCTGTCTGTGCTTTTGGCAACTTTTCGTTTGACGTTTTACACTCCAAAATTGTTCAAAAGAGGTCATTTTTCTCTTTCGTTGAAAGTCAAGTCAATATTAAAGCTGTGCAATTTGTTTAATCAAAATGTGTTGCAAATAACTGAATGCTAAGTTGGAGTGTTCTTAACTAAAGATCTAACTTACAAATCTTTGGACTAATCCAAGTTTTTAATCCTTCTTAAAAAATAAGTCATCATAAGTATTCAGTGCAAGTAACATTAGAGGTGGATATGTCACAACATCTAAATTTTTTATTTGCTCTTGTCAGTGCAAGAAACTTAAAGTGAATTCCCCTTGTAACGTGTGAACAAGGCTGTTTAAATTATTAATTTAATTGACTCAAATCACCCTCATTCATGTTTTGCACAACCCTATCTAATTATTCACTTATTTTTGCAGATGTCAAAATCGGAAGGTAACTTCTTGACCCTATGTGACGCTGTTCAGAAATTTAGCGCTGATGGAATGAGATTATGTTTAGCAGACTCCGGTGATTCGGTTGAAGATGCCAATTTTGTTGAGAGCACAGCTGATGCTGGCATCCTCAGGCTTTACACATTCATAGAATGGGTCAAATCTGTGCTGTCAGCAAAAGATACATTCAGGAATGGACCTCCTGAGAAGTACCGATGGACAGACAAAGTTTTTATCAGGTATGTTCTTCTTTGTCTGTCATCTCCTTTTATCGCTGTAATGCATGACTTGCACTGACGATGCTGTACGCCAATAATCTGAAAATTGATGTGATTTGCTCATCTTAAGTAACCAGATCCAACTTAATAGTATCATTTTTATTCTTAAAATATATTGTATTCGCGGATATTTTGAAGAAAAAATGAATAATGATCTCATTTGACTAAGTTTCTCAATGCTCAAGACAAAATTGTATTCAGCTCTTAATATTTATGACTTGTATGATAGAATCCTGGGCCTTACGCATTGAGCACTAATTACCTTTGTCACAAATATGTTCTAATCTTGATGATCTGTCCTGTGTGTTTTAGTGAAATGAACCTGAAAATAAAAGAAACAGACGAAAACTTTGAAAAAATGCTTTTCAAAGAAGCCTTAAGAACAGGTTTCTTTGAAATGCAGGCCATTCGAGATAAGTATCGAGAATTGACGGCAAATGAAGACGGTATGCATTATCAGCTGGTGCTTCGCTTTATCGAAGTACAGACTGTTTTACTTGCACCCATTTGTCCACATGTATCGGAACATGTGTATCAGCTACTGGGAAAGGTAAACAATAGATACAACTTGTCTTTTTTTTTACCACTCAAATTCCTTAATTTTCATTTTATTTTAACTCTCGGTCGTGTGCAATTCAATATTAAAAAGAAAGAAGGCGATTAGAAGCTTTGTTTAACAGACCCAAGTCAAAAGAAAATAGTTGCCGTGTACTGATGATGGGTCCAATTAGACCCAAAAAGTATAAATAGAATGTTACTTTAACTTGCAGAGAACTTTTGTCCTTGCTAAGAATGGCAAAATCTAAGTACCTACATACAATGCGAAAAGAATTTGATTTATGATAACTCTAATTGGACGTATTTATGCTAAAAGGAACTATGTGGAAGTGGAAAGATGGGGTGTGCTTGTGGAAGCTGGATAAGAAACGATGTGAAAGTGGATACAGTTCCTTTTGACAAAATGGAAAAGCAGGATTCTCAATTAAATCAAAAGGAACTTAGCGCTAACTTGTGAGCCATGGACAAGTGACAAGAACTGTATGAACAGGGCTCATGAGTTAAAGAGTCCCGCAATCAATCTCCCCGTCCCGCCCGGTCTCAGTCGTTGCCGCTGACGTCACTGGCGCTTTTACAGTCCCATTCATTCCTATGGCCCGACCACTAACGAGCACACCCCATCTTTCCACTTCCACATAGTTCCATTTAGCATAAATACGTCCAGTTCTAAGAATCTAAGATTTCCATCGTTGCTGAAAAAATTGGTCACCCGAAGTGCAGTAGTTTTATCGCCTGCCTTGAGATCAGAAGGTGTTGGGATTAATTCCTGGCAAGAAGATTGAAATTTAAAAATCTCATTTGAGGGCCTCAGGGACTCTGTTGTTTGAGTTTGGATTGAGCAGGGTAGGAATTAATGTAGGAAAGTTTCAGGAAAAAAGAAGAAAGAAAAATTAATGCAAAAATGTTTGTGTCCTTCTAGAAATCAAGTGTAGTTGCTGCTACCTGGCCTGAAGCTGGCCCAGTGGATAATGAACTAGTCTTGTCAGTAGAATATCTTATGGAAGCAGCGCATGCCTTCCGTCTGCAACAGAAAAATCAGATTCAAAATCTCTTGAAAAAACAAAAAAATAAGACGCCCAATGCTGTAGTGAAGCCAAGCTCTGCAACAATATGGGTAGCCAAAACGTTCCCACCGTGGCAACACATTATCTTGACAACAATGAAAGAAATGTATCAGGTAGGTTGGAATTTTTAATCAACACCAGTAATGCATAAAAGTATAAAGAAATATTTTTCTGAAGCGAAGATTTTTGGCAGAAGGAAGGTGAAATAAGTTCTAATAAAGTAAGGAATAAGAACAAGTTTGAACACCCAAAAAAATTCATAACAAATTGAAGGACTATCAATTATCTTAGATTCATATACCACAGTTTTTTCTTCAGAGCTTTCCTTCAATTTGTTTTGTTTTCTGAACTTAGATGGTTTTTTTTCTTTTATTTCAATCACGGTCGATCCAAAGGACCCTACAACAAAACGGCCAAATCGGCCTAAACACGGAATCGTACGATTTTCTCAGGGATGATAGAGGGTCTTCCCAGACACTCAAAACTGGTCATATTTTTTGCCTAACCCCCAGGGAAAAGGGGGGAGAGGGGGTCAAAGTCAAAACCTTTAAATTAGCATAACTTCTCAACGGTTTGTCGTAAAAAGATGATCTTGGTGTCAAAATTTCCAGAAAAATGAGAGCTTTCAGAATATATGTATGAAATTAATTAAATTTTAAAATTTGACCCACTTTTGGGGCATTTGACAAGGTCTCCCTTTCGTAAATTTTCGTTTTTTGAGATTTTCGGTTGTTCGGTTCGCACGGATTAAGACAAAAACAATTTCAAATGAAAGTAGAGCGTTTAAGCTTTAAAACAAGCCGAAGATGATCTTAGGGAAACGATTAGAAGCGGAGTTATGAGTCTTCAAAGTTGACGCGGTGCGCGGGAACCTTGTATGTTCCGAGTCTCAAGGTCACCTGCGCGCCCCGGATTGCCTGCAGGTTGCAAGTTTTTGTGTTTTTATGCTTCTGTAGGTCATTTTTAATGTAAATCATTCAATGAAGATAGAATAATCGAAATTTTTTAATTTTACGGGAGGAGCGAGAGGGGGCTTAGAGTATCAACCATTATGTCCATCATACCTCATTAAGCATTTGCTGACGATAACGATTCTGCTCTTATAATTTAGAGGAAACCATGGACCCTCAGTTCAAATGTACATATGCTCCATACAGAACTGAACCATTTAGAAATTATAACCCATTGATGCCAAATTTTGGGGTACCCCTAATTTTAAATTTTTTTAATTGAGCTATAAGCTACAGCGCTTGACGGAACTCACATGGTAATGCCAAATAGTTTCTCGTAGAAGCAGACGAGCTTTGAGCTTCAAAACAAGTCTTAGTTATTCTTGAGGGGGCTACTTCAAACGCAGTTAAAATTTTTTGACGTTAATGAGGTGTACCTCGCCCGAGGCCCATTGTGTAAAATTAAAAAAATTCTGATTATTCTATCTTCATTGAATGATTTACATTAAAAATGACCTACAGAAGCATAAAAACACAAAAACTTGCAACCTGCAGGCAATCCGGGGCGCGCAGGTGACCTTGAGACTCGGAACATACAAGGTTCCCGCGCGCCGCGTCAACTTTGAAGACTCATAACTCTGCTTCTAATCGTTTCCCTAAGATCATCTTCGGCTTGTTTTAAAGCTTAAACGCTCTACTTTCATTTGAAATTGTTTTTGTCTTAATCCGTGCGAACCGAACAACCGAAAATCTCAAAAAACGAAAATTTACGAAAGGGAGACCTTGTCAAATGCCCCAAAAGTGGGTCAAATTTTAAAATTTAATTAATTTCATACATATATTCTGAAAGCTCTCATTTTTCTGGAAATTTTGACACCAAGATCATCTTTCTACGACAAACCGTTGAGAAGTTATGCTAATTTAAAGGTTTTGACTTTGACCCCCTCTCCCCCCTTTTCCCTGGGGGTTAGGCAAAAAATATGACCAGTTTTGAGTGTCTGGGAAGACCCTCTATCATCCCTGAGAAAATCGTACGATTCCGTGTTTAGGCCGATTTGGCCGTTTTGTTGTAGGGTCCTTTGATTTTTAATTTTGAGAGGGACTCTTCGCACAAGTATTTGAATTTTCATTAAACCAAGATTAGTAAATGTGTAACTCACTGTTGATTATAACTGAGTATTAAAGTGAAATTATCGCCACAAGTGAGTTATAGGTTTTTTGACCTTCAGGAACTGATGTGAGGATTTTCAAAAGAGCATTGAAAGTAGTATCAATATGGTAGTAATTCAGATTCCTCCAGCTATTATACAGCGAACTAAAATGTTCACAAAACTTCTTTATTTTTTGTGCAGACAAATCCAGGGTTGAATTTAGGTAAATGGACCACTAGACACGGTACGAATTTCAGCATTCTGATACATGTTTCTTAACCAAAATTTCACGAAGAACACGATGTGCAGAACGAAAATTACCGAAATCAACTCCTTACGAAGATATTTAATGATTCTTAATTCGTGAATTCAAACCATCCGCTCATGAAAACTCAATGCTCTACGTGATTCACATCGCGCGCTAAACGTTATCATGACAGTCTCTGCGATATAAAAATCTGGTAACCTCAATCTTGACGCTTTGGCTCAGTTATAGCAAATTGCTAATAGTTTGAACAACACATGATGGGAAATGAACATTGCTCGATTGAGAAGCTTGCTGAAACCGTTGTAGTGGGCGGTTTCACTCACGTAGAGTTTTGAGTTTCTTGTGAGCGGGCAGTTCAAATTCTTCGTAACCAATGTGAAATAAAAACGTTAATATCTTCGTTAGGAGTTGGTTTCCGTAATTTTCGTTGTGTGAATCGTTTTCTACAAGAAATTCTGGTTAAGAACCATGTATCAGATCGCTTAAATTCGTACCTTGTCTAGTGGTCCATTGGGAAGGTTACCTCTATGGGATTGACAGTTTTCAGGGAATACTTCTTTTGTGGGTCTTTAAAATTTAGTGTCTCTCTCCTTCTGTAAAAGCTGACTATATCCCACTGCATTTCTTCGAATAGCCAAGAAATAGGACTGTTACACCCTCTAAAGATACATTATTGATAATCTTACTAAGTATTCTAATTTTATTAATTATTATTCTGATATGAATCTCACTTATCTCATCTTGTTTTATGTGACTAGAATAATAGTCAGACTCTTCCTGAAAACAAGGCATTATCCACTATTCTATCCAGCAAACCAGAGCTGAAAAAGTACATGAAAAGAGTGATGCCTTTTGTTCAAGACACAAGGAAAAAAGTTGAAGCAGTTGGAATCACTGCTCTAAACTTGACACTAGATTTTGACGAGCTGAATGTCCTCCTACTGAATCAGGTCTACCTGAGGAATACGTTAGACGTAAGTATATCTATGTTTTCTAGCCCCATTTAAGTTCCTGAGGTGCAATTCATAGAAACTAATAAAGTAACCAATTATCTGTTAAAAAGTGAGATTCCATGTGATCGAGCTGATCAATAATTCAAAATTCCCAGTAAAATAATCCATTCGCATGAATTTAATGATGAACATCCTTGTGGACTTTCATTTTTCTAAAAGAGAGGATTATCGAATTTCATCATGTTATCAAATTATGTGTGAACAAATGCTACAGGATTGACACACATCACTAAGCATGGAAATTTCTAGAATCAGCATCCGTATTATGTGACAGGAAAATCTCTGAAAAATCTCTCTCATATGCAATACTACCACCAAATTATATTGACATCATGAAAACTATGTTTTACATAATTTCACTTCCTAATTCTTGTTACTAATTTTGTATGTATTTTTTCAGCTTGAATCCCTTGAAATCAAGTATTCTGATGTTGAGGATGCTCCTGAGGCTGTGCGTGAAGACTGTTGTCCTGGTCACCCTTACATCGCGTTCCAATTCTAAAGTGAATAACTGATTAGCTATCTCTTTCAGTGACAAACACAGTGCATGGGAGCCTTTTTACTGACAAAAACGGGACAGTAGTGTCAGCGATTGCTGAAGAGAGTATGGATGGCCTATCAATCACTTCTGTCAAAATCTTTCTCAAGTACTAAACCCTTCATAAAAAAAAAATGTTTTTTTTAAAGTAAAATCAACCGTACATTATCCAGTTCAAAATATTCACCGCAGAAGGATAGCAAATAGAATTACAACCGTGTCATTTCTTACCATTCAGAGAGAATTTTCATGCTGCTTTCCTTTTCAAGCTTTCAAAATTTAATCAAACATTGTCCGTAAGCATTCCTTGCACAGATACTATTTCCGTAAAATTTTGAATAATAATTCAGAAACTCTCTTGGTTGCTCAATAGATAAGTTTTTATTAGGTGCAGTGGAAATTTTAAGTGGTACATATAAGAAGCGTCTTTCACTTCTTTTTTCACTAGTAGTTGATCTACAACTAAGAATCATTGTAGTGGATCGATTTGATTTTTATCATATAACTTAGTCAAGCTACTCTCAGTTTCTAATTAATTTATTTTTTCTTTTAATCGAGCTTGCATATCTCCTGTTTGTTTTGTTTTTTAATCAGTATTATGTTAAGGAGAAAAACAGGTATGCGTTTTTTTTATTTATTTATTTTAATTGCTATAAGTTATTTATTTTGTAAATGTTACAAAATGCTGGTGTGATTAATAAGATATTATTTCTTTAGGCGAAATAGTCTAACCAGATTATGAAGATTTATTCTGTAAGTTTTGATGTATTGACCTTCCTTCAGCTCTGTCATCCATTTTTCAAGAATATCTTTCAAATCTGGACTTCGTATTTTAATCTCCTTTCAAACTCCTTTCCTTGATTATCGAATCATTCAAAATTCTTAAAGTTCATGCTTACATGGTACATGGTAATTATCAATCTCTGTGGTATGATATTATAATTGGACTGCATTTTGCAATTTGGACCTACAAATTCTGGCTCATCTGGAAAAACACTTATGTACATAGGGAAACTAATGGCTCATACGTTGTTTTTAAACCGGGCCGGAATTTATAGGTCCAAATTGCAAAATGCAGTCCAATTGTCATCAAGTTTTTTCTCCATTGGAGACTTATGGTCCTAAGGCAGATGTAGTAATCCAAAGTAATAAAAGACTATGGATTTCATTTTACGAGTATTAAGTTAACCATCATTTCTAAATCAGGAAAGGATACCCGCTCAATTAAAACAACAGTCTGCTCCTAAGACCATGATGATATGGTAATTGAGGGCTATCAAACAATACCGCCGAACTGATAATTTTGGCTAATAAGTGTCAGCGACTTTTCTGCATCCTACAGTATGAAATACGCAAGCTGATAGTTTCAGTTTTTTTTCCAATTCTGTAGGGAAGCGCTTCAATGACGCTGTAATGAATGAAAAAATTAGAAATCCACCCATAAAATTACAAAAATGGCGGAACTTTCTCTTCGTTCTGCAAAATCGTCAGTTTGCAGATGGGCGGTATTGTTTGTTAGCCATCGTAATGCTAGAACACACGAACCTCCAAGTTAATCAACTCGTAATTATAATGTTTTATAGCAGGAAGGGAAGGTACACTTCATTAGAGCCCCTCCCCCTCCCTCGAAAGCTTAACTCACGATACATTTTGTTGACTGACTTTCCTTCCAAGTAGAATATATTTTAGCGTGACTGAAATGACCGAAGAATTCTTTTTCAACAAAATTTTTTTAGAAATATTAGGCTCATTTCAATTCGGAGACCCTAGAGCAATATTGCAACAAGAGCGAGTAAGTTTAAAGTCCATGAAAATTTGCCTCAATGTCTTTCTTGATTTGTTGATTTTGATTAAGATAAAAAGACATCAGGTCGATGGCAGCTTAGAAAAAAGTGGGGGTCTTGTAAAAAAAAATAAGCAACAAAAATAGCAGAATTTAATTTTTATTTGATTGATATATGCATATGTATATGAACATGTAGACAAAGTTAAAACTAAACTCTTCCTGACACTGACTGAAAAATCTTCAACAAGCACACTTTAATCTTCAATGTATTTTCCAGAGTCAAATAACTAAGATAGCATTGGAGAAAAACAAGGATAGAATTAAGAAACAGATCATAGTTTCAGTTTAAAGTTATTCAATAATCCTACAATTTATGAAAAAAATTGTGAGAAGAAAATGCCTTACATAGTAGTTTAATGAAAATTACTGACTCTTACTTCCAGGATTATTAAAATCCATTTTCCAATTTACTTTGTTCCCCTGTGTAGATTATTTTAATCCTGAAAGAGAAACAAACATGATGAAAAGTCTCATTCTAACATGTTCGACTCTAACAGCGACTGTAAGTATATGCCATAATTGAAAGGATTTCCTTGGTGTCAAAGGTTGAAATAGGAGGTTTTCATTTGAATTTAGATAACATGACCTCATTTACCCGACTCTTCATGAATTGATGAGCTAATATAAAAACTTTTCAAAAATGATTTATGGCTTGTGACTTTTTCTTAATAAACTTAATTCATTCTTATTTTAACTTTTTTTGTGGTATGTAAAAACGTAAAAAGCAGTCATATAAAAAGGAAACTGATAGCACAGTCAATTATTACTCTTAACTTAGAAAAACAGTTAACATACATCATACAGTTCAGTTTCCATTTATTCTCGTTAAAACAATACATTCATTCCGCAAATGATCTAAAACATCAGCTGGACTGAGCTCGCGTGTTACTTGTGGACCAACTTAATTTCATTCGGGAAGAATTTGAAACTTATTATCAAGGAAACCATAACTCTTTCGCATTGAGGACATGAGGTAAAGTAATTAAGTGATGTACAATGTACAAGGGATTCAAAATTCCCATTAATGCAAATGATATGACTGAAATTGGTATTTATGGATAGTATCAAATAGGATTGAAAAACATTTGTCACTTTAATGGATACGCTCTATTCCTGTCCAAGTTTGACTGCTGATCACTGTCTAGGAGGAACCAGAAGTACATGAACAATTTAAACCCTAGACAGAAAGTAAATTATGGACAGAAGAATCAGCCTCTGGCCAATCTTTTTTTCTCTATTTAAAGGCGCTTCTGTCCTTCAGAGAACTAACTGAGACCTAAATGTCAAAAAATTGTCTGCAAAGAATCCATTGATAAATCAATTGGAGCAATATGTATCTATTAGAAGAAAAAATGGTAATGAATAAAGAAAATAAAAGGAAAATAAACCATTCTCAATCAGTTCCAATTGGTTTTTGACAGTGGCCTGAGTATTTAAGAAGTTTAGGGATTTTCAGGTTCATTTTTTTTTCTATATAAAAAAAGACTAACTTAAAAAACAAGTATTCTGTCCAGAGAGGGGATAAAAAGTGATTTGAACCTAGGAAGTTTCACCGGCATTCCATAACAATCATATAAAAATTTTCACAAGTGTGGTTATGACTCATCTAAAATTAACTCTCCATGATCCTTATTCTAGAGATATAGAGGCTAACAAGGGCATGAAAGATAACTTGCGATCATTTATTCCCTCATTGTGCAAGACAAAAATCACCATTACTATCATGAAGATTTGTCACAAGGCTGTCAAAAATAGCTGACCGGGAAAACAATTAAATTTTAAGTGTTTATAAGGTTTCACCAATGTTACTTAAAATAATCTTTAATTGAAATTCATATGGGTACCAGATTAGTCCCAGTTAGAGAACATTCTACAAATAATACAGTTTAAGAGCAAATATATTACAGAGCTAAATTTAATTAATTTATTTTACAATTCCTGACACGGTTGGGGCGCGAGGATAAATAAATAGAAATTAATACGTTGAAAAAAAATAAATAAAAAATAAAAAAAATTAAATAAAAACAAGACAAACATTTAGATAAAAATGATAAAATTAGAAAGATTTGAAACAGTTCCACCAAAGCTTAGCGCTAACAAATTCCAAAGCGGTAAAGTCGTTAAAATTATTATCCATCAGTTTGTGTGATTTTCCAAACATCTTCCTTCTTGCTGGGCCACAAAATGGGATTTTGTAGATGAGTCAATTATGCTGAAACGATAGAAAACAAATAAATAAGAAGGTGGAAGAGCAATAATCTAAGAGCATACCCTGTGTCACACTATTAAAGCTAGCCATCAAAATATCAAGGTCAAGTGTTATGATTGGCTTATTCGATGACTTGGACCAATCACAGCTTATAATAAGCTGACCTTGACATTTTGATGGAGTTATTTTGATAGTGTGATACAGGCTCATCAGACAATTTCTCTCTATTTCGAGGGTTCATTACAACCCTGTTTCATTTTGAGGAGGAATTTTAGGAAAAATGCGTAGAAATAGCCCCAACAACTTTTAAATTAAAAAAAAAAATGTTGGGCAGAAAACTAGCCTCCAACATCATAGCTTTCGACAACTAATATTACTTTGATGCTGACACATGGGCTTAAAAACAAGTTATAAGATAGAACATTTGAACCAAAAGAGCTGACTGTTCTCATACATATTATTCAGCTAGAACATTTGAACCAAAAGTGCTGACTATACTCATACATATGATTTATCTCTCTTAAACTGGTTTTCATGCTATATGAGACAGATTTACATCTTACTCACCGGCAATGCTGACAATTGCTTCGGAGGCATAGTATTTGACATCTACATCAGTGTCAGTGTTTAGTGTGTCCAAAACAGGTTTAACTTGACTTTGGATGACTCTGTAATGGAAGAAATAAGAAGTGAAAAGAGAATGAAGCTGAGGAGGAGAAAAAAATTTGAGAGTAGAAAAACACGATGAAAGCAGTCTAAAAATGAGTGAAAACTAAATATTAAATTAGGTTACACATAGGAATTTAGGTAAATAAAATTAAGAACAAGACGGTAGAAAATGTCCGCTATTGCCACTACAACAAAGGGCAGAAAACAACACAATTTCTAAATTTTAAAAAAACATAAAACAATGCCACCGTAAATTAAATGTTCAACACCTGATCCGCAGTGAATAATTTTTCGGAGGTATCTCTGTAAATATTCAACCATTTTGTGGTGCTTTATTCATGAAACTTTGCTTTGGATTTTCTTTTATCTTTCTAAGTTTCTACACCCATCATTGCATGAACTTGAGAATATTATTGGAAAAAACTGAGGACATTATCATAAAAATTGAAAGGATGCTATTTATTTCTAATTTTGAAAGGAACATTTTCTCTACAAAAACAAAAATTCCCATGGACTCCAATGTCCCTAAAAATCACACACTAAAATATAATGGGTGGCTAGTGTTGATCTCCTTACCCTGGATCAAGGATTGGTCCAATTTTCTGCAATGTTTTTGCAACATTGAATCGTACATTGGCAACACTGTCATTGGCCATTCCTAAAACAGTTGGTAGCATGAGTCTTGTTGTTATTTCTGGGCCACAGGCTTCTGCTAATACCTGCAAAATAAAAGGAACATTAACAATCCACCTCTATTGCAAGTGCTGTGAAAAAAAATGGCATATTGTGAATAATGGTAAAAGAGACGTACAATTGCTATAAAACCAATGTCTTATTAAGTTAAAAGAGGGACTCAATGGAAATGTTTCTCTTAGACTTGCTTTGAACAACTACAAAAATCAAAAATCTTAAAGCTGGTATGAGAGCTATTAAATGCAATTCAACTGAAAAACCGATAATTACAGAATTTTTTTGACAGTATTCTAACCATCCCAAAATATTGAAAGTTATTTGGCAAATAAGTCAATATTTAAGTCTGTGCGAGCCCAAGAAGTGCAAAGAAATTCCCTATCTTGCTATCCATCTTGGGTCGTGAGTAAATATTAAAAAAATACACTTTTCCATTGAAATTTGTATGATTGTCACTTGAAAAATAGACGTTACAAACATCTCTGATGAACTGGTTGGTCTACTAATTGTAAACCATGAATTTATCCATCTTTTTGTTGTTTGTCTCAGCCCAAGTCCAGATAGCGAATGTTAAAATTGGCCTGGTAATGCTTTTGCAGACTATGGCTTTACTCTTTTCGCCACATACTTGTTGCATCTCATCATTTGGTTGAGACAACCGCCCTGATTGCCGGGTAATGCTCTTCAGTTCCAAAAATACTTTGTGATTAAGACTTATTAGATTTTTCAGTCAAAGATTTTTTAATGACCAAAACATTTAAAAACAAAGATACTGATTCATGGTGCAAGTAGCTGATTTCCAAGATCATTCAGCGCCTAACACTCATAAAATACAGTTTAGATAGATTGTAAGATACATAAAAAATGTTGGATTGAGTGTGCCTAACGCTCAACAAGGCTCAGGAATAATTGAATGTTTTCACTTTACATTCAAGACAAAAACAACCATCCTTCATCTGATAGTGATAATTCTTCATTAAAAACATTAAAATAATACTCACATTTAGACTAAATAAACATGTCATTCGGTGGAGGTAATTAGTATCCCGTGACATGGCTAATACTTTAGGAATTACTGTAGATTGCGCCCATTCAGCACCAAATTTTTCAACTAATTTCTTTAAATTTAATGTTGCTGCTTCCCGAATAGCGTACACTGAAACAGAGAGTGGAAGTCAAAAAGGCATGATCATGAAATCACAATATCCAAATTAAGAAATCGACTAGCTGAACTCAATGGACTTAAGGAGTCAAATTTAAATATTCCATCATGAACTAGCAGTGTGAAACTATGTAATTTGATGCTGGGTGAAGTGTGAAAAACTCCTGTTATTTGTAAACAGAGTAGTTTTATCCAACTTTTTTACAGCTAATGAAGTAGGATTTAAAATCTGACATCCCAAGATAGAATGGAATCCATTGGAAAGATATAATGGAAGAAATTGACTGAGTTCAGATGATAACATTTGCTTTAGTTTTTCATCTAGACCAAGAATCAGAACTCAGAACTAATCTCAACAAATGCTCCTTCCTGGAAGAAAAAAACCTCAACTTCAAAATTTACTCAGATTTTAAGACGACCTTGACTAAGAGAGTGCAAAATTGATTTCTCCGTCTTCTTGCAATGATTATCCTTAAAATAAGATCTTTAAGTTTTCTTAGAAAAACTTTGGGTTGTGTCATGATATTCAAACCAAAAAAAAAAAAAAAAAAAAAAAAAAAAAAAAAAAAAAAAAAACCTTCAGAAAAAGTGATCAGCTAAAGAAATAAGAGGTCCGAAGGCGTGCGATTATTTATCAAGGCACTAGAACACTGCAATTTTTCTGAGAGAAACTCTTGTTGGATTTTCCTTTAAACCCAATGAGAATTATGTAGTATGACGCTTCCTTCTCTAGAAAAGACATTCTCTTTTCCCTATAAGGACTGAACAATTCCGTATCTTTAGCTAAAAGCAATTAATAGAGCACAGAGGTTCTCTCCCTGGATAATTATTCTGACACAGACCACCCTACGCCCACACTTACGGATTCAACCTTCAGACACCAAAATTTCAATAAAAGCTTTGAAAAACCGTCGTTTTTTGGACTAAGAGAATACTACTTCCCCTGAAGTGAATTGCGGATCTATAAGAAAATTGAAGTGCAAGACTTACCATGATCAACAAGCCACTTCATGCATAAGGAGTTAAGTTGTTCATTGAAGAATTCCACACCAAGTTGGCCAGCCAACAGCGGCATATATTCTATGATTGCCAAACGCACTCTCCATTTAGAATCTTCTGCTAGCTGTACAATGGCTGGGAGCAACGACTGTGATAGCTACAAACCAAAAAAAGAAAAAAAGTAAGAGAATAAAAAGAGAGACATTGTATTCAGTCAGTGACATTTTGAGATAAAAAAGAAAGGCCCTTGAAAGACATAAATATGAAGAAAAATATGACAGCTTTCCTCCAATTTTCCCTATTTTTATCAAGATTCTTCCACTTCACAGGTCGTACGCTTGGAGGGTTTCTGTGCCCCTTAACTGGTAGTGTCGTGAAATAGGTTAGTTGCATGAGGAGGATTTCAAGACTAAAATATTGTTCAAACAGGACATTCCACAAACAATCGATGGCAGCATTTGCGAGACCTAAATTGAGTTAAAAGCTCCAAAAAAACTTGGTAAAATTTTCTCACATTGCAGTGAGAAATAAGCAATTCCAATAGCCCCACCACATTTAGCGCATAAAAATTTGCATGACCTCAATTAAAAGGGGAGCCTCAGTCAACCAATATTGGCCGTATCTCTACAGAGCATTTGCCAAGCTGTACCTACCAATATAGTAGTTAGTTAAGTCAATATTTTGGCACTATTTGCCTTAGAATTATTTAAAATTACGGCAAAAGTTGTCTACAAGGTTTTCTGTTGATGTTTCTTCTTGATTTCTAGCTTACTAAAGTTGGAATTTCAGGACTGACTGAGATGATACACTGACTTACCTGCTGAATACCGATGACTTCATTCACACAATCCAAGTTAGAAATAATGTTGAGTCGCACTTCCGGACATTCATCTTTAAGTTGGTTGAGAAACAGGGGCAATAGATGCTCAATTGTACTGAAAAAGTAAAATAATTATTACAGTTGATTACTCATTGAACTTATTATAAAGTCCCACAAAACACACTTCAAGGGTCTACATCAGTCTTGTTACCCTACAAAAAATATTTTGCTTGCTAACACCATATGTGTTGGATCGCATAAAGTCAGAAATATTTAGCCCATACATTGCCATGAACAAGTAAATGGATTTGAAAACAGCACCTGCCTTCATTATCACAAACACCTCCATGCGTTTCACCACTTGCTTCATATTTTGCGCCATGAATCAGCCATACCTCAATTCATATACAAAACATGTATGCTTAATCCAAACGCGAAAATATGAGCAACAGTTTGCTGCTCTCAATGAAGGTTCCCCTCATTTGTTTTTCATATATGATATGATTTTATAAACTCTGCCACTTTAACAGGTGTACTTTGTAAGGCTAGTTTTAATATAGAATGTTCGCCAATTTTCAAGTATAATTGAATGATTGCAATGAAACGTTTTATAGTAATGAACCGGGAATTTCTGGTATACTTGAAATTTAGATAGTTAGAAAATTACCATAGCAGGGTTGATTAGGAGGAAGTTACTTTCACCCACTTTAAGCATTAAGACACCCCCATAGTGTATTTTGTAATTATTGCAGTGACAATAAATTTTTGAATACTTAAACTATGACAACTAAAAGTTTCAACCTTAGAAATTGCACCAATAATCAAACATTAAATGACATTATTACATGCATGAGAGTGCGTCAGATAATGGAAGTCAAAAATGACATTGTGTTCAACGTCATGACCAAACAGCTCGTCTGGTACCGGCATGTCAATAGGATGACGGAAGAGGGGCTGCCAAAAAAGATGCTTGATTGGGTTCCTCCTGGGAGGAGACGAAGGAGACGCCCAGTGAAACAGGGTTTTGGATGCAATGAGGGAGTGCCAACTCCCTGATGACTTGTGGGAGGACCGAGTTTTGTGGCAGAGCGCTAGAGAGCGCTATGAGAGCGACTCTTATGTATGTATATACTGTATAGACTTGGTGAGCATCTTGAAATAACTCGAACTTCCGTCAAGCCCAGTCAAATTTGATGATCAAAAACTCACAAATTTGTTGATTTTTTAACGTATTCTATAGAAAGATCTTATTTTCCCCAACAAACTTATATTTATGTATAATTTGTCAATTATTCAAAATATACGTATTCTCAGTAAAATCAGATATTTACTTTTGTTTTCCAAGGATAGGGGAGAGCCCCATGATGACAGATGCCAGTGCAGATTTGACATGTTGGTTTGGATCAGCAACTAACTCCTTGACACAGGGCAGAATGTTAGTCATGATCAGGGATTCTAGATTCCATGCATCTAAGTTCTGACAGAAGTCCTTCACTTTATTGGCAGCAGCGGCTCTGACTTCTGCCTCAGTATCTTTCAGCAAAGCTTGGAAAGTGGGTACCAAGTCTTGTTTTGTGATTTCCGGCCCGACAGCTTTCTGAAGCTATTGAAAAAAATAAAGCGGATTTTAGTATTCTGCATGAATTCATTTAAATTAAACACATAACTTGAACAATTGAAAGACAAAACTAAAACTTTGGAAGCTGTTTTCTCTAGAAGAGATTTTCGAGGCAAGGGCCTCTTCTCATCTACTTTCTCCATCAGTAACTTTTATTTGGAAAAATTGCTGCCTGCATAGAATGTTCACATACAATTTTAAAAAGTAATAGGAGCAAATCACTGTGCTTTAAGACGTGTGAAAGTTTTACCTCAACAAACTTGTCTGCAACCATGTAGCGTACTCTCCAGGATGTGTCATTAGTGCATTGACGGAGAGTTGGCATGACCAACTGTTCAACATCTTCTTGCTGCAGAAGGGAAGCAATGCTCACACATGCCTCCACAGCTAACAGTCGTACTGAATCCTAAAAAAGTAATGCTCAAATCATTATTGATACACTTGCCATCACCATAAAATAAAGCAAATGGTCATACCATGACTTTCATCTCACCCCTTTACCTACACTTATCTTGAACGTAACCAATGTAGTATCTTACAGGGATGCAAAAAATACTTGGTCTCTTAAACGACGGATCGTTGCAAACTTGAGACAGATCTTAGGATTTGAGGCAAAATATATTTTGCACCCCTGATAACTTTTCTAAATAATCAGAATTTATTCTACAAACAGAACTTTCATCTTGTGACAAGATTTAGGAGTTATTATAGATGTTATTTGACAGCCTTGGATGTCATCTGCATTTCACGAAGGCTAATTATTAGATATAAATAGGGGCAGAAACAAAACAAAAATTAAATAAAGGTCCAGAAATTCAAGATTTTAGCGGAAGACAGCTAAACATCATTCAGTTGTGATGATTTTAGGATGTTAGTGCTTTTTTGTCATAATTTTCATTTGGAAGAAGTTTAGTGAAAGCAGATGCACTAAACTACAAAAATACAAAAAATGATAAAAATATCGTCAGTCATTTACCTGTTCATCTTGTGCTAGATTTACAAACATAGGGATTAAATCTGATATAAGATACTGAATTTCCACAACTTTAGCAAATTCATCAAGTTTGCTGGCAGCAGCTCGACGCACCATTGGAGTATCATCTTGACAAAGATTTCTGAAGTATGCTCTCAGCTCCTCTGTAAAAAAAAGAAACAAATTAGAGAGATAAAACTATCAATCACGAAAGATGTAAAAAGATAATGCTCAACTGGTTATATTAAACAGACAACAGTTATTTATTTGAAAACTACAGTTGAGATGCACCAATTGTACTTAGTAATTTAGATAAAATGAAGTATTTCCTTGGAAGGGAGAGGATTTGATGTTGTAAAATAATCAGCGAACAACAAGAACATAGTACATACCTTTGACAGCTGGACTGACACGAGGATAGCAGACGCTGAAAAGGCCGACAGCAGAGGTACGGGATGTGAACCAGTCCCCAGTTGCTAGACGTTTGACCAGTGGCACAAAATATTCCTCAAGATCCTCAGTACTGTGTTGTGCGGAAATCAGCCTCAAAGACTCAACTGCCTTGTCTCTAACAACTGTCTCCTCCATTGTGGCGAGAGACTCCAAAGGTGGCTACACAAAATAATTTAAAATTTACAACAAGAAATAAACTGAGCACGATACTTTTCTTGCAGACGTCATAAAGGAATTTGTTTTCTTTTGAAATGCCATGATCCCAGCGAACCCTGTTTAGCATTGCAATGATTCTCTTTCCCAGGATGATTCTGTTTTAAATTGCCCGGTCCATCCAAAATAACTTTGGTGACTTGGGACTTAACAATTATAATGACTGTCAACATTTAGCATTAAACTCAGCCATTGGGATGTCTCACTCACTATGACAAGCATTCTGATCTTTTGTCATAATATTTCTTTTCAAAGGTCAGAGTTTTTTCAGTTGATGAACACTATTCCCAAATGCACTGAGGGCTTGTTTGTTTGAAACTTTTTCACACAAACTAATTCTCTACTGAAGAAAATGGCATTATTTCAATACCGGCATAAACTTGTCATTTAGAAAATTGAATATCTCCCCCTCCCCCCCCCCCAAGGAACAGGAAGTTTTGGCCTTTATAATGGCCCTTGCCTTTCCTAAGGTGAACTTCAATCCAGGATTCCGCTAACCTGCACCCCTTGCAAAAGGTGTGTGCCAGAATGCTCATCAAGAAAGAAAAAGTTTGACTTGACACTGGAAATTTCATAACGCCAAAAACTTTCATGATATCTTCCATGCATTAAATCAAAAGTTTGTGCAATAACATTAAAGAAAAAGCCTGGAGAGGGCAGATCTATACTAAATTAATACTTTCTCCACACACTTTTCTACCAAAAAAAAAAAAAGGGGGGGGGGGGCTTTTGAGTTTCCTCCTATCAAAGAAGTTATTGCACCATAAAAAAGAAATGCACTTAGAGAGCTTAAGGAGATTCTTAAGAAAACATAGTTTGAATAAACAGGGGGATGAGGCATTGGTCATAAAAAATATGTTGGTGGTTGATGATGGATAAAAAGAATTTTAAAAATTTAAACTCTTAAATTATAAGAAAGTTTCAGGATTCACATTATGCCAATCACCGAAACAAAAAATTGATAAAATAATTAGACTTACCAATAAGCAGTGGACATATTCAGGACCTCCAACTAGATTTGTTAAATGTCCAAATTGTTCTGCAAATGCCAACAGCACTTCATCTTCATCGAAAAGGGTTTCAGTCAGAAAAGGCAGAAGCTCACTTCTCGTCCTTTCAACACCCAGAGCAAGAGCAATTGTTGAGAGCTTCTTGATGGAGTTCAACCGCAACTACGGACAGAAACACACTCAACATTAATTTTGGGTCATGAACAGATAAAGATTGGAATCATTGAAACTAAACATGTGCATCTACTCACCACAGGTGGAGTGACAAGCTTTGCAAACTTTAATTTGAGATTTTCAGTGGAAATTCATGTGCTTTCAAACAATAAAGGGTAATGTTTTTACGATGGATGTATTGTGTGCACTTCATAATTTTGCTAGTACCAATTTTTCAAACTAAAGTAGATTGAGGTTGGAACACTCTAAACAGGTGATTTTTCATCTTAATAACAGCTGTTAAAAGCAAAATACATAGATGATAGTGACAGTCTACTAAGTAACACATTTCCTTTTACCGAGATCCGTAGTTAAAAGACCACTAAAATATTATGTCTTGAGGTCAGCACAATTTAACTGAGAAGAGCTTAATCAATAAAAGTTAGTTTTCTACTGCTGATTCCATATATAAATTCTGTGGAGCTAAATACTATATCTCTAAATAACTGTCAAATAGGACAATTCTTTTACAAATATCTTCTGCAGATAAATAATACTTCACATTTTATGCTAAGTTTAATCTGCACTACATACAGCCACAACACCAGCTCTGTCAAACGTATCACCTGAATATTGCCTGGTACTCAGAGCTTGATAACGGGAGAAAACTACTTTACGTAGCAAAGAAGACTGAACTTAGAACCTTAGGAGAGACAAAAATTAATCGTAACTAGAACCATAGGAATAGAGGGGCTTGGAGGACAAGGATCAAGAGTGCAGTTTATGCTGAAATACATGTTTCAAGTTTCCAAATGAGAGGGAACCTTTTGGCGGAAAGCGAGTTTAAATCCACATTAAATACTTCAAAATTGGATTTTAATAGTTCATTTTCATAGATTTTGTACTAGTTTTGGTTGGATATCTATAAGTTCTCAAAAACTGCACTGGTGCGCCTTGTCCACCAAGCCCCTCAATTTGTCGACAAATTAGCCGCCCTGCTCAACTGAAATTTAGTTAATACGTTCCAAAATACTACCCGCAGCAAGTTTGGGGGAAAGTGCAATTACTAGACACCTTCAATGCACTAGAAGTATTTTACAGGAATATGTTTGCAGCAACTCTTCAAAAACCAAACTGATAGGGAGCAAGCGAATAGGATTCGTGAGGAATCTCAGTGCGGTTAGAATGTAGAGCCTCTCTCAGAGGTCTCCCAAAAATGCATACAACAGTCAGAAGGGGGAGACAACGTTAGACGAGTCATTGTGGAATTTAAAAAATTGCTAGGGCAAATAGTCTGCGGTAGATGTGTTGAAGGTTGCAAACTAATAATGTTGCCTCAGTAAAGATAGTGGAAAAGTTGGTGCTAATCGTACTTCGTACATGACTACAGTGAAGTAATGCATTGCACAATAGCTAGAGGACCACGCACCAATGATTCCAAATAATGTGTCATCAAAAGTACAGTAAGAGTCATATTCCAAATCAAATCAAATGAGTGAGGAAAGAGCGGTTTATAATTAGGCTCGGGCGGGTATCAAACTATCTAAAACGGTGATAGGGGTAGGACATGATCGCTTCCAGACGCACGGAAACAAGTAGATATTTACCTGAACGTCCTCATTTTTGAGTTCGTCTATTAATACAGCGATCGGGTACATGGAGTCGTCCTGGGATGTATCACTCGAAGCCATTTTATCACTAAACACGTAAAATTAGAGAAATAAAAGGACGGTGCAAAAGAGTTCAGCGATTCCCAGCTTGAGAGAAGTTACGAAAATAAAAGTGAAACTAGCCTACACACTGGAACATCAGAAAATGTTGACCATCAGCCAATGCTTCAGAACGTCAGAAGCGTGAGTAATTTTTGCTACAGGTTAGGCAACTTTAGAAAATTGATGGCACTACCAGTAGTGAAAGAACTTGACCAGATCGAGAGAAATTTCCTATTGAATCTGATTATAAAGCTTGAAAAAAGTATAAATAGTAATGTGTAATAATGGTTTTTGATCAAATAAGATTTTATCAAGTACTGTTATGCTAAGTATTCTGTTCCAATATTCTTACAACAGTTGGTAGCAATTAACTGCTCTCATGGGGGCCTGGCGGGAATTCAAAACTAGGAACCAAAAGTCTCATTTTGGCAGGATTTTGCTTTAATTTTCGGTTTCTAAGGCTTTAAACTTCAAAAATATGATATATTATAATCTGCAAATTTTTTCAATAATGTTATCTACTCAGTATACTGATGAACTCTGATTTGTTTATTTCCACCGATAAAGCACAAAAACATAGCCCGATTATACGAATAAAGAAGGAGAATTAATTAAAATACGGGTAAACAAGGCTAAAAATTATTGAAACACTTAAAGGCAGGACGTTTCGAGCTGCTACCAGCTCATTTTCAGCTGCAAAAACAAGTAAAAAATTGAGTGGCGACCTGACCCCAGCCGTTATTATGAGTGGTTACGTGATAACGACTGAGGTCAGGTCGCCACTCAATTTTTTACTTGTTTTTATGTGTTTTTGAAGCTGAAAATGAGCTGGAAGCAGCTCGAAACGTCTTAACTTTTAGTGTTTCAATAATTTTTAGCCTTGTTTACTCGTATTTTAATTAATTCTCCTTCTTTATTTATTTCCACCTTAATTATTTAATCTGGAAATATTGAACCACATAAATTCTACTGAGAAACTAATTCTTGAATTCTTCGGAACGTTTCATCTCACAAAAATCTGAAAAAGAAGTAAACTCCCGCCGAAAATCTGCTGAAAATAGCCAAAATTTCAGTTTTGGTTCCTAGTTTTAAATGCCCATGGATTTTCCCGCCAATGGCGCTCACAAAACTACTCACGCTCCTCCGCCGATGTTAGCGATCTGGACTAATCTGTGACAACGCTGAGTGNAAAAAGAAGTATTCTCCCGCCGAAAATCTGCTGAAAATAGCCAAAATTTCAGTTTTGGTTCCTAGTTTTAAATGCCCATGGATTTTCCCGCCAATGGCGCTCACAAAACTACTCACGCTCCTCCGCCGATGTTAGCGATCTGGACTAATCTGTGACCATCAGGGACCGGACCAGGAATATGGAGTCAATATTTTTAAAATGGTTAGTAATTTTAAGTATGAGTAATGTATGTACGTCAGTGGTAGGGTATTTTTTATGTTTTTTTTTACTTATTGAAAAGATATTTTGGCAAACTGTATGTGAGGCGGTGGCAAGGGATTTTTGGGGGGCTAAGTCATTTTAGGGTGTACAAAAAATTTCGTATAAAACCCCACAAATACATTAAAAGAACATATTTCTTGGGGGAGAAAAAGCTGATTGCAATCTGTTAAAATCCGACCAATCAAACGTCGACGGTCAAGTTTGATGACGTAGGCGATGCCAGAGGATGATGTGTTCAACCAATCAGCGAACGCCGATTCCCCCGCCTTCCATCAGCACCCGCCAAAAATATCGTTTCAAACGGATCCCATCTTTGGCTGGCATTTTCAAAACAAAAAACTTTGCCATTTTGGATTAAAAAAAAGTCTAAAAAAATTCTTAGAATCTGAGTCCACTCTGTACCTCCTTATAAAAATAAAAGATGAGTGCCGCACTGACCCGCCAACGAACTGCTTCAAATAGGACTTCGCCAGAGCAGAGCGAATGCAAAAACGCATACTTATCTTGATTAACGACTCTGCGAACTTACGGTCATAATTTATTTTTCAAGAAGAAAAATACTAGACGGCGTGACTTGGAAACTTCTCAGATTTTTCTTCTTAGTGTGAAGAATATTCTCTCGAGGTTTCAAGCTATGTTATTAATTCATTCATTCTCTTTTGATAAAATGCATAGTGGAAGCGATTTTAATAGGTACATGCCACAAAGGAAGGAGTTACCTACGCATTCTTGCTATATCACCGTCGAACTTCAGGCCACCTTATGATTTAAAAGGATTTTTTTTTTTTTTTCTCTTTTCGTGGAAATAATGACAAGTTATTTAGTATCTTTTCCATAAAAATTGAGGGGAGGGGGGATTATCTCATGTTATCTCAGAGTATACTGAGTGACAAAAGGGAACAGAGGAGCTCATTTTTATGTCATCATATTTAAAGTAAAAAAAAAACAAAATATTTTAGTACGTATAAGGTTCCTTTAGAACATACTTAGGCTTTCTAAGATTTTTTACTTTCTCACTCTCCTTCTTTTTACTTCTTGCATCTTCTTATCAAAGTAACAAAAATGTCATCTAGCTTCCTTTTATATGACACTCTTCTGATGGGTAAGTAAAAATCCAACCAAGATTTTTTAAAAACTTGCAAATCCATTTATTTTCTCATGAGGGTTGTTCAAAACTTTTTGATAGAAAAAAATGCTGGGACAGAACATAATATTTATACATATTATTATTCAACCAAATAATATGAAAACTTACCACATTCTTACAAAATAATGTATGAGCTTAATTTGTACTGGGGAAAATAAGAGAAAATAATAGTTTTGCTTCTTTTGCACTAAACATTTCTTGGGAGTAGTCTTCTACTAGACTGGAGGAGAATTATTTAAGATGAAATTTTTTGCACGGTAAGAGAAGTGCAAATAATGAATCAAAGTACTATAAGAGAGACACCATTGCAAGGCAATCAATTTTTCATGATTAAATGTTCAAAAATATGTATAAAGAGAAGAAATTACTACCTATTTACTTTGATCTTAGCAGTGATCACACCTTTAGAATGCTCTGAAAACTTAAATTAGAACTTGGGAATGTTTGTGTGCAAAGCAATGTTCCATAATAATGTTCCAATAGGCATTCACAATATACCAGGCCAAACCTTAGGTACTATTTTAGTAGAAGTTCGATCTTGAAAAAGTGAAAACATTTTACAATGATAAAGAAAATAATTTTTGTGAGATATGAGTTGAGTTTTTTATATAATATGTTGTTATTTTGACCTCTAATTATTCATTTAGCTGTACACCATGTTAGGTAAACTTATGATATGAGATCTAAGTACAGGGAAATGATTAAATGTATTTTCTAACTCAAAAAATATGATACAGAGATGGATAAAGGGTCTTAATTTGTAACGAGATATTTAGAATGCATTCATCCATTTCATGCAATGGGGAAGAATTTAATAAAAATTGGAGATCAGTTACTGGAAAGGCTTTCTCAGTTTTGACTATTATTGCTTGAATACATGCTGCAAGGGCTCTTTCAGATAAATAAAAAAATGAAGAGGGTTGCTTGGTCAGTAACAAATTAAGTCTACTTCACTAATCAAGAATGAGGCACATCCTATTTCTGATCTTTTTAGTCTGGTCAGTACCGCCTTCGCTTGCCATGGGAAGAGTTGTCAGAAGAGGGAAAGTCCCTTCTTGAATGGCTAGAACTCCTATCATTTGAACTATTACCTCGGTTAAATCCTCTGCTGGAATCTCGACTGTGTTTAGATCTGTCATTGTAGTCTCTATCCGAGTGGCTACGATTTTGATTAAAATTGCGGTCTTCATTTCTATTAAAGCCTCTATCTTCATTTCTACTGTAGCCTCGGTCTTCGTTTCTATTGTAGCCTCGATCATCATTTCTACTGTAACCTCGTTCTTCAAACCTATCATTACCTCTCCTATTGTAATTTCGGTCATGCCGTTTAAAATCCCTATCGCCCCTATCATTTCTGTCAAACCTGTCGTTATTCCAATCCCTTCCTCTGTCAAAATTGCTGTCACATTGCCCAGGATTTTGATTGAAATTCGGGTTAAATCCCTGATTTTGCTGGGGTCCACCAAAATTATTCATTTGACTAGGATAGGCAGAGACACCTAGAGGTGCTAGATTAAACATGGAATTTCCAAAAGGCATTGTTGGTGGAAATGGCATGAATGAATGGTCAACTGGTGTCAGAGCACCAGTGTTGAATGGCTGGTTCATTGGTGTTAGTGCACTGACGTTCAGAGCGAAATCTTGTTGAGCCATTTGAGGAGGAGGCTCGTCCTGGAAATTGTTCCTTCTTCGAACATGAATTTTCCTACCAAATAAGGAAATATCATTCAACAGCTCTTCAGCATAGTTGACTGAAGTAGGATGCGAGAAGAGGACGAATGCAAAGCCGCGATTACAGCCTGTTGGATCTTTTGGTATGGTGACGCGTGCAACTGGACCAGCCTGAAACAGAAGCAGAGATCAATGAATTAAGTATGCAACCAGGCAAATTTTCTTCACAAAGAAGGTCAACTTCATTCAATTGAATTCTCTCAGAGCAAAGAAAAAAAGTAAAAATGGTTTAATTGAAATGATTATTTTGAAATTTCACAATTGGCTTGGAACTAGTTTTTTGGTCCGATCTTGTTTTTAGGTTTGCATACATTACACAAACATTTTTTATCAGATACTTATGCATCAATGAGTAATGATGCGCTGTTTTTCTTTATTTGTTCAAAAGCACTCAAAATACCCAGACAATAAGATCACAGGGGTGCAGAAACTTCCAAGGGTTCCTGCAGCGTAAATTTAGGTTCCTCCATTTCAAGTTTTTGCAGAATTTTGCTCAATACGTAGAATAACACGATTTACGGTTTTGTTCCCTAAAAACAGCTCGCTTAAATGTTTTTTCTCCACCTTGGGAATAAAAAAAAATAAATAAACCTCACTCTTTTCATAGGATTCACCCGTTTTTCCGGGACCGGCCAGTCCCATGGTACAGAAGTTTCTGCACCCCCGTGAGATCATGGTGTAAAATGTGTTATTTCCTTTCCCTTTCGCCACTCCTCATGGGCAGCTTTGGCTTCTCCCTTTGGATTTCAGTTCCTGGCAACTGCCTTTGCAGCAAGCAAGGCACCCACTGCGTTGAATTTCCTTGCTCCAATGCAACTACCCTATCTCTTCTGTCTTTGTTATTATAGCACTTGAAGTAAGAGTATTCAAAAACGTCGGCATACACAAGATGCCTGGTTGAGCTGTTTATAATGTAACCAAATACTTCTTACTGTCCCATGTTTTTAGACTAAACGGTAGAAAATTTGTCAACTAGTAGCGCACTGCAAAACGCATTCACGCTTGAAAAGTATGTTTCCTGGTTTTGGCTTTTTTGGGGCTTCCAAATATTTGAAATGATCACTCAAAAGGCTATGGGATTCAACATTGCAGCATCGTGTCAAATGCAGGCAGTTTGATTTATTGGAGGGTAGGCATTACACTATAATATGATAGATAGACAAGAGCATCGGATTGAGTGCATGCAAAAGGAAGCTTGCTGATGTAGACTTTAACAAAGAATGAGCAAACTGGTAGAGAGATCCTTACCTGCAAGAACAACTCATACAAAACATCTTCTGTGACTTTAGAACTTAGATTGCCACAGTAAACAGAACATCTATCTTCTTCAAAACGATCATTCATTCTGACTTGACTAAGAGACCGTAATGCTCGATTCTAAAAAAAGAGTTCAACTTGCGGAGGATAAACGATAATAAGTTCAAGTTGAGGAGGTATGAGAAATTAATTAGAACTGTGATGTATCATTAAAAACGTTGCTTTATCGAGGAATGTGGACCGCTCTTGTTGGGACAGAACGAAATGATTCTGATGGCAAGCGATAAAATTAGAATGAATGAAAGAGGATTGTAAAGGAGTTACTAAATTCACTTTTAATTTCAAGATATAGACATATTTAAGTCAGAATAGCTACTCTTTTTGGCACAGAAACGTTGAAAGGAAAAAGAATGAAAAAGGCAAAAATCAGTAACAGTAATACACGATTCTTTCCTAACCTAACAAAAAACGAAAACGAAACGAAACAAACAAGCCACGAACAGCGTTGCCGGTTGAGAAGAGCGTCTCGAGCGACTCAAAAGGCAACACCGTCCGAGAAGCCATACATCAGCCAATGAAGGGCTTGCTTTGACAACGCGCCATTTCTCATTTTTTTCGAATGTTTTCTAAAGGTAAATTCTGAGACTCAAACACGGTTACTCTGAATCTTAAGCAGTCTTCCGACCAGTTACCACCTGTCAAAACAGTCAGAAATTTCTAATACCCCTGATTTTTCGTCTTTTTCTTTTACACCACTTTAATTATTCTTCGAGAGGATAATCCTGCACATACAATTAGAGCACCATCCCCCTCAGCCTCAGTCCCCCCTCAACATCCAGCTCCAGGCAAGCGTTGTTTGAGACCATCAAACTTGGGTGACTTAGCCAGCGCTTGAGTCTCCTGATCACAGAGCCACAGCTCAACGTCATGCTGGTGCGCATTAGAGTTCTAAAAATTTATTTTTGACTCTAATTTTAATTTTTGGTATTTCTTGGCTTAGTTTCCCCGCGAAATGGTGTGGACCCAGCAACATTTCTCCACCTTGTTACTCAGTTACTTGTTAATATCAGATTGAAACATTCAAATCATTTGAAATATTAGGTCACAGATTAGCATTGCTCACTGAGCAGTCCTCATAATTAAGTGCGAAAATTTCATTTTTAAAAAATTATGCTACAAACGTTATGCTCAAGAGAAATAGCTGATAAACTAAGCCATTTCCGAAAGAACAGCACCTACTAAAAACTTTACACATTTCTATGTATACATCATTGCAAATGGAACTGAGGCAAACGATTCTGGGCTGTTGCCACTCAGAAGAGCTTAGTTCTTTAAGAACATAAGAGTCTAGCTACCGAACCTAAAGATTGAAGTTAGATGGGCAAGTGATATTGCCCTAACTCCATCAACAGGCATGCAAGTTTGTACTAGTTAGTTGTTTGTTTGTTTTTCTTTTCATACCATTACTTGAGTTCTTTCTGGGGGATCAGGAGGGAAGAAGAGAAGCAAAGGCTAAAATTTGACAACATGTACCACAGTTCGCAACATTGCAAAGTCTTGGTTATGATTAAAGTTTTAGTATTATCTACCGACAACATTTTTTAAAATCTTTGGTGAATCTTCTTCAAAATAGGAAGAATTCATTTCATGAAAATTCCGTATAGTTTGGAAATTTGGAGAAAATTCAGCATGGGCAGAGATTTTTAAATGCTGTACTTGAGATACTTTGTCCTCAGAGTTTAGCCGTGAATAAATAGAGTAAAAAGAGAATGTAGTACAAACTATCAATGAAATATATTAATAACTGCTTGCATATTTTACAAAAAACAAAATATAGAAACTAGAAAAAAACTAAATGAGGATTGATAAAAATAAAAAGTCTAACCAAAAGCGTATCAACTGATGAAATCTCTGCAGAACTTAGAAGATGGTGATTTTGAAATGTTCCTACTTCAAATAAATCAGGAACAAACAAAAAAAGCCTTTTTGCTCAAGTTGATACACCTAGGTTTGCTTAAAAAATTGCTTTGCTCATTTTTCATCTACGATGTTTTCTGTTTGACAAAGATAGCAAAGGATAGTGAAAGAGAAAATGAAGAGCTCATCGAACGAATGGACTCGGGGCGAAATCGATAACTTCGACTGATGATACACAGGACTCAATATTGTACACCTCATTGATCATCTCAAAATATGTAAAAACAGTGCTTTTGTATCATGAAAATCTAAAAATTTTCAAATTCTTCAAATTAGAAATTCATGGCCGACTTCTATTGACTTTTGCTCTCACTACTGGTAAGTGGTTTCAAAGTTTGATTTCTTTGATTTACCATTCAAATGAACTGCTTTTTAACGTTACATCTGCTTTATGAGGCTCCTATCAGATAAATATCTTCGGTTTGAGCCCTTCAAATTCTAGATTTAAAACAGTTTGCTTACCACAGTTTGGCAACAAAGATACATATGAGAAAAAAAAGAAAAAGTTAAAAAAAAATTGGGTAATATTTTTGATACGACATAAACGTAATATTCTTGTAAATGGTACTATTTCTTTAAGAAAATTAGAAATTAAATAAAAACTAAACAAGATCAGAGACTAAATGAAGAAACTCTTCTGCCATATAAACATTAACTTTAACATTACAAATGAAGAATGTATGAGAATAGTGATGCCAAAAAAGCGCGAACTCTGCATTAAATTCGGTTGAACTGGAAGAAGAGGAAGATATGAAAACATGAATAAGAGAAAAAGTATAATAGCAATTTTTACAGAGGAGTGGATCTATCCAGGACGAAATTTTAAAATTTAAATTTTCGACAAAGATTGGCAGTAATCAGAGAGGCAGGATAAATATACCAATGTCATCAAATACGCTGCAGATAAAAACAATAAAAAAAAGACCATTGAAAACAACCACCTCAAATTGATGTAAGAAAAAAGAAGTAAGTGCTATGGATATTTTGAAAAGGGAAATAAAATCCTTAGCTACTAATTAATAAATTGAAAGAATAAGATGAAAGCAGAAAACCGAAAAACATCACAACAAAATTTTGATAATGACCTTAACTTTAGGTGCATTAAGGGCTGGCTTGATCTTAGATTGGATCATAGGGTAACTTGGCAAACCTATAAGGTCTTGGTAACTTTCAGAACATAGGCCTTGTCCACACAAGCGCAATTTGAGCAAATTAATTCTGTGAACAAGTCGAAGCTAAGTTATAATAAGTTCCTGGAACAACTTCACCCGAAGTTCAATAAACGGCACTAGCAGGGACAAGGCCATAGGATTGGTGACGCTTCAGTGACTCTAAATACATTACAAGCAACGATTGCTGCATCCATCAGTGCCTAAGTACAAAGTTATATCGTTACACATTGACAGAGATGTCCACAGTACGATTGTATGTTTTTGACGTATAAGCATTGACCTCAAATAAATAACACTACCGCCAAGTTTTGAAACTTTTATTTCTATTAGTTCATTTTTATTTTTACTTGACTGAAGTGAAACCACCTTAGTTCATTAAAAAAAAACCACAGGACTCATATAGGAAAAGTCTGCCTTTCAGACAGACCTCCAGCACTAAAGTTCTGCTGAGTGCTTGGAGATTTAAGGTGCCATTTTCAAGATATTTGTAATTGTGAAGTATTTAAGAAAAATCACTTTGTGTAATTCAAGAGTACTTTGGGGACTGCCTCTTGATGAGCTAAAAAATATTTATATTGATGGCCAAAGTGCGAGAATACCTATCTCCATTTTCGATATAGCGCACTTCCTATCATACTTATTTTTTTTTCCTTTTTGGTGGAAAACTTGTCAATGTAATTTATGGAACATTTCCTTGAGTTTTCTACTGTTAGAAAAATATATATTCTGTATAGATGTCAATCTATAAAATTGGGTTGTTTCTGTTAAAAAAATAAAATAATGGAAATTTTGAAACATCACGATAGAGATACAAGATTTCACACTTTGACCATCTATTTTTGAGAGGGAGCAAAGGATCAGATATACAAAGAAGAATAAATGACATTAAGAACCACATAAATTGTTAAAATGGCATTAAGAATTAAAACTTGTTGAGAGAAAGAAGCAAATAAGAGGCTAGAGGAGAGAACAAGGGATAGGTTAGGGATAGGCCAGTCAAAGGTTCAAACTCCTCAAAAGAATATTCAGTTTGATGAGTATAGGCGTTTAATGACAAATTCCAGTGATTTTTCCTATTATTATGAGTTAATATCTCAGAAATGGTTGTATAAAATTTCCCTGTATCCAGCAAAACTTATGAGAGATGATAAGAAGAGTAATATGTTTCAGGTCCATTGAATTAAACTAGAAGACACTGTTAATAGAGTTTGTGGTCTTTTGCTCAGTATATCCCTATTGGCCCCTTGTTTCCCTCCAGTCTGCGGTTCCATATTTTCTTTATGTTTCTTCAGAATGACAATTCTGCGAGTGAACTTAGTGGTTACTATACAGCACAGAAATTCCTGTGCATTCGCAAACGCTGAAAACTGGTTGAAAATCTAAAGCACAACCAGACAATGGCTACTCAATATGATTCTTGTTCACGTACTGCTTCATTTCAGACTATTTTTTTCTATGCCAAGGGACATTTAGTTAAATCCAAGTACTAAATTTAATCTAAATTAAATAACAAACATAATAAAATAAATATCACAGCATGTAATAGTTACTAATATTAGCAATTTAAACAGAAAGAAAAAACATTGTGGTGAGACTCGGCTAGCTTTCCAACCAATCTCCAATTCTTCAGGGCTGATGGTTCTGGAAACAATTCAGCTTGAGCAACAGCGTATACAATTGAGGCACCTTTAAAAGAAAATAAAGCATGATTTAAAAGGTTGTATGATGTAATAAAAGTGTATGTATTGACTTTAGGACTTACGATATTCATTGAAGAAAATCAAGAGGTAAAATAAGATGGGAACTTCAAGTTTATTAGCAGTGGCCTACTTGAATTGGTTCCCTTGAGGCTAGAGCCTAAGATGACAGGGGATGTTTGACTAAACTGTTTTCACTTTATTTTTGCCATGAATAGATTTTGTGATAGAGCGCTGCCTTTCAAGAATCTCGCTTGAGGGGAGATCAGTGTTAGAAAAGAGCAATCGCGATTCTCGAAAGTAAAGCAGCACTTTCACCAAAAAATCTGAAAATCGCAAAAAATAAAAAAAAAATATTGGTCACACAATAAAATGCCATTAAGTAAATTTGCTGTCAGCTTGCAAGAGGAGGTATAATTGAAAAATAGTTTTCAAATTGCAAGTTAAAAGATTTTGCCTTTCTTGGAGAACTCCTGGCAAATTGAATTAACTGTCCTAAAAATAGGTCAACAGTTGCACCTCTCAGCCATCAAACAATGCTGATAATATGCAATATATACAGGGCTCTGGCCAGAGTTATTAGTAATCTAATGAGACCCTTTCAAGCTCATAAAAAAAAAAAAAAAAAACCCTCTGAAATACGGCATTTTGAGGATGACATTTCATATGACCATCGATGACATGTTCAGGTGATGCATGTTTCACATCAAATATAAAAGCTGCATTTAAAAATATTCTTCCGAAATGCGAAACACAGATTCTCCTGACACATTATCACATAGCACAGTCCAAATGGATTCCACAGGAAATCAGTGATATTAAAGTAATTGGAACTTTCAAGCGGCTCAATGGATGTAATTTTTACAAACGCTGAAGTAATTGCATTTGTCTTTATGTAAAATCAGAACACAAGCATCCTGCAAAAAAAGCACTCAAAATGCTTGCAGAATTTTCAAAAGAGCCTTTACCTTCTTGATCATTTTAAATTATTGAAATTATTGAACTAAGCTTTAAATTTACAGATTCATCCAAAACTGCCTCAAATGAAAGCCTCTATGTACTGATGACTCAAATGACTGAGGCATTGTCTTGATGATTTGATCACCAATTAGATGTGCAGGAAGATATATTTAAAATAAAGTTTGACTCTGAATGTTGACACACTGCAAAACGCTAATGCTATGACTTTAAATCAAGCAGCATCAAGCATTTTCAACAGCGTTGATAAGTTTCGAACATGACTTATTACTTTATGCTAATTGTCTAAACTGCACCTATGCCTGCTAGGATGTACACTATGAGATTGCATGAACCTGCTGGATTGTTATAGCAAGTTTGAGCATATTCTGCACGCCTGAGTGACTGAGTCAATTAGAATTGCATATTTTCCGAAGAAAGGACAAAAGACATCCTCCTTTGGAATACTTCTTGAATCCAACAAGTTTCATTGTATAGAATATTTAAAATATTTCTTCCTTTTACAAGGACAAAGCATACAGTTCATGGCTAACACCTTACTCACCTTCAAAGTAAAAGTATTTCTTGCAAAAAGCAAAGTTTCTTGAATCCTAAGACTCATTTTTTTCATCCAAGGCTTCATGAGCGTTGATCTGTTCCCTGAGTGCAGAATTTTCTTCCCTGAGAAACCTTGTTTCGGTTTGAAGGGCATTAAACGCTCGCTGCGTGTGTCTCCATCTTGACAAGAGTTCATCATTTTTAGTGACTAGCAGTTCCTGTTGTTTTTCTAAATTTATCTGGTCCCTCAGCAACCGATCGTAATTTTCTTTGAAATAGTCCAGACTTTGCATTGCCTAAAGCCACAAAAACAAATTTATGAAATCATGACCTGAATTTTTCTGTGGGGTAAAATCAACAGAAACATTTTTGGTGCAAGACTCTTACAAGACTGGGAGCATAATTTTAAGAAATAATTATTATATTATTATTTTTCTTCGCATAACTTACAATAAAATAGCCATTATTTCTTGTGACAAATCCTGCACAAAGACTCTAAATAAAAGAACAGGCAATTTATTAGTGAAAAAAAATAGAAAAAATAATTGGTAGAAAAAAAATTATAATGGGTGTAAGGACACTTGGAACACTGCACGTAAAATAATTACTTGCTCATTTAACAATTAAATTGATAAAAAAAAGTGAGAGATATGTTTCAAATCCACATTTTACAATAGTGGAAAGTTCAACCACGTGCATGGTTAAATTAACATTTTTTTATTGTAAAATCTATATTGAAACATGTCTGTCACTTTTTTTATTGTAAAATCAGCAATTTCATTTTTTCCGTGTAGGTACCTCATAAAAATGACTTTGTGTTACGGCTTGTGGATGCTACAGAATTGCTTTCTGTAAACTTACTCATTTTATGTCTAATATATTCAATGCAATTACTAATAAAAGATATTAATAACTTTACCTGCTCTTACCGGTATAACACTTACTACAAAAAGTATGAAAAAAAAGAATTCTGGTGATTCTCTACATGGGTATTTCTCATTTCTTTCATTTATTTTCACACTAGTGAACTACGGTAACTTCATATGAAATTTAGGGACATTTTATACGATACACTTATTGTGGGGAAATAGCAATTTCCACATTACATAACACCTCAACGAGAAAAACTTTAGTCAAAACTTTTTGAATCTAAGCTACTGACACACTTTTGCCAATTCATTGTGTATCTCTTTCTATGAAGTAAATGTCTATTTTGCTTACTTATATTCTTCAATGACTAGGCAATTACCTCCTCTTTTTCAGCTGATAACTGGGCACAAGTTGCTCGTAAAGCAGATCGTTCCACCTCCAAAGTTGTGACTTGAGATCGGAGGAGTTTCAAACTAGCCCTGAGATTCCCTCTGGATGGTTTTTCAAAGTTTTTGCTGATATTTCCACTGACAATGCGCTGTGTAAGAGTTTTCATGAAGTTTGGACTGGATAGTACTCTTCAACAAGAAAAACAAAATCTTATTAGCAAACAAATATGGACACTGCTCTTTTGCAAAAAAAAAAAAAAACACTCTAAGGGAAAAGTCCTGAGCCCAACAGGTGTACGATCAATTTTCGTGCAATTGGCTTGCATCAGGATATACAGAAAATTAGAAAATTTTTGTCCTCTAAATTTTCATCCTAAGAGCTTCAAAATTCTTAGAACTGCCAAAACTAAAAAATAAATTTAAAAAAAAATAAAAAAAAACCTAAAAATTTCAGGAGGGTAATGCTAAAAACGTTTGATAAATCTAAGGCATTCCACATTTTTCCTACCTTCAAAGTGTTGCTTATGATGCCAAGTTTTCTATGCTAGTGTACTTCTTAATTTCAATATTGAGGAATGAAGTTGAAACATCTAAATTTTAACTTTATCATTCCGATTTATAAATCTACCAATGATAAGTCTGACCCTGCTGACTACAGACCAATGGGCCTGTTGCATGCAAGAGATACAGCCGCGCGAATAGACTTTATGGAGGTTAAATGACACAAAAATTACGATGGTCACATTAAAAAAGTCTGAAATACACTCCTTACTGCGCAATTTGTATTGTTAGGAACGCGCTTTTTCAAATTTCCCGCGTCTGGGGGCAGTTTTCTAATCACCAGAAACGAGCAAACGGTGGGCTCAGTGATTTCCGGAAGATGCCGAGTCGTTGTTGTTGTTGTTATTTTTTCCTTCAGTTTGTTTACAAACCCAACGTGATCTCTTATAGTGGTCCATATACGCTTTATGCGGTAACCAAATCGATCAACTTTTAAATATCCAACACAATCCTTCTACATTTCATTTCACGATATCACGAGCTCCGATTTTTAGGTTATGTTGTCAGTTTTCGTTGACCGGAAATAGCCGCGAGTTGCCGTTAATCGTTTCCGTTAGAAAACTGCCCTCAGACGCGGGAAATTTGAAAAAGCGCGTTCCTATCAACGCAAATTGCGCAGTAAGGAGTGTATTTCAGACTTTTTCCATGTGACCATCGTAATTTTCGTGTCATTTAACCTCTAAAAAGTCTATTCGCATGGCTGTATCTCTTGCATGCAACAGGCCCATTGCAGTAACATCTGACTATCAAACACTTTTGAATAATACTTAGCAACTATGCTCCAGCAATTCTGGAGAGCAAATAACAGAGCTAATTACATAACTATGTAATTGAAGCAATCAATAATCACTGATAAAACGCCTGCTCTATTTTAGGATTTTTCTTTTTAATAAAATTTAAAAAAAAAAAAAAAAAAAAAAAAAAAAAAAAAAAAAAAAACTATGAATAGCACAGCACTGAAATTAACTTACCTCCTGAAAAATAATTCTTGATTGTCCAAGTCTTCTACTGGAAGACCTAGCTTTTCAAGATTACTTTTCCACATCTGCCGGACCTTTGTCTCATACTGTACTTGTCCCTCCATCACAGCCAGAGTTTTTTTGTGAAGGGCAGATTGCTCAATTTTTTCTGCTTTAAGCTTTTCGTTTTCTACTTTCAATGCTTTCAGTCTAACAGAAGAAAAAAGAAAACACCAGACATAAGATAACATAGACTAATTATATGATCTGCATTACTTAAAATGTACATTACAAATTCCCCTTAAAGATTGTTGTTGTGCAACACTTAAGAGATGATGGACCCAACAAAATGTCAGGATGCCCCTCAGGAACATGGAAATGTTTAGAATAATTATAATATGTTAAGAATGAACAAAATATGACAACTCCATTCTCTTTGATTAATATTGACAGGAAAAACAGACAAACTCTTTGAGATGAATTTACAGAATTTTAATTGAAATTTGTGACAGAGTGTTTCAATATAATGTAATTTTGAAAAAATGAACTAGCTTGTCATTCATTATTGTAATTTGAATAAGACATTTTAGTGTTCTTTTCCCAGGAAATACACTACTTTTTAAGCCATACTGTGCTAACAGCTAGAAAGTATACCATGACAATATAAGTACCTTAAAACTTCTTGGCTGAGTTCTTGTACTTGTTTAGCTAGGTTTCCGTAGGATTTAGTTTCATGTATGTATCCTTCTTGCTCTGGAAATGTTCCCTAAAATTCAAAGAATAACGCATGAGAAAAACAAAAGATTGCTAATTTTCAAAACGTTTTTAAAATACTTTTGATATTTTGATGTGTGAAACCTTTCTTTTCTTTCTTTCTCTTTTTTGCTTATATGATGAGAGGAACATTGAAATTTATCTCATGATAAACATGAGGCAACGTAATTACTAATACGTAAAAAAATTAATAATAGAAAAGTGTTATTTTCAAACTTAACCACTCATCCAAATCAAAACTATTTAAAGGATGTAAAAATTTAATCTGAAATTATTATTAGACTGAACTTCAGACTTACCATTCTGGGGTAATGGCAGTCCAACACTACTTTGGCCTCATCTTCATTATTTTCGACTCTGCACAAATTTTCCGCACGGATATGCTCATGTGTAGCTTTTCCATCCGCCTCTAGGATGGATACTTTTTTTCGCTTTGTTCCTGTTGAAGGAACTTTCAGTTTCCTTTTCATTCCTCTTGAAGATACCTCAGATAAACTGTTGCTAAATAGGGTGGGTATGGCATTTGCGGTCAATCTGCGTCTTCTGATACAAAAACGAGACACAAATGCTGAATCCTCAAAGTGATCGCTACACAAGTAGAAATGTTGATAGAGTTGAGAGGGGTGTTTATTGGCCAGGTCTTTTCTGCCGCTATTTTTGATCCATATTCTGCAACTGAAAATAGCAATAACAATATAGATATAATAAAGGATGTAAGTTATTTCACTACCCTGGTACAACAAGGTGAACCTACCTACAGTAAAATATGATAAAATAAAATTAGAGCCTGGTAAATGCAAATATAAACTGGCTAAGAAAATTGATGTCAGTTAGCACAGCATGAAATTATACCAGGTGTTAAGAGGATTAGACGGTAGTTAACCAGTCCGATCGAAGCGGTATACTACACAATGCATCTAGGTATTAGATTAAAAATTCACCAAGTATTCGGTCAGATCCAGACACAGTGATCAGCCATGGTCATGTGTTTCAGGAACATTTTTACCAAGAATGAATCCCAAAATTTTGAGAGAAGAAAGCGATATTCTTAAACCTAGAAGTCACAATATCCAACGCAGTTCAACATACACAAACTCGGTCTAAGCAGGAACTGCGGATATAGATACCTTTGAGGGACATCGTTCAGAATACGTCACACAAAATACGAATAAATAACAAAATCAATGCATCGGTCAGAAAAAATGTGCTAAATTAACTGAATTTCTGGTCGATAGAATAGGTTTTAAAAGTTACCTTTAAAGTACAGGAGGAAGAGCTCTCATCAGATGAACTGACTCTTCTTAACTTCCCATTTGAAAACATTAATGATGATGTTGTCCAAAAATATAATGAATCATCCTGGAGTACCAATTTCACAGTGTGCTGATACGTTACATGGTCTAATATACACAATTTTCAAAACTAACCAAGTCTTGACTTAGTTGACGGAAATTTCGATATACATGCATGGAAATTGGGATAGGGGTCTCGGTGAAAATGAGTTTTGAACTCACATCCTCAAAACTTCTCTTACGTGGGCAGATTTGAATAATGATTGACCAACTTTTTAGAAAGAAGTGGATGTAACGTTTGGATTAAATCCCTCTTCCGAGTCCTGAGTTTGACGGCAAGAGAGACAAATATTATGGTGGCCATAAAGGAGATAGAGAGCAGGAGCCTGAGACTAGGCTAATTATAATAAGTTTGATGAATGGTGAAGATCAATACGAAGAGTGTATTCAGACAGCATGCCGAGTTGCTTGTCAGGCCGCCTGGTGCACAAATTGATGAGCACTAGCTGACAAAAGTGTTTCATGGTGAGAATACAGAGCACTCATAGAGCAATGCCTTTGGCGGTCATGTGAGCAGCTCAGCATGCCATCTGAATAAGCCTTAGACAGGAGGGAAAAATTTTAGGCATCAGTACCTCAACGCCCTGCAAATGACAATTGGTGCTAAGAGCGTTCATTCCATTCAAGCAGTCATTACACAAGCTATCTGTACTTAGTTGGCAATGCATCAGATATACAGGAGTTGAGAGGAGACATGATACAAATTCTTCCTGGATAATATAAGGAAAGTACCGAATGATCAGGCAAAGAGAAGTAATTTGATGAACAGTGATGCGTTAAGTAATTTATTCATGATTCATTTAGTGGCTGGAGATTAGTATTCTTCTCGTTTCATGAGGAATCAAAGTCAGATGATTCTTAAAGAATAAATACAAAGTACAGAAATATCACTTACTTTTTAACATCGAGGGGAAAAGTGAAGAAACTTTTATCACGGCCAGTGGTGCTGTCATTAGGGCAGTCAAAGGAGGCACAAAACCGAGGACTGTCGGCACGATTCATGGCGAAGCTTGAACTTTACCCTTCCTCGGTTGAGAATCAGTGTACAGAATACTGATGCCGGTATACAAAAATTCAAAATAAGGAAGTAATCAACCACTAAAACATGCAAAATTCTAGCTGGATTTACCAAAGTAATGGAAGAATGTTGATTCTGGGAACAACAACAGGAGAGAGAAAAGAAACAAAGTTGTTAGAGAAACAGGAATAGAACCAACAGCACCATTACCATTGGTGTTCGTTTAGTTCATTCTGCATTCCAAATGATGGGAATATATGGAATAGACAGAACCGGAAACTGTAGTGCGACCGGAAATCGCCGGTATGAAACGGCGAGAAATTTTAAAAATGTAAATTCATGCAAACAGGAACCGAGATAGCTTTTCGGCTACGTCCGATGTCCGACATCCTCATGTGTGAATTGATATTCGGCCCAAAATTCCCCCTGCCTCCCAGTACAATAATCGTGCGAGCAGGTGCCGAAACAGCGTTTGAGCCCCGACCGTCATCTTGGATTTGGAATTTTGGAAATTTGACTGAAAATTCGAGTTTCCCGTGGGAAGATACCTGCTGAACCGTGTTTCACAAAATCGATGAAACAGGAATCAAAACAGCAATTTAGGCCACATCCGCTATCTTCCTTAGATGTTTTAATTTTTGGAAATTTAACATAAAACGCAAGATAGCCAAAATCTGGGCTCAAAATCGGATCCCACGTTAAAAATCGAAGGCATATTATGCTTCTGAACGTAAATGGACTGATCGATTCTGATATATCAGTCCAACGTGGCAACGTGACTACTCCCTGGATAGGTGGGTCAGTAGAATACGAAGAAGAATAAATTCAACTTCTCGGAATTCGGCACTTTTATCTACGCCGCCGGCGCCGGCTTCTCGAAATCTGCTCAAGCGCTGGCGGCCGGCGCCAACTGGCGTCTGTACGGACGGAGCAGGCCCGCCACAAGGGGGAGGGGGGGGGATACTGGGTCCTTGGTGCCGGGGCCCGGGCCCTGGAGGGGCCCGTGACGCAGGTAACAAACCACTACTAATTCATGTGTAACCCTTGTCTTGTTAGGAAAAGTGAAAAAATTACCCTAAAAATTCCGCAAAAGGTGAATAAAGTTTCAAAAACACGCTAGGGCACTGTAAAATTTTTCATACTTTTTCAGAGACCCCTGCTCCCGCGTTTCACAAAGCTCTATAACGAACAGAAACCGAGATAGAATTTTAGGCCACATCCAACAACTTGGAGTTGAGAATTTTAAAAAAATTGACTAAAAATTCGAGTTTCCCGTCGAAAAATACCTCCTGACACCGAATTTCAGAAAAATCCATCGAACAGGAGCCGAGATAGCATTTTAAGCCACTTCAGTCATTTCGGATTTTCGAATTTTTAATTTTTTGAATTTTGACAGATTTTGATTTAAAACGCGTAGGTAATACCTACTCAAAATCGAAGCTCAGATTCGGATTCCTCGTAAAAAATCGATGCGATTTCATGTATCATACCCTGACACCGAGTTTCACAAAAATCCATCGAACAGGAGCCGAGATAGCATTTTTAGCCACGTCCGTCATTTCGGATTTTGAAGTTGGAAAATGTGACTTAAAACGCGTGATACCCAAAATCGAAGCTCAGATTCGGATTCCTCGTTAAAAATCGATGCAAATTCATGTATCATACCCGAGCATAGCGTGGAGGAAAGAGACGCAACGTAGGCATACTGATTCGAGCATATGAATGCAACGTGGCAACATGGGTAGTGCTCAGTGGGTCAGCGGAGGAGGAAGAATAAGAATTTATCGTGAGGAATTCCTCGGGACGAAACCGAATGCTTAGCGCCAGTGGCGCCTAGCTCCCCGTTCGGTTGCATCTCGGGCGACCGGCGCGGCGGCAGCGGCGTAGTTCAAAAGGGGTAGTACGACAGAATCTATACGCGTCGTTAAACCTTTTTCCTTCACGCTATTCTAACATATGATACATGAAATCTCATCAATTTTTCACGAGGAATCCGAATCTGAGCTTAGATTTTCGATATTACGCGTTTTAATCAATTTAAAATCGTAGGAGAAATTACAAAATTGTCCTTGAAAATTGATCACACATTAGTGTTTTTATACGTCATTAAACCTCTTTCATTCACGCTATTCTAATATATGATGCATGAAATCGCATCAGTTTTTCACGAGGAATCTGAATCTGAGCTTAGATTTTGGATATTACGCGTTTTAATCTATTTAAAATCGTAGGAGAAATTACAGAATTGTCCTTGAAAATTGATCACACATTAGTGTTTTTTTACCCCGTTTTTCTTCTGCGTTCACGTATTGAAATTAGACCCAACAGTCGACTCATCGACAAGTCTAGCCTAATCCCCCAGAATCGGTCCAAAGGGCGAACGATTTTATCAGATAAGATGTGCGGTCCTAGTTTCCGGGCAATTGTGATTTGATGGAAGCTGCGATGAGGAGAAACGGAAGATATACGAAACTCGGATTAAATGAAAAACCTGGAAGGGGAAAGCCTTTTTTCCCGAAAAATTTGTGCTCGGGCCAACTTATGTGGTCACTGAGAGCATTGTATGGGAGGTTGCGGGAAATTATTTTTTTGCGGCAATAACCAATTGGATTGCATTTTGCAAAAAGGAACTAAGAGCATTTCAATGTTGCTGAGATTGCGCAACTTTGGTACAACAACCGAGGTACATTCTTTGCAAAAAGTAAACTTTACGACGGTAATTTTCGTCTTGAATTCATAGTTTATTGGGAGTAGAGGCGAAACTAGTTTAGATGATCGTTTATGTTTGCAAGGTAAAAAAGTTGCACAATCTTAGCGACATTGGAATACTCTTGGTTCCTTTTTGCGAGATACAATCGAAGTATTAAAATAGTTTTAATCATAATCTTGGCGTTTTTAAGTATTTTTTCAAGGTGAGCTTTTCTCTTGATAATAGATGTATACCTAAATGTTAATTTTACCTATTTCAAAATTAAGTTTTTGATTCAGTCAAAGGCGACAAGTTTTCTTGGATTCAAAAATTCCCCGAATTTTCAGATGTTGACAAAAAAATCCCTGTTTTTATTTTCAGTGTTTTTTTGGCATGGTTTCCGATAAAAACTCTAATCACGGATAGTTCTTAAAGCGAATCCAGGGCCGGATCTAGCGGGTGGCCATATGGGCCGCGGCCCATGGCGGCAAATCATGCAATTTTTTTCAATATAGGCTGAGAAGAAAATCGGATTCAGAAAAAAAAATTACGATCGAGAAAAGGCGAAAAAATCTCTCATTATCTGAGAGTATAGAAATGTCCGATTTTTTCGTCTTTCGGTGATTCAAAAGACAGCACCTTTAATTAATCGAGTTAAGAGAGAAACCATACACGCAATTTGGCCTAGAGTGACGCGGCGCAGAGAGCGCAATAATGACGAGGACTTAAGATGAAAAGGAGTATAGCCCTCTGTGCAGCGGTTGGCATTTAACACATATTAACGCCTACATGACTGCATGAATACTTCACGCATTGCGTCAAATACAGTGCGGTCAGCATGAAACGCATAGCGCCTACAAGGCTGCATGAATACTTCGCGCATTGTGTCAAACACAGTGCGGTCAGCGAGGCGCGGCGGCGGACGTCAAAATAATTATTAAACCACAATTACCTATATTTTTTCTTTCATAATTTTCTCGTTCATATCTCAAAAATGGAAGGCCTTGACCACACAGAGATAGGTTTACGGAACTTAACTTTTGCGCAAAGTTCCTTGAACTTTTGCTAGTAGTGTTGACAGGACAGGGTTTTCGCAAAAAATGTTTCCGACACGAGTGAACGAGTCTTAATGCATGAGACGCCGTCTTATGCACCCCTCCTCCTCTGGCACGTTCACCTTATAGTTTTTATTGCTGTTTCAAAACGATGAGAAGGGGGCGGCCCATGGGCGGCAAGTAGGTAAATCCGGCCCTGAGCGGATCGCAAATTGAGAAATTCCAACGGTCGTGATTTGCGGGGCTGACATCCTCAATGCTTTCGCGGAAATGTTTGCGGCAGATGGTTTGCGGCAATTTTCACTGATTTTGGCGACTCTCCCGTGACCACGGTAAGTTAGGTAGGTATTTTCCCCTAGGAATTTCCCTGAATTCTGAGAAGTTGAATTTATTCTTCCCCATATTCTTCTGACCCACACTCAGTAATTACCCATGTTGCCGTATTGGACTGATATCAGAATCAGTATGCCTTTGTTTAGCTTCATACCGTGATACGTATGATGTATGAAAAGACACTGATTTTTTAAGAGGAATTCGAGTCTGAGCTTAGATCTAGGATATTATACGTTGCAAGCTAAGTTTTTAAAATTCTAAAATCCAGGGTATCGGACATGGCATAATACACTCTCTCGGCTCCTGTTCGATCGCCTTTTGTGAAATTCGACAATCAGGGGTATTTTTCTTGAATTTGCAGTCAACTTTCCAAAATTTCCAAGTCCAAGGCGGTGCTCCTGTTCGACTGATTTTTTTTAGACTTAGCACTAAGAGGTACCAACGGGGGAGATGTTTACATAGGTGCCTTAAACAATATACTTACGTATGGTTTGGGAGTTTCATGATCTATGTACGACGCAATTTGTCTGGATTGGATTACCTATTTTAATTATTTTCTGCTTTGCCTCATTGCCAAGTATCTTACATCTTACCATCCAAGTAGCGCAGATTGCTATTTATTGAAAATATAGGGTAAAGTATCGCTATTGTGTTGGAGTGTTGCGCATGTTGCCTGTTTACTGATTGAAGGGGCTCTTCCTAGTGAAATTTAGATGGATGCAATAGATTTTGAAGATGTAAATGGTAAACTGAGGTTAACCAACCATCTCGCGGAGGCAGACAGGACAGGACCACCAACACGCACCCTAATTTGTCCGGTACCAATACTTCATAACTAGAAATTATTTTTTGGACACCTTCGATAAATTGGACCACATTTTGGAATTCGAAACTACGACTATACAACTTCTGGTTCATCGGTAAAATTCTATTGTACCTACATGGAGAAACCGAGGGGACGTACGTCGTTTCTTAACTGAGGTAGAAATTATCGTTCCGAATTGCAACATGTAGTCCAATAATTGCAATTTTTCATACTGGCAGTACAACTATTTAAATCATAAAAGGATTAAGTACTGCTAGTCCTTTTATTTTTTTTTTGAAAAAAAAAAAAATTCGCTTGCACGAAGTTTGTTTGGATTGAGACAAATTTCGTGGAAATTTGTTGGGGACCGAAAAAAATTTCGTGCAAATTTATTTGGGACCGAGACTTCCGTGCAACTTTGTTTGGGACCGGAACAAATTTTTTGCAAGTGGGTTAAAAAAAAAGTTTTATCTTTCCTCTATTTATTACCGCATGTCGATGGTCAAAGTGCGGGAAGACACAACTCCGCTTGCAATGTCGTAGGCTTCCAGCCATACTTTATTTTTTCCCTGGAAAACGTATGATTTCAAAGTATGATTTTTTCAAAAGTTCCATGAATTTTCCTCTCTGTCAGTAGAATATTCTATTTTCAAGCTATAAAATTGACTTTTTCCTCTTCGAAAAAATGAACTAGGAGCGGAGATTTTAAAAGACCGCAATGGAGATGCGTGGTGCCACCAAGACTGGATTAGCGCTCAGGNGGGGGGGGGGGGGGGGGGGTTGCAGGCGTGTGCGAGGGGCCCGCATATCCGCGGATTGCTTTCCTCTAAATTGAAGTATACTGAAATGTAGGTAGCCAAGTGCTAGAAATAATTTAAAAGTTTTGATAAGAAAAACTCCCGTTTTATTGCACGAATTAGAATAACAGGCCGAAGCTTTTCGAAGTCTAGACTTCATCGTCACGGCGGTCGTCGTTATAAAGTTTTAAACACAAAGACCATAACTTAATTTTGACGACGATGCCTAGACTTCGAAAAGCTTCGGCCTGTTATTCTAATTCGTGCAATAAAATGTGAGTGTTTCCTATCAAAACGTTTACATTATTTCTAGCACTTGGCTACCTACATTTCAGTACACATAAATCAGTGCTACTACCTTTTGGACACTGTTTTTACAATGTTCGCCGAACTTAAATTGAAGGATGTTCACGTTTCCCAAAAATGAAGGGTTCGTTTGTGGCTGCGACCCCCCCCCCCCCCCCCCTCCCCCCGGGTCATTTTAGTCAAAGCCAGTTAAAATATTAAAATACCACTCAAATTAAGGATGCGTAAAACTTAAATAGTAACTAAAAATCCACACCGAGAATCTATGATAGAAGATCGTCTTGAATCCCAACTTGTTCTATTACTCGAGGTGGACTGCCTACCCGGCCCCAAGTAGCAGTGATCGCGATAAATAGCGATTTTATCGGTTGGTTATCGCGATTATAGCTTCCTCAGCTTCCGGAGGATCTCTACCATGACAGATTCCTGTGGAGAGTAGGCGTCGCAGAGCGCCCCAGCGCGCCGTAAAAGCGGCTTATAAATACACACATATCGCGATTACATCGGTGGCAATATATCGAGGTATTATCGTATTAAAAATCGCGATATATGGCGATTAAATCGCAATTTTTGGTTCGATAACATCGTGATCAATTTTTGTCTATAAAATCGAGATTATTCGCCATTTATCGCAATTTTTATTTCGAAAATACCGCGATTAATTGTCGCACGATGAAAGCGCGATTTTATCGCAATAAGATCTAGGATAATCGCTCAGATGTTGATGATCCTGGCGATTTTATCGCCGATAAAATCGCAATTCATCCCGATTTTTCCGTTGAAAAATGCTACTTGGGGCGTAGAAGAAAATCATCGATCGGATTGCTGTTTCTACTGAAGATTTCTAGAAGCTATTGCTTCCTTAGACATGTATATAGTTTATTTTCATGTCATTAGGTATATGATTAAGTATGTAAAACATTACTATTTCGAGAATTATTTTAATATGTTTACTGTCCTTGATTTAAATGACGGCGGGGGAGAGGTCATAGCCGTAAACGAACCCTTTGTCTTTCAGGAAACATGAACCGCCTTCAATTTAGAGAGTATGCAGCCCGCAAATGTCTGGGTCTTTTGTACCCACCGACATTGCGCGCCTTTGAGCGCTAATCTGGCCCTGAATGAAACGGACTGATAATGAAACTTTCTCTGAATTTTCCCTAGATTTTGAAAAATATACTTACATAATTTCAAAATAGCACGCTGCTTAGTTTGCGGTAAGAATAGGAGGGAAAAATGTAGAGCCATGATGATTATATGGGCGCGTGTAATATGGGTAATTTGACTTATTTTGTTTGAAATTCCTCCATTTTAAGCTAATTAAAACCCTCAGAAATTGCAAACATCGTAACTTTATTTACAGTTTTACATAAATACAACGCTTGAAGTTTTACCACAATTTTCCGACTTTCTGATTTACCTACTAGTTTATAATTTTTAACGTAACAGAACGATCGGCAAATAAATAAAAAATACTTCATCAGAGGAATAAGATCTAAGTAGGTTGAGCGTTCCAGCACAGCAAAATCACAACATTATTAAAAAATGGTTGCACGAAAATAGAAACGGGAAATCAATTCCTTCAACACGTTTAAAAGTTGACATTCATTTACAACTTCCTTTATGTACCTATAATGAAGAGACGTCCTCATGACAGTGGGAATATAACATAGAAAAAGAGTGAACAGGAAATTTTATCATCCACTCGAAATTTGTAAGTGCACTTAATACTTTGTGGTGCTATTTCAGAGAAATGTCGTGATATAAACCCGGCTGGATGAGAGGAAATTGAATAGGTGAATGATACCTAACAGTCATGTTCGCAGGGAAGAAAATTGGCGAACATAATAAATTTCGATACCTTGGTTTCTCTGCATAAATTCTACTTGCTTTATATTTAAAAGTGTTAAAAAAAAAAAAAAAAAAAAAAAAAAAAAAAAAAAAAAAAATGAGTAGGCGAAAGTATTTAAAATGTTCAAAACTGTAATTAGTGAAGTTTACAGGAGTAAAACTCATGAAAACTACAATACCCTCTGCAAAGAGGAAGCCGCATAAAGTGTAAGTTGGTCGATCAGAGGTGAGGAGGCCGCTCCTAATTCTGCCGATCAATAAAACAGTTCCTTCCTTTTTTATTCTCTGAAAATGACTTTGAAATTTCACAGACAAACGTTCAACACCTCTATTCGACATTAAGCTGCCGCAAGACTCGCACACTGCATCGCGCATTCCTCTGTACAACCTTGCCGTAAAATTTAACGAAAAATGTCATGAAAAGTAAAGGAAGTAAGTATAGAGTTTTGTTCAATCTTACTTTTTTGGAAAAGGATTCATCAACTGATTAGATTTTCTAAAAAACCGTCTCACGCAATAAAGTGTGTTGGGTGCCAAAGCGTATTTTACATAAAGAGAATCACCCTTTAGCCGCACAACGTTGGACATTTTTGATATTCTATTTAAATTTTAGTTAAAAATAGCAAACTCAATTGGCGCATTCATTCAGAATATCAGGAACTCAAAGTAGCGACCAGATAAACAATAACTTTAACTGACGTGGTTGAGATTGTTCAGTCCCTCGTTTTTCATCTGAACCCTAGGAGTTTAATGTGCTAAAATAATCAAAATAAAAATTCTGTACACTGCCCGTTTCGTCCCACGCTAGTAAAAAACCATTAGATGCAAAGAATGACTTCGTTACACTCTTCTGCAGTTCTTGATTAACAGCAAATCACTTTGGCACGGGTAAAGATTTTATTCAAACAATTCATGATTTAAAGACGTTCCCAATCCCTTTTCAATGCAAATCGAATGAATTAGAATCGTTACAGTATAAACATTTTTATTTTATATGGAAAAAGCGTACCTAACTCGGAGAACTCCGTTGGACTAGCCCTGAAACGTTCCCATCGATAGCTAAAGTTGAAAAATGCGTATTTTAGATGGCGACGTAGTATAAGTATCCGTTCATGTTTCCTTTTTCTTTTTTTTAAAAAAGGAAATGAAACGACCTACAACATTTTATGTTAATCAACAGTTTCTACTGAAAATACCTTTGTGTGAATCTTCTTCGCTCATTTAAAAAAGAATCACACAAAATTGCAAGGACACATTTTAATAAGTATTCCTTGAGGGAGTTTCAACCGTTCCAACTGAGATACGCCTCTTTCGCATCAAGCCATTGGTACAGCGTTTTTGGATTGGCATATTTATTGCAGTGAGTTACATCCTGCAACAACTCCATCCTGAAGGTGCACTGCCTTCTTTCTAAAATCACAGAAAAACAAGATTAAGCAAGACTTGCATCACAGCCGCAAGTGGCGTGGACTCAGAGCTTATCGACGACGACGCTTTCAAGATCCGCCTTCTGCGGGTCGCTCTGATCCGCGGATCCCGGCGGCCTTCCAGATCCAAACTCTTCCGGCGGTATCATCGTGAAGAGCCGCGTGGTGGCTTGACCTTGAGTTTGACCTTGACCTTGGCCCTCGTCTGGGGGTCGCCAGGGCGCCGGAGTGACACTCGAGGTCATGCTCGAGGTCGTGGAGGTCATGGTGAGGCAGATAGCTTGCTCCTCGCACGGAGACACGGAGAAGCGCTTGATCTTCTGACCTCCTCCCGACGGAGGTCGCGCCGACAAGCGTCGTTTCGTCTTGCCCTCGGGCGGGGGCGCCTGCGTGGTGATGATTTGCGGGGGCGGCGCGGTGGTGGCGGGGGGAGGTGCAGGGGGGTGCGGGACGACGGGGGTGCGTGTCTTCATGACTGTCGGGGCGCAGGTGATGGGGTGCACCGAGGAGGAGGTCGAGAGGGTCCTTCTGCGGATCTTCATGAATTGCGGCATGGAGATGGAAGGGTTCGAGGAGGTGAGTCCGGGTGATGAGCTTTTGCGCTGGAGCCAGTTGGGCTTCTCCGTCGAGTCCTTCTTCGGGTAGCAGGAGAGCGAGAAGGGTGAGAGCGAGAAGCGCCTGGGTTTCTTCTCCGAGGGCGGTTGTTGGGTCGGCGTTTGACCCTGCGGCGCCGGCGGAGCAGCGGTGGTGTAGCCCGCGGTCGACATTCGCCGCGACTCGCGCGGTGGTTTCGAGTCGCTGCTTGGCAGTGGGAACATGTTTTCATCCTGCGCAAAAAAGGATTCAAATTAGACTCAATAATGTTTTGAGAAGCTCAAACGTGTTGTGACTCGAGGATTTTCGTAACTTCACTAGGCATTTTCTTGAATTAATCGGTGGACTTGATGGAAAAGTTTTCCTCCCTTACCTTATTCTCCTCAACTAAAGTATAAACTTTTGCCAAAAATGTAGAGAAATGAAAAGGTCAAAAAAATTTTGCATCCCTGCCGGAATATTCGCGGTGTGAACAAATGAGACTTTGACAAAATCGAGAAAAACAAGGCAAGGGAGCTCAAAGATTCAGTTTTCGTAAACCCTACAGGTTGTAGTTACCTACTGATTTCGCAGGGGAGGCTAGACACTTTCTAAGGAAGTTTCTTCAATTTGAAAACACAAGGAGAGAGGGAAATCTTCTCCCTAAACTTTCCTCGCCTTCTTATTTGTCCATGAAACGAATCTACCGCATTCGTCGTTCGCGCTTAATCTTCAAAAGTGTTTTTCCAAAAGAAACAAGGAAAACATTCGAAACAATACTTTCCACGGAAAATTGGCAATGTTGTGATAAAAATCAGCTATCGTTTACTTCATTTGCAAAATAGGAAGCGCTGAAATTAAGTTAAGTTTGAAAGTAACAATCAAAGTGTGCTCACTTAATGGTGCATGTGACGAACACTTTATTTCGATTCTAACGCCTGAATACAACTATTCGAGCTCCACGGATGACCGTGTTGCATACACACAAAGCTGAAGGCGTTTTGATTCTCCAAGACACTCACCGATTCAGCCGCGGCCGGCGCGGCGGTGCGGCGTTGGACAGTGCTGCGGGGGCGAGGTTCCTAATACACGTACTTAGAGCCTTTAATGCTTCAAATATACTACAAGACATCTCTGCGGTATACGAATAGTTGCTCTACTATTCATGGTCATCTCATCGCGATATCAAACCGGAGATAAAAAGATCCTGACACCCTTCACCTGTAAGCAACTATTCGTGTCTATAAGAGATGTCTTTGTGGTATAAATGAAGAATTAGAGGCGCTTTGACTTTTGAGATCTCTCGCAGCACCGCCGGCCGCCACGCCGCACGGTGGATCGAGTTAATAGGTAAGGTCGGACAAAATTTGGAAACTATAAAAGCTTCTAACTCCGTTCATACAAAACTTTGAGGTTCTAAAAGTGGTTCCATTGGTTTCCTCGTGAAATGTTCATCGAGAAGCATCCCTAAAAATTTAAAATGTGACGAAATAAACGTCAAAATTTGCAGTTTTATCACAAATTACATGTTCGACCTCTCTCATTGACTCGATCCAATGTGCGCCGCGCCGCAACCATGAGCCATGAATCGTTGAATCGTGAGTGTCTGGAGACTCAAAACGCCTTCACCTTCCTGTGTATGCAACACGGTCATTCGTGGAGCCCGAATAGTTGTGTGCAGGCGTTAGAATAACATTTTTTCATTTTTTTTTTGCTCGTCGCACGTTAACTGAGGGCGCTTCGTTTGTTTCTCTCTAACATCAACGTAGTTCCAGCTCTGCCAATTATGGTACTCGTCGACCAGAACATGGCGCCAGTTCTCCCATTTACATTACGACTCCATGTACTCTATGATGTATATAATTGATTACATGGATGAGTGAGGCCCAACAAAATGCTTGACGTTACCTGTGAGGCATGTTTGAAGAGGGTGAAGAGGGGTGAGCGCTTCTTCTCGGGGGCGTGAACGGTGCGGATGTTGATGTTGCCGACGTTGGCCAGCTGGGTGCCGACGCGGGTGTGAAGGGCGTTGAGGACGGTCATGAACTCGGCCACGGTGGTCTGCTCCAGGACGGGGCTGTGCATCGGGAACTGCCCGTGGTTCCCGGCCGCCATCGTCGCCGCCAGGGCCGTCAGGAACTCGGAGGGTGGCCGGGTGGCTTGGGTGTGGGTGTAGTAGTGTCGCGGCAACTGGGAACGATACTCATCGTCGTATCTACTCTCAGGCACCTGAAACCAAAATTCATATCCTCCTTTATTTTCCATCCACTGGTGGCCGGAAAACGAGTCGGTTGCACTAGTAGCACCAGGCCCGCCACAAGGGGGGGATACTGGGTCCTTGGTACCGGGGCCCGGGCCCTGGAGGGGCCCGTGACGCAGGTGACAAACCACTAAGAATTCATGTGTAACCCTTGTCTCGTAAGGAAAAGTGAAAAAATTACTCTAAAAATTCCGCAAAAGGTGAATAAAGTTTCAAAAACACGCTAGGGCACTATAAAATTTTTCTTACTTTTTTAGAGATTTCTATCTATTTTCAAGATTTTGAGTATATGTAGAATGATATTTTTAGCAACTGCGTTTCATTTTCTTCCGTTGACGGATGCTAAGAGGCTCCTGTCTGGGCATCCTCAACTTCAATGGCTCAACTCCTTTGCCATGGACGTACGAAAGGGGAGTCCAGGGGGCCCGGCTTAGCCTAGAATTGAAAATTATTATCTGCCCCCCTCAAAAAAACATTTATAGGTGTTTTGAATGCAACAATTCGAAAGTATTTGGTGCTGAAAGTAAAAAAAAAGGAGTAATTATTCTGCAGAAATTGATGGAAAATCTCCATCATAAGAGCTTCAAAATTCGTCCAAATAGATTTAAAATTTCAAAAATTTCCCGGGGGAGTCCCCCCGAACCCCCCTCTGTGCTAGGGGCCCGAGCCAGAAAACTGGTACCAGGGCCCGAGATGGGATGTGGCGGGCCTGACTGTAGCACAGATAGGAATAAGTAGCATTTACATACTGCTGTGCTGAGGAAGAACGCCGTATGAGCCATCAGACGTTGCCAAGTTTCCCTCGATAAAAAGCGAAATTACTGGGAAATTTGTGAATATTTTCTTCCAAAATTTTCAGAGTTTTGTGCGCACTTTGATCTAAAATATCTGAAAATTTCAAGGAGAAATGTGCACGAATGTCATCAAAAATACATATTATACTAAGGGAAATTTGGCAACTCTCGAATGTTCATACGGCGTTCCTCCTGAGCACGGCAGCATGGTAAACAATTCCCATTAAATGCTGTGTATGTTGCCTAGCTCCTTTTTGAAGGGGACCCATTTATTGAAACTTATTGAAATAAAATTGAAATGAGTAGCAATTTTTCATTGCATTGCAAATTGCCTATCTTTGTGACACATGGAGCTCATTTTGTTGATTGTTTAAAATCGGCATAGATCGACTAATTGATGTAAGAAAGTGGCTTTGAGTCCTTTTCTGTGAGGAATAACTCTCCTTTTCACTCTGGTCAAAGTTTGCAAGCAAGTTTACATTGCGTCGATAACAAAGACAAAATACCTTCCAAAACAGCCTCTCGAGGACGGATGGAAACTTTCACCTCGAGAATTTACCACTGAGCCCGTGTAATTACCATACTTTGATGGTCGAGGAGACATCGCATGCTACATAAACGCATGGGTGGGTATATTTTAACTTACTGCCGGATGAAAATTTAACGAAGCACTTTACCCGTGACATTCACATTTAAAATTTCGATGAAAAAAGAAAAACAGTGAACCTCAGATTTATGGATGAGTCATGACGCAAGAGAGGAAAAACATCATTCCATTAATTACACGAGTGTAATTAATGGAAATATCGGGCACTAAGTGAGGCTCTCTAAATTAAATCCCCCTCCATCATCTATAAACTGAGTTTGAGGCTAGGTTTTTTTCCAGAATGGGAGGCGGAAATTATAGAGGTCCGCAATTTCTGAAAATTGAGAAAAAGGACATGGGGGAAGGGTGGGTTATTATATAGTTTTTTTTTAGAAATGAATATGAATACGCTCCTTACTCGTTTTACAAAAAATATACAAACCGAAAGTCGATGGCAAGATTGCGAGAGATGTGATTTCCGCTTGGCTTTTTTCGAGTCGGTGGTTTTGAGATTTTGGAACCACCTGTGCGTCTTGCTGCTTGAGGTTGAAATGAAGTTGTAGGCTGCTTGCGACATGCGACGAAGACCACGAACCGGTAGAGGAAGTCCTTTCTCCACGTCCACCTTGCTTGGATCTGGATGCCGAGAGATGTTCCCACTCCTCCTGTAAAATATGTCCAGAAGAATATTTTTTGAAGTGTTCCTCTGTAAAGACTGTTATACGACGAAGGTATTAATACAAATTGACTGTAATACGACTGAATAACATCTCCTCTACCTTTGAGGATGAAGAGTGTCTGTATACAGTTTTTTTGTCTTTCCGAAAAATTGGGTTCCTCAAAAAACGTGGTTTGGGAGTGTTACTGGCGATAAAATCGGGTTTCTCAAGAAACGTAGTTTGGGAGTGTTACTGGGCGATTAAATCGGGTTTCTCAGGAAACGTGGTTTGGGAGTGTTACTGACGATAAAATCTGGTTTCTCGAGAAACGTGGTTTGCGAGTGTTACTGGCGATAAAATCGGGTTTCTCAAGAGACGTGGTTTGGGAGTGTTACTGGCGATAAAATCGGGTCTCTCAAGGAACGTGGTTTGGGAGTGTTACTAGCGATAAAATCGGGTTTCTCAAGAAACATGGTTTGGGAGTGCTACCGTCGATTAGGAGGACTCACCTTATCATGTCTCTTTGCCGTCTAAGTTTCTGCATCCTCTCAGTAGCAGCAGCTCCGGCCCATGTCCACTGCTCCACATACGAGGATGGCTGTTGGAGAGGTGACAAGGGAGGGGCGGTATCACTAAGAGCGCGGCTCCTCTTAACACCGGGGCCCTCCGTGCTTCCGTACTGCTCGCTGGCCAAAATCTCTTCGTCTGAAAACCCGTCCACCCCTTGCATCCTGCCGGTGCCCTTCGTGATCGAGAAGTAGTTCTGTAAGAGGAAATACATAGAAATAATGGTGATATGCGGGCAGTAATGAATGCAATAACTAAGTTCAGTAGCGGACTGGCTTCAAATTCTCCAGGGGGCTGGTCGCTGGCCCGTCGAGGTAAGGTCCCTCCTGATGAAGACAAGAATGAATGGTCCAAAAGAGGTCTTCAAGGATTCTGCGATATTTCTGAGGAAGTGTCAAACGGGGCCACAATGATCTGCCAAAAGGGGCCCTGCAGGCCTTTTTATGCCAGAGGAGGTACCTAATCGGCTTCTGTCCCTCTGGCCGCGGCGTGCTTTGCAATAAATCGAATGATCTGCCATTTAAAGATATGGAAAATGATCGATAAACAGGTTGTTCGCAGCGAACACCTTAATAATCGATTCTTTACCATAGGTTTAAATGACAGAACAATCGATATATCGCAATTCACGCCACGCCACTGATGCCAGTCCGCCCCTGACGAAAAGGAAGAAGAGTTGTTAAACAAGTAGCACTTTAGGTACAAAATATAATGCGCGAGGCACAAAAGCTTTCCACTAAAGATCTGAAAATGACGCAATTTTTTGCGAGTTTTTACGCGAATCGCACAGTCTCCCCCCCTCCCCCCCCAAAAAAAAAGTTTTAACAAAGCCTTCCCCCACTTTGCCACATTCGCAAGAATAACGAATCGCACTCATTTCAAATTGCGTTTCATACCAATTGGGGTAACCATCTACACTTGAGTTAAATCACACACTAAGCGTTACTGCAAGTTTCTAGGGTAGGAAAATATGGAAACCTTAATCTGCTTCGGCTCTGCTGTTGCACGAACAACACGAGGCGGAAAAGGAAACACTGTTCGATCAAGAAACCTGCCAAATCTGTTATGTTGCGCGATTTGATTCTCGGAGACTCAGGTTTTCCTTGTGAATGGAAAATTCAAATTTGTGCAAACATGCCGAACGAAAAGGTTAAACGTTAATATCTTGGTAAGGATTTAATTAAAATTATATTTTCGGCGTGAATCGTGTTCTACGTGAAATTTTGAAGAGGAAACGTATGTTAAAAACTTTAAATTCGTACTTCGTCTAGTAGTTAATGCAGAATTTGCAATATCTGAAAGTGCTATTCCTGTCCTCCGTAAAAAATCACTTATCGCAATTTTACCTTTTTTTGTGTTTCTCTCCCTTCCTTTTTTTTATATCTAGCGCGCGTGACGCCAATGAACTCAGTTCTTGACGTTCTGGATTTACGATATTGGTTTTCCTCGGGATGAGATCTGAGGTAAAACTTTAGGCTGGCTTATAAAATTGACGTTAAACTCATACTTTTTAGCGTGACAGTTTAGTGATGAAGTAGCGGTAGTATAGATGTTTCTCTGCAAGTTAAAATTGAACTCTCATAAAAATGCGCCGATCCGAAATTGTCTTGCTGAGCAGTGCGATTCTATTTGCTGCTCTCACTGAATTCCATAGTGCTTTTGCGGTTAGTGATTGTATTCTTCTGAGATCTTTCATTTATTTCAGTGTATAAACTGACGGCTTTTTTAAAAAAAAAGGATCATGCGAATGCCATCTGATGATACCTAGTGTGCCTCTTAATAAAATCCCGTCTTTTCATCCATGTAAATCGTACGGATGTCCCGCGACAAAAGGTAATAAAACATTTGAAGAGGCTATGTCATGATGGATATTTTGACGGAATAATCACATTGACTTGCATTCGCAAGGAAAAAATCATCGTTCGCAAATTTTGAGTAAAATTCAGCAAAAAAATGAATCTTTACTATGGATTAGAATGATTTACCTTTGCATAAAAAGTGCAAAACAAAACGAAAAATTTCAATGATTTTGCCAAATTTATATTTACAACTGTGCACAACTGAAAGCAGGATCGGATTTAGGGGGTGGCCACATGGATCGCGGCACATGGCGGCAAAATGTAGGGGGCGGCAAATTTTGCAATCTTTTTGAATGTACATATAGGTATCAAAAAAAAGAGAGAAAAAAATCGGATTCAGAAAATAAATTACAAACGAGAAAAGACGACAAAATCTCTCATTTCCTCAGAGGAGAAGTATAGTAATTTCTAATTTTGTCGTCTCTCGGTGATACAAGAGACAACACCTTCAATTAGTCGAGTTAAGAGAGAAACCAAACACGCAATTTGACCTGGAACGGAGCGGCGTGGCGCGGCGGTCAGCATGAAACGCATAGCGCCTACAAAACTGCATGAATACTTCACACATTGCGCCAAACAGTGTGGTCACCAGCGGTTGGCGTGAAACGCATAGCGTCCTCAAGACTGCATGAATACTTCACGCATTGCGCCAACACAGTGCGGTCGGCGCGGCGGTGGAAGTTAAAATTTTTAACCACATTTATGTTTGTTCTTTCATAATTTTTTCGTTCGTTTTTTATAAATGGAAGGCCTTGTCCAAACAGAGATGGTTTTACGGAACTGAACTTTTGTTAGTGTTGACAGGGCTTTCAAAAAAATGTACTCAACACGAGTAAACGCGTCTCATACACCCCTTCCCCACCGGCACGTTCACTTGATGGTTTTTATGGATCGTAATCGACGGATCACACGGGTGAGATTATATTGATATCGATTGGTTCAATATGTAACCACAGCCTCAAAAGTCAATTTAGAAATCTGAGGTAACGGGTCTTGTGTGATTGAATTTTTACTCTCTGGCAATGAAAAGTGAAATTGTTAGGAATTTTCTCATTTTCAGCTTTTCCAAATTAAATCCTAAAATTTTTGTTTGATGTTATGTTCTATTGTGTTGAACCAAACGAAACATCGAACCACTGTCGAATACGATCTATTGATGTTGATGTTTCAAAACAAATGAGAAGGGGGCGGAAAAATACGGGCGGCCCATGGGCGGCAAGTAAGTAAATCCGGCCCTGACTTAAAGAATATTTTCTTTTGCAAGTATTTTGTATTTTCTGTACAGGCAATTAAATAAATACCTATCCTTCGTGCGGATCCGTTTCCAGATGTGTACCTACTGCTTAATTTTTTTCAGAGAATTGCAAAAATTGTCCTCTTTTGATGCAGTGTTAAAAGGTTTTCTCAGCCTTAAGAACAATATCAACCATTAAGGACGTCCCTAAGGAAAAACGCTGTTTAAAAGGGTTTCTCCGAATACGGCCGAAACTCTCTCCTTCATTGGTCAATAACTGCATACACGCAGTTTTAAATGCAAACACTTGTGCTCACAGCAAATAAGTTGTGTTTTTTATTTCAGTTGCAACGGATTGGGAGACGTGTACGAACTCGTATAGACCAACGACGGCAAATCACCGTACATCCCGCCGAAGAACAAGGGAACATATTTGCCAACCGTGAGGGCCAGTTGAATTACGTCCGTAGTGCGCAAGGGGATAACTGCAGACATTTGGGAGCATACAATAACGGCAGACAGCTTGCACGGGCGAATAATGTCTGCAGTTCTGCTATGTAGGTTGACTCTTCAACTCCTTAAATCTGCCCCTAAATAATGCAGCCCCTTAATAATTTTAACTTTCATTGAAAGTAACAAACAACTAATAGTCCAGGTGCGAGGCGCCTGTTCACCCCACGAGGATATCGCTGGTGAAAGTGCAGAAGTGCGTATCTCGATTTTCGACAGTTTTGAGTCAGCATCTGCATATGAACGTGTTGTTTAAAATGTGGTCTATCCGCCAGCAAGAGATTACTATCGAAAAAAATCGAGAAGTCACCTAAAACCGTATAGAACTTTTTGAACTTGCGGGCTTAAGTGCAGAAATGCGTATCTCGTCCTGGCCCCTTCATTTGATCCGACGCGCCTGACGCACAACACGCGCTCCTTAGCGTTTCCTGCCAACAGCATACATCAGCTGAACAGCTGTTCTGGGTTTTTATTTTATTTTTTTTTTTTTCATGAATTCGCTGGTTTTGAAAAAGTTGGTAAATACTTATCAGTCGAGGGTCCTCCGGTATCGTATCTTCAAAGGTACCTATTACTAGCGGCGCGCGGCTTTCATGTCCATTACTTATTCACTGAAATCATGAACTGATAGTTCATTACAACGGTCAGCTGTATTAGAGTCAATCGAGTCAGACAATGCTTCATCTACCGTATTGGATCAACTAAGGCTTCTAAACAAGTTTTAAGTAGATAAACTCTAATTTTGATCTTAATGAGCAAGAGCAGGTTCAAAACGCTAATTGCAGAAATGCGTATCTCGTGATCAAATGTCATTTTCCAATCATAAAATGCTTGATCCGGCCGTATGAGATCAAACTAAAGCTTCTGATAGGGAATTGCAAGCGTGGAACTCTTTTTTCAGTCTTTAAATGTTCAAAATCCGCCTATAACAGATTTAAAACACTAATTGCAAAAATTCGTGTCTCGTGATTAAGTGTCAATTCTTAGTGCCGAAAACGCGAATCTCGGCATTTCTGCCGTATTTTCTAACAGTTCGAGAAATTATTCAAAATGCTGATGGAGTCAGAAAAAGCATCTTATCCTTGCTATCCTCAAGAAGTATTATACCCTTTTACTGACAATAAGGAGGAATGTAGACAGTTGTTTTACTCTCCTGGAAAAATGTGTTTTCCGAGATACGCACTTCTGCACTGTCACCATCGATATACTTTTTCACGTCAGTAAGCTTCACTTGTGTTTCAACCATTCCTTCTGAGTATGTTTGACTTAACTTTCCTTTTACTGTTGCATTTGTTTGCAAAGGGAGGCATTTAATTTGCTTCAACTTCCGGACTACCCTCACTTCGAAGCAGCACGGTGTACTCCAGATCAACGTTGGTGTATTTTCGGACGACCTATGTTTACGCGGAGTTACGTCTGCACGTTCTACTGCAATCCAATGCCTGGAAGACCCCAAGTACTGATCGACGGTCAGCTGATGTCTCCATACTTGCTCACCGAGTTAGTGATACCAGCAGAATAAAAATGAACCTTATTAATTTCTCAGAACTTATGCATGTCGTTTGTTAGGGTTAAGACGTAAAAAAGGCACTTCGTCCATTTCCTGGTAGAATTTGTGCATTGAATGAGCAGATAGCGTTTTGCGGAGACAAAACTTTTGTAAAGCCACGACATCAGTGCAAAATTAAGACCACCATTAAAAGTGTTTGAAACACTTTCTTCAATTAAAACAAGAAACATTTCCAATTTAAAGAGAAAAAATGTATCTAATTTGTTTTTTCATTTACAATCGGAGGAAACTTATTTTACTGAGAGACATTTTTTCAGGTGGATGTTTTGTTAAAATTCAATTGAAGGTTTTTTTTCTTTTGATTCAAAAAAATGTTCCCTGTCATCAATGACTTTGAGTTTCCTCGAATAAAAAAGAAAAAAGAAAGGAGGAAAAATGAATTTCAAAGAAACTGCTCCGATGTTGTTTCTTAGAGGAGGGCATTTTTCTATAGCTGGAAAGTCACATTATTGAGCCCAAAATGATTTCTATATTTGCATAATTGTAGTTTCAATCTAAAAAATGTGTGTAATGATTTTGTAATGAGCCCTTGGTTACACGGAACCAGTGGCGTGGCGTGCTTTGCGATATATCGAATGTTCTGCCATTTAAACCTATGGTAAAGAATCTATTATTAAGGCGTTCGCTGCGAACACCCTGTGTATCGATCCTTTTCCATAGGTTTAAATGGCGCAACAATCGATTTATCGCATTTCACACCACGCCACTGCACGGAAGGAGCAGCGTTATGCAATATTCGGCTTCAAAAATAGGAAAATTCGTTAAATCGAAGTGCGTTTCAGAACATCTTCAACATGCTCAGAGCTTGTGGAGTTTTTTTTACAGCCTGCGTCAATGATTTTGCATCAATTTTCAATTTTTTTCCCTCCTGGGTGAACCACTTATCGATGGTGAAACTACCAAACCACGTATCTCGTTTGCGGTGTCTAAAAATCTCCGCTCTCATTTTATTTTTCTGGAGGAGAACAATTCAATATCATTCCTTGAAGTTTTTACAGAATTTTCTTCGCACTGAGAAGGAAAATCACGGAAGTTTTCAAGAATTGACGTTGAGTACTTTCCCATTTAAAAATTAAAGTATGGCAGGAAGTCTGCGACGTCGCAAACCGAGATACGTGGTTTGGTAGTTTCACCGTCGTTATTTAAAATCTCTCCCCCCTCCCTCCCTAGAATGCCAACATTTCAAACTTTTTTATGCATGACATGTCTAAGTATACATTCTCATTCGTTTTAGCCCCTCTCGGTACTCTCTAAATGCTCAGCCTATTTGATGCATGACAATCACTGATGCTTTTTGGAATCGTCCGGTCACCAAGTTACCTCCTCGTGAGTGTCAGAGGGTGATCGGGAAAAATTGCAGTGGCGTGGCGTGAATTGCGATGTATCGATTGTTATGCCATTTAAACCTATGGAAAAGCATCGATACACAGGGTGTTCGCAGCGAACACCTTAATAATCGATTCTTTACCATAGGTTTAAAGGGCATAACAATCGATACATCGCAATTCATGCCACGCCACTGAAAAATTGACTAATCGTCCGATCAGATTTGCAACAATCCTCACGTTTTTTAGGTAGATTCCGATTATACCCGCGTGTTCTTGGTGTCAAATCGCCGGTGGTTTTACAATCCTTTTCCTCGCTATTCCTCTTTCCAGCCATCTCGTCTTCGGCAAAGTTTTAAAAAGTTAGTTTATACGGAAAGTGTATTCAGGTATGTTTCTCGATGCAGTGATTTATTTCTTGCCGTGTGGTGTCATATTTTTAAGATCAGAAACTCAATGTAAAATCACTATGCATTAATTTTAACTTATACGCATTTGCTATTTTGATTATTTAAATCCAATGTACAGATTTATTTATTTCTCAATGCATAACCTTTTATTGAGATATGTGTTAATTTATTTATTTTTTTTACTTTATTTCGGTGCATCTGACATATGCCGGGATGGGCAAAAGGAACGCTCGATGAGCCGTAACTTCTGGTTCGGACTGTAGTCCTAATCTTCGAAGGAGAAAACTTTTGGGGGGGAGGCACCCGCCGCCCCCCCCCCCAGACCGGTCAAGGAAGGTAGCGCCCACCATGATACACTGGAAAAAAAAGTCGCTAAGTTCTAGAGTCCAGACTCTTAAAAACATCGACAAGAAAAAATACTCTTGATTCAATCGGATTTTTCCTTAAATCGAGAACCAAGTCGCTTAGTTTAAGCGGATTTCCTTTTGATTCAAGCAAAACTCCAATGGAATCAAGCGTATTTTTCCTTGTCATTGTTTTCAAGAGTCTGGACTCTAGATCCAAGCTGTTTTTTTCCAGTGTATTGAAATTTTCAAATGACGACCCCCATGTGTGACACATCACAGGTTACAGCGTATCGAGTGTTCCCTTTTCTCACTCCGGTATCTGAAATGGCATCAGATCAAACTTGAGAAATAACCTCCCTTGAGCGCTTAATTCCTATCGATGCGATTCTCGACCGATGTAATTTCCCTTTTGGTATACTGAGTCTAATGAAATACTTTTAAACTTTGAACGCATTTCTCAGAGACAAGTCAAGACTTTTGAGGAGCTAATCACACAACCCGTTTAGTGGTTCAGGTGCGGGTATTCAAGATTCAAAAAGTCACAGTTACTGTTTTGACTTTCGCCTCAAGCATGGAAACGTTTCAATTTGGTAACGTCCCAATTGATGGATCGGTGTGAAAAGGTCTATGTCTTTTACCAATCAAAATAAAATTAAAGAAAATGAAAGAAAGCAATGAAATAAACGAGTCATCCTTCAGTAACACGCGGCCGCGCTGTCGCGATTTCAATATCCGGTGTAGTTCCAGGACCCGTGAAACACCCGATTCAAAAACCATGTATAAGGTTTCTGTCAAAATTGCTCAATAAAAACCAATTAGAAAGATTAAACGGAGTAAAACGTGTTTGGAGAGAGCTGCGCAAAAAGTTCAAACTGAATTTTTCAATCTTACTTTCAAAATGTGTGTTAAGAGTGGAGTTGACCGGATTCCCTCAATCTTATCTTTTTGCGCTGAGAATTTTAAAGCTCATACATCAACGATAGGCAGATTAGGATTTTCTCACATAAGGTCGTCTGAACCATGGAAATAACTCTAGCTTAATGCAACAACCCTGTGTCATCCACACACAAAAGGATACGTTGGATCCAGAAAACAGAACAGATTTGAGATAAAGATGCTGAGAGGTAGAAAAGAATGAAACGTGAAGATCAAATGAAACACGAAAATGGGTGGAAAATGATCGACATAAGAAACAAAAACCGAAGATGGCTTGATGCAAAGTCACTTGGATCATAAGTCCGCCGGAGTAGCGCGATCCGCAGCGATTCCCTTCAAGAGCAAGGAAGGGAAAGAACGTGCATTGATGACAGCGCAGAGATACAACTATTCGTACTTGATGGATGACCGTGTCGCATCGGCAAAATTGAAGGCGCTACGGCGCGAGGCGTGAACTCTCAATGCTCCACTCAATGCAGCCAATGAGGTTTCGCTCAGATTCGACAGGAAAGTTAAAAAACGAGTTACGTCTCTCAAATCTTTGGTTGTGTTGCTCACGTAGCTCTTCCTTGCAGTACCACTACAAATAAGACAAATGGAAGTAAACGCAGTATGGCAATATCGAGGGACTGAACCTTAACCTCGTCTAAAAGACGCCATAACTTAAGACGATTTTCTCGGCTTCTAATGAACATTCATAAATCTGTAGGAAAGATGAAAATGCTATTGATGACCCTGATGAACCTTTGCTCATTCAGATTTGAAAATTTTGACTTACTCGATTCAAAAAACCGTCTTCGGTAGTATCTTCATCATCGGAGGAGTCCGACATGCCACCTGTTGTCCCGAGTGCGTCGACGACTCGAGCCAGTAGCTCACTGGGAGCGATGTTTGACGGTGCCTCAAACGTCGCGTTCAGATCAATTTTGAATAGATCACCATCCGACCGCACCTATTAAACAAATTAATATCATAAGTCCCAATTGGATAGTACTTTGCACCCGATATGGTCTGTCAAACGTGCTTGAACATTTATGCAATAAGAATTTTACCTTTCTTGACTCATCGGCGGAGATTGGCTTGTTACCTTTTCATACTACCGATTCATCATGCAACTCGTCAAAGTTGCAATTTACAAAACTTTAACCGGCTGCCATTTTTTTTTTAAAAAAAGCGCGTTGACTGCTCTCGCGAAAAAATGTAAGTTTTAATGCCTATTCTAACTATGTTTTTCTAAACATACGGTTGTTATCTCAAATTGGGAGTTCCAGCGAATGACCATGTACAGCCCTTACAACGAATTATTGCATTTCTATGTGTTGTTCTCCTCTCAAAATAGTGCGGACCCAGCACCATTTTACCATCTTGTTATGTACAGTTCGGGCCACGTTTCTCACAAAGGAACGTAACAATAATGCAAGGTTGCAAATTTGACTCGAACAATCCAGTTTTTATCACGTATATTTTTGTTGAATTTGTGTCCAAGAGTTTCCTGATTTTTGCACGAGATCTGAAGAAAAATCACTTAAATTTTCAATTCGAAATGCCAAAAATTCCAGTAAAAATTTATCTGTGCGGAAGAATTTGGCTACATTGGCATTCAGTTACGTTACGTGTGGGAAACGACGATATGAGCATACGCTTGGAAAAAAGAGAGAGAAAAAGTATGATTTTCCCCCTGAAAAATATTATCTCACTGCGTCACTCGCAAAGATTAGAGGCGGGTCCAGCAATTTGGCAACACTGGATTGCCTCAATTTAAACGTATACTATAACTGATCGATTTTTATCGGAGCAACTGAACCCTCCAAGAATCGATACATTTCAATAGGATTAAATCGAGAAAACACAATATTGGCAATTTACTGGATCCGCCAATGGCAAAGATGAGGCTCTGAGCTAGTAATGAATTTGCTTGCAAATACAAAAAGATCCAAGTGAGCCTGACCTTTAGGACTTTGGGTTTCATCAAATTCTCGGAGAGTCCTGCCCTGCGACGCATGCGAACTTTCTTGAACTCCTCCTCGACGTCTTCATCGTTATCCGAGACAGGTGGCGTCTCCTTCTTCACTTTCCACATGACTGGCCATTCGCTCAAATTCGGCGCACTCTGACTCCTCTTCATCCGACCCAGTAAACCGTCCGCTTCGTCTCGAGGATCCCGATAGACAGGCTAAAAATATTCAATTTATGGTATTAAGAACAATACAATGAAAAACATAAAGTATATTTTGCTTTGATCAAGAGATAAAAGTTTTTTTTACAATAATAGCAGCTAGTGACAATGTAAAATAAAGAGCAATGGAAAACAAGGCTAAAATTCAGAATTCAAAAAAAAAGGTTGTTGCTGGTTATCCAGCCATCACCAATCAACGACGTAAAAATAAAATTTAAAAAAAATTAAGATATAATACCTAAAAACTACACTGTAGAGATTTCTCACCAATTCTGCACTTGATGCAAGGCTGCTCGATACATAGGGCATAATTAAAAAATATCGATGGCCAAAATGCGAAACCACGTATCTCCTTTGCAAACTTCCGATCATCCTTTTTTTTTTCCCTTGGAAAACTAGTCAACGTAATTTCATGAAAATTTCAAATATTTTCCTCTCTGTTAGCACAATATTCTGTATACATTTCAAGCTATACAAAGGTTACCTGTTTCTCTTTGAGAACATGAAATTATGCCGAAAATTTTGAGACACCACAACATGGAAATGTTTCGCACTTTGACTATCGATATGCAGCGGTATATGCACAATTCAACATATTTTGGCAAGTTTGAGGAGTTATATGGATAAGCCGAGAGTTGCTCTAGTTCCTCATTAAGTTTATATGGCACAATAAAGTTTCAAGTTCATATTACTAAAGTTCTCAGTCGTAGGAATCGAACTTCAGTTCAAATAACCGAAGTTTTTATTAGTCACACTGAGGCTTATATTCTTTACGACTAACCTCGGTTCTCTTAAATGAAGTTCGGGTTTAATGACTGAAAACTTTAGTTAACTACCTATAAACTGAAAACTTTAGTGGGCCCAATGACCTGAAGGTAAGTTCTTGTGACCAAAGTTTTTCTTTGTCCGTGAGGAAGATTACCTCCTCCCCGACCTCAGATCTTGTGGATACATATTCCAAAGCTCTCGCCAAGGGAATCCAGTTCAATAAGTCACACAAGGAAACAATGAAACTAGAGCCGAGTCCACTCTGCGGGCTGATTGTTGAAATTGATAGATATGGCTGTAGACAAAGAGGCCAAAAAGGATATGGAGGGATCCTATTGGTGAGAGCGGGTGGTTGCAATGAACCAATACGGTAGGTAATAGACTGACTAACGGCAACTCACAAGAGACCCTTTAGTTAGTCCATCATTTACCCCCTTAATCTATGTGAGCCACCCAAATTAACCAATAGGATCGCTCCATACTCAGTATATCCTCATATATATCATATATCCTCTTTGTCTATCGCTTTGTCTATCAAGTTCAACAATCAGCCGGCTGAGCTCCTTTTTCAGTAGTAACATTGATCTTAATGCTATATGAAGCTTTTTTAGGCGGACTGACCTTGAATTTGAGTAAGTACATTTCATTAAGTGTCCGGCGAACATAGGCGATCTCCTCCGTGAGCTCGTGCCAAAGTTTAGAGCGCGCCAGTTTGATGTTGTGCGTGAGTCTATGCTCCAGGCGCGCCAGCTTCTTGGATCGCATCGCTCGAGAGATGAATCCGAGGATCATAACCAGGTAGCCAAGCCCGAACATGATCCAAACCACCAACGCCACTTTGTACAGGGAGTAGTAATCTTTGTTCTTCGGCAGCTGCCCTGAACATTCAAATGCGTGAAAATTTAAGAAGCATGGAATTATACAAATATTATAATTCCGTAATTATTACGCCCCACGCTCGGACACCATTTTATAATGAGCAATCAATATTTGAGGGGCTCGGAGGACATGGCGCATAAGTGCATGTCTTGAAAAAATTGAGATATTAATGACCTCAAGTAAAACAAGTCTTATTGTATATTCTGTGAAAAATTCGCTCCCAAATTCCAATTTTTAATCATCAAAAAGTTTGTTCGAACTTTCTTTCTGCCTTAAGGATCCATGTAATTTCGAAACTTCAAACACGTATTTCTCGAAATAGCAACAACTGCACTTACACGCCTTGTCCTCCAAGCCCTTCATTTCTGGTTCATCAATAAAAGTACTCACATACAAAGATGTCCTGCTTGTAATGCTTTCAAACTCACATCAGCGCCTGCAAGACAGCAGGAATACTTCATGCATTGCGCCAAACAGTGCGGTCGGCCTCAAACGTATGTTAGCGCCTACTAGACCGCATGAATACTTCTTGCATTGCACCAAAAGCACTGCGAGAGTATTATTTGCGATAACTAAATGGTAATTATGTATTTTAATGGCAACGATGCAGAAACTCGGACAATGTTTAAACGATGCAGCGATTCTGAAAATTCGGTGCAAATTCATTACTTGCAATACAAAGATGCTCTCTGAAAATTCTGCATCGAAATTTTTTGTGATATCCTTTTACAAAAATTAAGAGGAAACGCAAATTCTAAAACACCCCAATCAAGCTATGTGTTACCATGATTTTACCATCGATATGTTTTTACCTGCGACGAAGTCTCCATATCCGATGGTAGTAAGCGTGACGAAGGCGTAGTATATACTTTCATTGAAGGTCCATCCCTCGAAGTAGACAAACATCCCCGACGGAAAGATGATGAAAATGACTATGCCTTGCGCGAGGTACATGAAGATGTCCATCACAATGCCCAACTTAGACTGGAATTCCGTGTTGGTCGATTTGTACCGATGGTGAGCCCTGAGAAACTGTCCACCGTAACTTAAAATAGTATTTAGTTATTTCATCCTTCCTATAAAATTACCGCCTACTATATGGCGAATATAAATGATATTTAGGGTCATGCAAATTGCAAAAATTTTCCTGAGGAATATGAGCAGATTAAACATAGCTCTACTGCGGTCATGCCAGATTTTCGTATTACTGGAATGATTCTGTCATTGGATTTGAAAGACTCTCCACGTTCGCTGATGCCCACAAAACTTGGGCCAACATTATTCTTCCATGCATTCTCATCTTGTTTTTGTTTCATCAAAATTTTGATAACAGTTTGAACTTTGTTTATTACTAGAGTGGGGCATTGGAAATAAGAACATCGAAAGATTCTGAGACTAACAACTATAAGGCATACTGTCAAACTCACCTCGAGAAAATTCTCGATCCTGGGTTGCAGTGGAAAATAAACAAACAATTAATTTGATGTATCTGTCTCAATGGTAAAAAAGAGTTCTTTTCGCCTCCCTGGTAAAAATTGGCGATAGGAGCTGCGTTTCAAAATACCATAGGAATTCTTATAGCCGACTGAAGAAGGCGATAGGAAATTATATAGCTGGCTGTAGGAAGTGAAAAAAATCATACGGCCGGGCTACACGAAGCGATAAAAAATTATACTGCCGGGCTATAGTTCCTATCGCCGGGCTTTACACTTTATCGCCTGACTGTTGCTTTTTCGCCATCGGCTATAAAAGGCTATAAGAAATTGTGTAGAAATTCGTGTGCTTTGCAAATCCTTAAGTTTGTACGGAATCACCTTAATATTTACAAAACGCACATTATATTTTCCTATACTACATATTTTTTTCATCAATTAAAATGAGAATAATCCATACAGAGTGTGCAAACATTTCGAAGTCATGAGTTGAAAAACGCTGACTCCACGAGATTAAATATTAGAGCCTAACACAAAGCGGAGCGGCGGCGGCGCACTGGCGCCTACAAACCTAACAGGGATACTTCACGCATAGCGCAATGCGTGAAGTATCCCTGTTAGGTTTGTAGGCGCGTTTCGCGCTGGCTGCCCGCCCGCCGCGCCGCAGCGAACCACGGCGCTTGAAGCAACTATTTCGCACCATAGGTATTGCACAGTATTATACGAAATTGAAGGCGCTCCAACATGTTAGGAATGGCAGGCATCCTTCAAAAGTACGGAGCTTTCCTCGCAAAATAAATCAAGATACTACGGCCCAAAAAGAGAGCGGTAGTCCAAAAACTCACTAAGTCCTAGCATCCGTAATTAGCAACGTTTAGTATACACTTTATCGCCAGGCTGTTACTTAATCGCCATCGGCTATAAAAGGCTATAAAAGGCTATAAGAAATTGTGTTGCCGGCTATAGAAGCTATTGGAAATCTTACAGCCAGCTGTAGGTCTATGGTATTTTGGAACACAGATTCTACTGCCAATTTTTACCAGGGCTCTTATTGTTTGGTCACTATTTTGGTCTCTCCATATTTCCCCCATTTCTTAAACTCGTCGTCGTAAAAGAAGCCAATAAGGAAAAATTTCCTTTTAACAACTTATAAAATTGCTAATTTCACTAAGAAAATTCATACGTTGCCTAATTTCCATTAAACAAATATTAATTTTCTGCTAAACTTTTGAATATTTTTCCTCTAATTTTCAGATAACTTTGCTCGCAATTTCAAATAAAGTTCCTGGGAGTTTCAAGGGAAAAAATTCATAAATTTCCTGAATAATAAACATTTCATCGAAGGAAATTTGGCAACTCTCAAATGTTCATACGGCATTTTTCCTTAGCACGGCAGTACGCAAGTATAGATGATAAAATAACTCGAATTCTGTTTTCTCTGTTACTCCCTTTTCGCTCTAATTGATATGATTTATTAGCGTAAATGATCCGGTGTTAAATTACCATCAATTTGTTTAAGTATGAAATTATACTGCTCTGGATTATGAACATGATTTCTTAGCGCATTCATACTGTCCTTGCTTTGTACCCAGAAGTATTAATCAGTTTATACCTCAATTACACGGAATGAGAGAATTCTCATGGTTTGAGAGGCTTTCAATTCACCGCGGGCAATGACCTATTTATCCGCCCTATTGAGCATTGAGCCGATAAGGAAGTTCTTACAGGTATTGCCGAGCCACTTCCGAAATTGAAGCGACCTTACTTAGTGCCAAAGTTGCCGAATTAGCACGGAAAGCACCCTTTTTTAAACTATTTATTTTTTTATATTATTATTATTTACGAATTTGGAAATTCTACAGTATCTCACGAAGGCTTCATACCACTGGAACGACTGAAATAGTACCAGATGGAAGTGGGTTGATCATCCTAATATAAATTTGAACAGCTGCACTGGAAAAAAACAGAATCTTAAATTTGCCGCCAAGAAGTGTTTCTTCTTAAATCAAGAATTTTGCTGGTTAATATACGCTACTTTTTTGCTTAACCCAAGCATTATTTTTCTTGAATCAAGAAAAAGTCAGCTTAAAGCAAGATAAAGAAAATTCTTGGCTGCAAATTCAAGAATTATCATGCTGGATCCAAGCTACTTTTTTTTTCAGTGTGCTTTCAGATTCTATAGATTATTGTCTGATGCAGAGCATTCTTGCCGGCTCAATAGCGAAAAAAGTGCGTTTTCCGTTGTTTTTATCGCCCAATCAGATAGCAAACTCATGTCAGATGTCAGACAAATAAATTAATCAAAGCCCTTTTTGGCTATTTAGAACAACTACTATTGCAACTTCTTTGCGCCAAACAACTAGAGACGAATACAATTATTCGGGGTCGGAGAAGCCCCTTTTGCCTATCCGCTTAGATGAAGGCAAATTCGTTTGTCAAAGCCCAATTCAGGTATTTGATTTGAACAAAGTTGAAGAATTGGCAAAGGTGTTTTCTAGTTGTCTAGAGAAAAGAGGGCAAGGGAATCAAATCTCCTGTTTGCTGAAGGATACCTACGCGATTAACCAAATGTTTATGTACTTTGATTATTTATTAAGAATTTTCATAAATTGCCCGTGAAAATAGTTAAGCATGATTTTCAGTAAAAGAGCGACGCCAAAAACGACCGTTTTTTGGCACAATTTGGGCCAGAAGGGATTTTTCTGAAACCGGGCCCAAACGATACCTTATGATACCCTAAAACTCTGGTTAAAATTTTAGCTTGAGTGTACGCTCGGTTTTTGAGAAATGAGGGGGCAAAGTTGCCAAATCGCCATCATTCTGGACAGCATTTCTACAGCAAAAAGACGGGGAAAATGGGCGAAAAAGTCAAATATTTGATGGGTTTCGGCTGTAAATGTTCTCATTGGGCCCCCAAGCATTTAACTGTGTTTAGTTTCAAAAATTTTGGTCGCACAGTGGTCCAAAATGGGGAGAAATCGTCGACAAATCAGGATTCTTTGTCAAATTTTTAGAAATGGAAGTAAAATTGTCGGTCTGCTGCAGTTTTCATGGCTAACAGTGTTCTTATTGGTCCTCAATTTATGAAAATGTGTTCAGCTTCACAAATGTACATCGCACAGTGGTCAAAAATGGGGGAATTAGTGGACAAATTAAGATCCTCTGTCAAACCGTTGGTCCCCAGTAGAGTTTAAATCCCGGAAAAATGCATGTTTTTATTTTTTTTTAATTATTTATATATGTCAGACCGTATTGTTTATAGAACGTTGTTATAGAATAGACTTTGTAGCATTATTTCAATAAAATATGCAAACTTTCAGAAATTTAAAAAAAAGAAAGAAAAGTGGAGAGAAAAAACGTAAAAAAGATTTAAATAGTCAAAAAAAGAATTTAAAGAATTTTTCTGGGATCTAAAGTCTACTGGAAACCAATAGTCGTACATCATTTTTAAAAAGTTAGGCAGAAGATCTTAATTTGTCCACTAATTTCCCATTTTGGACCATTGTGCGATGAAAATTTGATAAACTGAACCCAATTGAATGCACTGAAGACCGATAAGAACATTGTTCCCCATGATCTCTGCTGGAGACCAACAATTTTACTTCCATTTTTAAAAAGTTTGACAAAGAATCCTTATCTGTCCACGATTTCTTCCCATTTTAGACCACTGTACGTCCAAAATTTTTGAAACTGAAGACAATTACATGCACGGGGGCTCAATAAGAACATTTACAGCCCAAACCCATCAATGGTGTAACTTTTTCGTCCATTTTTCCCGTCTTTTTGCTGTAAAAATGCTGTCCAGAATGATGGGGATTTGGCAACTTTGCCCCCCCATTTCTCAAAAACGGTGCGTATACTCAAGCTAAAATTTTTACCAGAGTTTTAGGGTATCATAAGGTATCGTTTGGGCCCGGTTTCAGAAAAATCCCTTCTGGCCCAAATTGTGCCATTCTTGGCGTCGCTCTTTGTCTCCACAAAAAATTAAAGACAAAGCGTGGCCTTCGTCAGTCGCCAACATTTGAATGACTTCATCAATCTGTGGAGATAAGCTCAAACTTGCGAGAAGTGCAACACACACAATTTATTTGCCAATTTTTCCAACCTATTAGCGGATAAATGATTCATACCGGGTTGATTAGCGGGTTCGTTAAGATGGTTTAATTAACTCAAGGCATAAAGGTGACTATCAAGCGAGTTCATCGGGTCAGAAATTTCTCATTCCAACCGAACGAAAAGCTTTTTTTATCCATTTTCCTTTTTCCGAAAAAAACATATGACTCGTGTTATAACATGATGTGGAAACGCGTAAAATTAACGACTCTTGATTACATAATCTGTGAAGAAGCGCAGGTCTTTCAAATTGTAATGTAATTCAGAACACGATCCATTATACTGAAGCCAATCGAGTATACGCATACGTCTCTGCTTGGACGTACTGGTAATGACTTAAAAAGTCTACCTATCATTTATTTTAAGGGCCTCCTTAAGAAAATTTCCTTCAATTCTCCTTTTTAAACATGTTCAGGTATCTGCATGCAAATGTTTCCGAAATTCAGTATGCTTGGAGATTGTGAGAAAATTATGAATGAAATGCAAAGGCACCGTAAGGGAAAAAGCTACCTCTATTTTATTGAGGAAATAAAAAATTAACAGACGCACATTAAATGTTACTTTTCAACTTTCGAAGACGTCGTTGAAAATGTTCATAAATCACATTTTCTTAAAAAATTAAGCATTGTTTTCCTCAAAATTTTAAAGGATTTCATTTTCTCTTTTATAATCGTTCGATGCTTGAGGCATCTACCGTCGTTTTATTTCTCCAGAAGTGTTGAAAATCGAATTTTACGAATGAGAAACTCAAGGTGGGCTTTTCCTTGTGGATTCACATATGTTCACAGAGAAACTTTGGTGACATTGATTCGACGAAGAGAAAAATTTACTTACTGTTGATCCAAAAAACTCTCCTAGTTGAGTGAGAACAATACCATTGATAGGAATACCGATTAAGGAGTAGATAATCACCAAAAATCTACTCAGAGGTGACGAAGGGTGTAAATTCCCATAACCTGAAACAAAATGGACGTTCTTTAAAAATATTTGTACGTACAAAAAGAAGATTGGTGTAAGCAATAAATGGGATAAATAACTCGTCTTTCTGAAAGCTTTTCAAGTTGCCACAGATTAGAGTTTCTTTCATCTATGAAACGGGCTCCATTGACAGAAACCAGGTTAATGCCTTGCCTTCCACAACAGGATAATGTGCCACTTCACTGGAAATGTACAGCAGTCCAAGGGACTTTACCACGCTAAGGCGGCACATTAAACTTTAGTAAAAGCGAATGAAATTACATTAAATCGATTGAATACATTGATTTTACGAATGCTATTACAAGATTCTTCATAGAGGATTGCTCGGAATTGTGTGGATTAATCTATCATGATCCTTTTTCACGAGACCCATTATGCACACATATAGAAATCGTACTTATTAAACGTAATGGTGAGAAAATGGCGGAATATGGTGGAATATGGTGGAATGTGGTGGAATATGATGGAATATGTTATTCAAATGTAAAAATTATAAAGCTGTAACAACGTGCGATACCGATGGATCGTCACTTTCCGGCCAAATTATCACAAGCGCCATACAACGTTTAAAATTTTCCGCCGCCATTTTATTTTTATACAGAGAAATTGTTCAACGCAGCTGTCCAAAATTTTCACTGAATTTTCTTTGCGCTGCTGATAAAATTCAGTGAAATTTTCAAGTAGATTCAACCTACAATTCTCTTAAAACAAGTAAAATGGCGGTAGAAATTTTTAAACGTCGCATGGTGCTTGTGATACTTAGGCCGAAAGGTGACAAGATTACAAGCGATAAATTGTATTATGCATAATATTATAAGCTTTTGAAGTGAACTGATTCTAAGGCTGTAAACAGCACTGATAAACGTTAACAGATTTTTAATCAAACTATCCGTTTTTTCCCTTTAACTTAGAATTCTTTCCCAAATAATTGATTTTTGAAATTTTTTGTGTTCTCTGTACTATGTGGTATAGCAGTAATCACCCTATTCTCACTTTGGGCCTTTTTGCCCAAATCCATATCACATTAAATTTAGATTCTCATATCTCTGTATAGTCGTGGAAACCGTGCGTCATCGCAGGGTCTCTTTTTACGAAACGTTCAATGTGATAACTAAATTTTTATCTCTCTCTAAACTTCAGAATATCACCCGTTAAAAACGCTCATTTACGCACCTATTGTACTTAGAGTGGTGAGAGCGAAAAAGAAAGAGTTATAGTAGGTCCATTTAAACGTGAGCTCATCTTCTTCGAGGCCTTCCTCGATGACTTCGCCTGGTTGGAGGTTCCTCTTGATCTGGAAGTCGAAGATATCCTGCCCGCAGAGGTTGTTCAGTGCGTTCAGAACCTGCTGCTGCGACTGCAGTGAGCTGAAGTGAAAATGACTTTGCAGCAAATCTGAAACATCCACCGATAATAAATTAATCGAAAGTTTTGTTCATTTGTCATGAACAGGGCCGGATTAAGGGGTGGCCACATGGGCCGCGGCCCATGGCGGCAAAAGGGGGCGGCAAATGTTGTAATTTTTTCAAATGTACGTATCAAGAAAAAAATCTGATTCAGAAAAAAAATCACAAATGAGGAAAGGCGAAAAAATCTCTCATATCCTGAGAATTAAAGTATAATGATTTGAAAACTTGAGATGGAAAGGAGAAGCCCTATCGGCGCACCAGTCAGCATATAACACGAATTAGCGCCTACAAGACTCCATGAATACTTCACGCATTGCGTCCAACGTAGTGCGGTCAGCAGCGGTTAGCGTGAAACTCATAGTGCCTATAAGACTGCATGAATACTTCACGCATGCGTCAAAAATAGTGCGGTCACTTGGTCAGCAGCGGTCAGCGTGAAACGCATAGCGCCTACAAGACTGTAGGGATACTTCACGCATTGCGCCAAACACAGTGCGGTTGGCGCGGTGGCGGAAATGAAGATCATTAGACCACATTCATGTTTATTCTTATTCATAATTTTTTCGCTCTTTTCTTATAAATTAAAGGCATTGTCCACACAGAGGTAGGTCTACGGAACTTAATTTTCGAGTAAAGTTCCGTGAACTTTTGCTGAAGTTGACAGAGCTTTCACAAAAAATGTGCGAAACGCGAGTAAATGCGTCTTACGTACCCCTCCTCCTCCGGCACGTTCACCTGATAAGTTTCAAAACGAATGAGATGGGGCGGCAAGGAGGTAAATTCGGCCCTGGTCACGAAACAATAAATCTTTACTAAAAGAGATAAACTAAACTCCAACTCCAACTCCTAGGTTGATTAGGGGTTACCTATCGGTTCCTCGGTGGCTCTTCAACGGCTGTCGCTCCTGCCTGGTATTCGGTGGGCCGTCATTTATTGGGTAGCCTTTCGATGATCCCTCTTTTGGGCGGCATTTGGAGTGAATTTTCCTCTAGACCCCCCCCCCCTTTCAGAAATTTTGAACAGTCTGTAGAACACTGATTTTATTCTAAGTCTTNCAATAACAAACTCGTCCGAACTCGCCCCGGCGAATGTTCATGACATTCGCGGCAGTTCGCGGAACCATTCGACCCGTTCGCTTCGAGTCGACGACTGCCCTTTTTTCGAATTCGACTTCTGCCGATGTCGACGATTGAACTCCGCTCAATTCCCGCTCCCATTTTATTTTTATTTTATTTTAAGGAAAACAAACAAATCGATATTATTCCTTGAAACTTCCAAAGTTCCAAGCCAACAAAGTTTCCCTTGCACAGAAGAGATTCATCACGAAAGTTTCAAAGAAATGACGTTTAGTCGTTTTCCATTTTGAAAATTTAGTATGACAGGAAGTTCGCAACATCGTAAACCGAGATGCGTGGTTTAGTACTTTCACTATCAACTTTACTTTTATACGAGGATAAGTAGTCAAAAAAAAAACAACAACAACAACAACAACAACGGCAATCCATCTTTGGCGGCTTTGAATTACTGGTGCAATATGATACTTATAAAACACCTCTTTTTCACGGAAAAGTAAAGATATCCCGCATAAGAGTGAGTACAAAAACCAATTCCTTGTTTCCCCTTTAGTGCATCAAAGATAATTTATAAGTGTGGTAACACTAGTGACTCATAAATGAAGTCTGAAAATAGATCCGAAAATTGTGTAAACGGCCCATTGTGCTGAAAAGATGAAAATTAACTGATCATCTCATAATGTATTTCGAATATTCCTGCCAGAATGACGCACTTTAAACTGCGGCAAAAGTTCAAGGTACCAGTGGGAACGTTAACCGGTCTGAACACAATGAAAACACTACAGTTTCATTATAAGATAATCTGTATCCATCTGCGCATTTTTAGCTCATCAGTTCGCGAACCACAAAGTGACTCCGGTGGAATTCGCTATTTTTATGATATTATCTAGCTGTCGTTTATCTGTAACTGTCATCCGGCAATCGTGGCACGTCTACAATCAATAAAAAAATATTGCTATTTCTGTCTAGAACATATCTCGTCTCCTTTTATGTGGTCAGGGATACAAATCAATGTAAGTATACCTTTGATGCGTAAAGTTGGAGCAGAGAATTTATCATTGTTATCGTGACAAAGTTAGCAAAATTTAAGTGTCGCGACTTGCTAGGGATTGAAAAATGTACCGAGAAAAAAATCGTAAGAAAATCGAGAAAAGTGTCAAATTAGATGTAATTTGTCAAGCCATTCTGCATTATTTTGTTACGTTTTATCAGGAAAGAAATAACTCTTTTCAATTAAATTTTATATAATTGCTGGTATTCTCTGCAGTTTGTAAAGAACTGGATCTATTGACACTTTTTCCAGATGGCTCCAAGTGCCTAAAAATACCTGCGAGGGCCAAATATAAGCGTCTTTCAGACCTCCTACCGGATGGATCGGGATGAGTCCATCAATAAATTCACTATCAGTAAGAGACTCTCGATCCCGTTTTTCAGCTATCCGCGGTTTCTTGAATATTAGAGGGACAATGGTAATGAGCATTTAGTGACTTTTCCGACAGTTCAAAATGCTGCTGAATGCATTATACAACAGAGCTCTATCTTTAAGAAAAAGTTACGTAAACGACCTAGCTGATAAAAACATGCAATGGAGGTGCTGAGCCTGAGCATTGTTTCTTAAAAAGTTTCGGATACTTCAACAAGGCAATGCGAGCAAAAATACCTTTTATATGCCTGCTAAATGGGTGTAAGTCCAAAAACTCATAAGCCCTGGATGCCGTTTATTACGCAGGACGCTAGGGCTCATGATTCGTTGGACTTGCGCCCTTTTAGCGGGCATCAATTCATTTATCTATATAAATTGACCGTTGCAGAATCACGTCAGAGGCAGTCTTCGATCATTCAATTTTTACCTATTCATTCCAGCGGTAGGATGGAAAAAAGTAATGTTAAAAGTCGTCCAAATTTGATACAAGTATACACATTAGCTATTAAAGATCAAGGTCAGTGTTCTGCCCTCCCCTGGCGCCATGCGCCAAATGCACCTAAAAATCGGGCCTTGGCGCCTAAAAATTTGATAGACGGAACTCGCAATTGAGAAGCAGCGGTAGCGATAGAGCGCTCTCTATACGCACCGTGGCCATTCGCCATGGCCCGCATGCAAAAATTTAATTTGGCTCCCAAAAAATAGTAGATGACTCCTAAAAATTGGGCTTTCCGGCCAAGGTGGCTCCTAACATTTTAGGGGGAAGGCAGAACACTGATCAAGGTATCCCTCAATAACCTGGACTAGCTGTCACGTTTTGACTGAAGACCGTTTCAACACTAAAGATGCTGATCCGGAAAGAAAAAATTAAAATAAAAGTTCAACTTCAAAAGCTTTTTTTGAGCTTGGGAGTTGATTTCAGGGAAAACCAGTGGCACTATCGTGTTTCTCGCGAACTTTTACTCAAGAATCAATAGTCAAATTGCAAATTCCTTACACATGCAACATCTCCATTCAGTTACAGGTCAGTCTTTTTTCAACGCTCATCTGTCATGAGTATAACACTCTCTTCCTGAAAGCTAGCTACCAGTGCCTCGAGAACCGATTAGGGCCTAGATCACGATGACTGGGCTGTATAAACATACTAAGACGGGGCTATGCTCCAAGGCGCCACTCTGACCTAGAGTAGACTTGTTCAGCGCCAAACGAGCAAATGACGGGCGCATTCCATCCTTTAAAAGCCGGACAAAAGGGAACGCGGCCAAAATTAGTCTGCAATTACGCGCTTAATAGAGACGCGTGATGCAGTTGTCCTTTGAGTTTATTTCGATCGACTTTGGCCGAGAAAGTTGAACTTGCGGCTTATGACTTATGACATGACATTTGTGAAGGCCGATGGAACTCAAAATCAACTAATCTCAGAATGGTTACAGGTGCATGGCTCTATCCAATCATTGCTCCAGCAGAATTTATCGTAAAAAAATTAAGCACTTATGAGCAATAAGGAGCAAAAAGAGGAATTATCGTGTAATGGCACGGTTTATGCGGCAGAATTTTTTTTAGATCAATTTGACTCCCACTGAATTATATTTCGAACAATATTCACATGCACTGTGTTATGAATAAAGCATTTCTGCTGAATTAAAAAAAAAGTCTGCGAGGAACTAAGGTGAGTTAGTCAGGGAGAAAAATGTATCAGATTTAAAAATATTTACTCTGAATTTTGATATTTTTCCCACATTCATAATATTTTCCGTAAAGACTTCTGAGATGAAAAACCTTCTTTTTTCGCTTCAATCTACGGATTCCGCTATTAATCCCTCTGTTCAAAATTCACGCTAAATCCGCTGAGGTCCATCTGAAGTACCTCCAAAAAATGAGCCCATGTCTTTTAACTCAACTAAACTCAGGAATCTACAGAGAAGAATAGGCAAGACTTTTCCTGTCACACGTTCCTTGCTCTTTTAGCCAAATTCTTTCCATCTGAGCCTAGAGTTCCTTGAAAGGGGGAGTTCAGTCATCTCATGTAAGAGACAACTTTGAACTTGATCAGAGCCGGATTTACCTACTTGCCGTCCATGGGCCGTCTGTATTTTGCCGCTCCCTTATTCTCATTCGTTTTGAAACATCAATAAAATCCATCAAATGAACGTGCAGCGGGGAGGAGTGTGTAAGACGCGTTTGTTTACTCATGTTAGACACATTTTTTGCAAGCCTTGTTAACATTACTAGCAAAAGTTCACGAAACTTAGCGGGAAAGTTAAGTTCCGTGAACCTATCGCTGTCTGGACGAGGCCTTCCATTTATAAAAAATGAACGAAAAAAGTATGAAAGAACAAACTGACCGCACTGTGTTTGACGCAATGCGTGAAGTATTCATGCAGTCTCGTAGGCGCTGTGCGTTTTACGCCGACCGTCGCTGACCACACGTCCACACTGTGTTTGACGCAATGCGTGAAGTATTCGTGCAGTCTTGTAGGCGCTAATAAG